ACAGTGAGAGACTTGTCCCCCACCCGGAGGCGGAGGGACGCGACCCTCTCATTCACCGGGGAGAACTCCAACACGTGGCGGCTGAGATGGGGGGCAATGAGTATGGCCACCCCAGCTCGCCGCCTCTCCCCGCGGGAAACACCAGAAAAGTGGAGCGTCCAACCCCTCTCAAGGAGTTGGGTTCCAGAGCCCAAGCTGTGTGTGGAGGTGAGGCCGACTATCTCTAGTCGGTATCGCTCAACCTCCCCCACAAGCTCGGGCTCCTTCCCCCCCAGTGAGGTGACGTTCCACGTCCCAAGAGCCAGATGTTGGGTGTGTGGACTGGGTCGTCGAGGTCTCCGCCTTCGACCGCTGCCCAGTCCTCGCTGCACCACGCCACCACGGACCCCTCTGCAGGTGGTGGGCCCACAGGAGGGACTGCCCACGTCATCCCTTCGGGCTGAGCCCGGCCGGGCCCCGTGGGCTAAGGCCCGGCCACCAGGCGCTCGCTTGCGAGCCCCGACCCCAGGCCTGGTTCCAGGGTGGGGCCCCGGCTGCGCCATGCCGGGCGACGTCACGGTTTTCGTTGTCGTGCTGTCCATGGTTGGCTTCGGACTGCGCTTCGTCTGACTCGTCACTTGAGACCTGTCTGCCATGGGAGGCCCTACCAGGGGCATGAAGCCCCAGACAGCATAGCTCCCAGGATCATCCGAGTGCTCAAACTCCCCCACCACGTTAAGGTGGCAGTCCAAGGGGCAAAGCACCTTTATACAATGATTTCCCAAGCTTTAATCATCTCATACAGCACTGTTCAATCCATTATTCAAAAGTGGAAAAAATATACTATAGCACCACTGCAAAGTTACCAAAACACATCCATAAATACACACGCCTGCACCCTGATCATCAGAGATGGCATCATGTGCATCAGGATGACTCTGGAGGAGCTGTGAACTTCTGCGGCTGAGCTGGAGCAATCGGTGCATGTGTCAACTATTATTTCTCCTCCACGCCAGGGCTCTGCAACTTATTTTTCCCAAGGGCCAATTTCCTTTGAATGGCCATGTGCTCTGAGCCGTATAATTGTACAGCATATCAACGCTTTTAACCTGTGGAAAAACCTGAAAACTGCTGTTCTAAAACACTTTTTTTTCGAGCTTGAGGAAGAAAAGAAAAGAGAAAACTAACTGTTAGGATTAGTCCTGTTGGCCTACGTGCAGGACTATACAAGGACTCTGATTATTTTGACTATGATGTGACTGTCTCTGTGTGACACGTATGTCTTTCGATGTGTGACGTGACAATGACTATATAAACTGTGTACTGACTCCATTCTGTCTGAGAGAAAGAAACAATTGAAACCACTGGAACTTGAAAGAAACTTAAATAAACTTCCAGAGTTTGGCGCACCATGATCCGTCTCTGTCTGGTTCATTCCTGACATAACCTTAACCCAAAAGACTTACTGGTGTGATTGTTGTGTTTTGGATCTTTGTGGTTCAAGTTGTATTAGTAGTACATAACATCCCTACAAACAGTCATGTGCTTCTTGTAGTGAATCATTAGTTTCATTAAGACTTGAGGCTGAGCTCCGTCTTACTTGGTACTTACAAACCTCCAGGACGGCTCTGACCCTAAACTTGAATAAAACCAGCCTGTTATCGAGCCCCTTATGTGATCCTGCTGAGTGCAAGGATGAGATCTCAGTCATACCACCCTACTCTTCCTATTAAGATCAAAATCTCCTCTGAGGCCCTCGGGTGTCAACAAAAGGGAGATGCAGTAAATGATATGCAAATTGAAAAGGGGGAAAAAAAGAGAACTCCACAAATCAACTTGCCGGCCCTGCGTTTCCGACACTTGCCGCCTTAAAAAGAAAATTCTTGTATTTAGGCAGAGATTCAAAGTGAGGTCTTCTCTCGACAGCACAAAGCCCCTCAAACCCTTGGTGGGAGAAAGTGTACGAGGAATGAGGATTTGTCTGCAGATCCAGCTAGACACAGAAATAATACTTGAACGTAGGTAAACGGTTTAAATTTACATCCACGCGGTTTGTGATATCAGATCCGTGTTTATATTGTTATGACAATTATGAAAACGTTGCTTATTGAGGTGATGTTTAAATATGTGTTCACTTGAATCATGCTGAATATTGAACTAATGTAATATATCAATGATAAACCCACACTGAATCAGGTGTTATACAAACAAACAACATCACAGAAAATGAGTGATATCTTAATCTAATATTTTGTATTCTTTAGGCCCATAGACTGTATATAGATGGACAATGCTAACCCTCACTCAATGAATCTCAATAGGGTTGAATTGAATTGAATGGGAAAGTGCTCATTAACAAAGTTGTACTACAGGCCGCTCTGGCTCCTATTCTTTGGTTTCATTAACCTGGCCAGTAGGGGGCGAATGAGCAGAGGTGGGACAACTCAGTTTTGCTTCTATTGAAAACCATGTAAATCTGGTCTGTTTTGGAGTCAAAAGGCTCTCATCCTGTGCGGTGTACGGTTGTTGTGACAGTCTTAGTTGGGAGGGGGACACTCAATTCTAAGGGAGTACTAAAAAATATTTTTGGAAAAAAATAACAGAAGAAATTACTGCGTTTTATTTGGGTGGCCTGCAGGGGGCGCTTATCTGGGGAAAACCTTGATCTACCTTGTCTGCCTTTGAAGAAGATGACATAGTCTGGGATCGCGTCTTACATTCAGACAGAAGACATGTTTTATTGTCAATGGTAGAGACAGCACGAACAAAGCACACGATCACAGATACAAGAGAATGCAAGTGTATTATTCAGAGCGGAGGCATGGAGACCTCCAATCAGCAGCTGCCACGGTGTGCTTAGCTTGGCCTTCAGATAGACAAAACAAGGGAAAAGTACTGGCTTCTGCACATTGATAGAATGATGAGCTTAACTTTAACAAAAGTTGCTTCAAAGTGTTATGAAATCTCACATTCCCCCCTCTGGTCATACATTCACGTGTGACCATCAGGATCGATAAACAGCAACATAACATCATATCTCAATACTTCAAAAACTCATAAACTCGGTACTTCACTCGGTACCTCAAAAAACTCAGAACTCGGAATACTTCAAAAACTCAGAAAACTCATAAAACATTTTCAGATCTTTCATAAAACTTGTCAACAATCTTCAGTAAAATACCAAACTTCATCAGTCGATGGTGATTCCAGATATTGCTTTGAAAACAGTCTCTCCCACTTCTCCGTGTTGGTTTCTTCAGGCTGCATTTGCGTCGAGCCATGAATTCTTCTGTGACGTGTCTTTGAATCACACGTTTCAGCTTCAGTGTCCAGATTCAGCAATCCAATTCAGTCCAAATTATGTCCAAATTCAGAAATCCAGATTGTTCCAAATTATGTCCAAATTGTGTAATCCAATTTTTCCAAATCATGTCCATGCAAAAGAGGACGCTGGTGTTGTCCATGTCTCAGCAGCTCACAGCCTGACTGGAATCAGGGGCTGTGCAGATAGTCCAAGTGTGCTGGTCCAGATGCATGGTTTCTCTTGAGGTTTTTCAGTTTTGGCTTAAAAAAAAAACACTTTTTGTGTAAAAAAAAAAGTCTTCTGTTCTCTAGATGTTACAGACAAGGCCCGCATTCTTCCACCACCTGAAGAGGATGTGCCAAGTCTGGGATCGCGTCTTACATTCAGACAGAAGACATGTTTTATTGTCAATGGTAGAGACAGCACGAACAAAGCACACGATCACAGATACAAGAGAATGCAAGTGTATTATTCAGAGCGGAGGCATGGAGACCTCCAATCAGCAGCTGCCACGGTGTGCTTAGCTTGGCCTTCAGATAGACAAAACAAGGGAAAAGTACTGGCTTCTGCACATTGATAGAATGATGAGCTTAACTTTAACAAAAGTTGCTTCAAAGTGTTATGAAATCTCACACCTTATTCGAGTGATTTTTTTCAAAGTGTACGCCTTTATATAAGACCACAGTTGGAACACGGAAGAAACTCTTGTCTTTCTCTCTATTTGCGCAGTTGCAACAACCGTGCACCGCACAAAAAGATGGCAGTGTGACAGTGCTTCTTCTTCTACTATATATCCGGCAGACTGCACCGCCAGGGCAGGTGACGTCCGGTCCGGTCGGCTGTCCCACGTATAACATTTGCGCCACTGCCCCGAGGTCCAGAAATGAGATAAACCTTCTCTATCTCAGTAACCGTTTGTATCACACTCAGCATTTATGGGCTTAAAGTATGTGGTTTAGCGCTCGATGATCCTGGTGTTTATAGTTTGATAATATCTTTGTAAATCCACATATGAGCCATATAAGGATTGACAGATGCTTTCAATTTGTGGGTGAAATCTTAGCAACACGTCTGCCTGTTACTGCGCGAAACGAACACAGTCGGAACAAATGCCCATATAAGGAAATTGGCTTCTTCTGCATCCTGCAATAACCTTCTACTTGTAATTAAGAGTCTATATTGAGAACGGGATGTACAAAGAAATACACTGATATTCAGGTTTGTGCTAAGGTCTGATTTTCTGTATCTAAAACCTCCATATAAGAACCTTAAAAATGTGTTGATATGCCAGGCCATTTGCATACCAAAGATTAAAAACAAATTTTTGCCCCTTTGGTAAGCACTACTGTAGAATATTCTGAACTTTACATGCAATTTAATCTGTAGTTTTGAGTCACCATTTAAGTCACTTCACATGGATATTCAGTTTCATATTTAAATGTAATACAATCCTTTACAAACAGCTTCTTGACGGCTCGCTCCACTGAACAGCTGAGATCTCTAAACAGAATGTCAGAGTGCTTATGAACCGCACATAGGTTTTTGTAAACACATCAGATTATCAGCTGAGCACACTGCTGCACAGGTCGCTTACACCGCAGCCCCCCTCCCCTCTCCCCACTCCGTAACCAGGGCACTCCAGCAGCGAGAGCTCTTTGAGGTGTCTGTCTGCCTGTCTGGGACCTGTCTTACCACTGACACGCTCGTCCGCGGCCCACTAGAAGAAACGGGAGGGGGCCACGCTCTCCAACTCGTCCTCGGGGATAGACTCCACAGTCGACAGTAATTTGTAGTACTCGTCTTCTCCATCCAGCACTTTGATTTGTCTGTGATGTGTCGGAGCAGACAAGTCACAGGTGAAAAACATTAGGAAAAACTAAGTCGAACTAATGGCTTGTATCAGTTATATCCAAATATTCATTTAATCTGAACTTGCAGATCATTTAAGCACAAAATAGCTGGTGATTGTGTTGGATCTGTGCAGCTGTAACACATGCACACTCAGAATGTGAACAATTAAAATGCTGACACAGCCCAATACTGGCCCCATCTCTAATGACGCAAAACAGCTGCTCATAAAAGGCCTGTTATTTTGGGCTCTCTATTTACATGATAAAAAAACAGCTCCATTTCTAGATCTAATTCCACAAAGGGCCTGCTCTGTTTAGAGTTAGGGAAGTAGGAAAGCAGTTATTTACCCAAGTTTTCGCGGCTTCCTCTTACTCCCCTGGTAATCCAGAGTTCTCTGAGGAAAGGGCCAAGAGCACACAGTCAAAAGATGAGCAGAGAGTCATTAATTTTTAATTCAAAGTGATTTTGTGTTGAATGCGAGCAGATGCTGATAATATCAGAAGTCACAGCATAATTTTTTCTGATCAAAGGGCTCAAGTGAGTCTGATGAAGCATGCATCTTGCTCAGCTTTGATAAACCACATCAATTATTCACCGTGAAGGCAGACATCCTGACATGAAAGCAACAGATAAAGAGCATAAGCACATGTTCAAGACAAGAGGCAGAGGCGCGTGGGGGTGGGGCTCCGGGGCCTGGCACAGGTAGCCTTAATTGTATTATCATGTGGAACCAAAGTCAGACGAAGGCCTTTATCACCACTTTGAACTCACATTGAGCTGGTTGTAGTACAGGCTGTCCTCAGGGCTGTTGAGCAGCTTGGGCTGCTGGCCCCGGCGGCGAGTAGTTCTGTGCTGGGGCTTCATCACTGGACCTGCAACAGAGGAAAACAGGGCACTCATCCAAACAAACAACAACACGCCGAGAACACGCTGGAGCTGATGACACAGGCAGCCAAGAGCAACTCCCCCTCTCTCAACCTGCACACTGTGACCAAGTGCCAGCAACTTTTAATGGACTTATGTGAGATTATGTAATAACATCGATGAGCTGACTCAATATCACATTAATATTACATAAATGTGCAAAAATACACAGAGACATTGACATGTTCATGTGTGTAAAGATGCTTCCCTGCAAATGACTTTTAAGTAACATATTCACTATTCAGAGCACCAGTGAGGCTCGTATTTGTTTTGGTAATATGGTAATATGTCCTGAATAAATATTTGATTCCAACACACTGAGTGACACACTGATAAATCCTAAAATGACAAACCACCTCATTAGTCTTTGTACAGCCGCCTACAATGGTACATCGTGTGTTTCAAAATTTATAGGTTACAAAAGTGTGTTTAAAAGGAGAGACAACTTTACAAGAAGCATGTATATTTAATGTCAGATCGCGTTTTATCTTCTTCGCTGACAACTCGAGTGAGACAGGACGCTTCTTCATCATCGCTCTACCTCGGATCCTCTTCCCTGACTAAAGCTGCATTTGCTTTTTCCATCCTAACACTACTTTGTACTCACTTTGAACAGGCCTCATCACATCTCAATCCTACAGATCAAAGCGCCGCTCGCCATCTCTCCTCTTCGCGTTATTGAAACCAGCTCAGGTTTACTAAAGTAACACTGTGTAAATGACCAGAAAGTTCCCGTTGGGCCTGGCGTATTAACACTTGGACCGTGAATCTTATCAGCATATTCCTCTGAGGTGCAAACTGTCCACTTCCATTTCACTCATGTTTGAGGAGTTTTGACAGATGCAATAGTTAGAATATCAGTGAAAAGAAGAGTTTTACCTAATCTAGAACATGGAGCTCACAGTTTGTAACCAAGCAACCTTCAACAACTAGAGGTAGAGATGAAAATGTATACACAACCAGCTATTGAGCTGAAAGTACATAAATAGAACATGGCTCGGCTAATGACTGTAAAATGGTTTTGATAAGCAAATGTTGTATTCCCCTGGAATAGCATCAAAGCGTTCAATCACACATAATGAACACTGACGACCTTGAATGTTTCCCAATAAAACAGTTTCTCAAAAGATAACTGCTTTTGGGTTAAGGCAAGATTATGTATAAATCTGAGAAAAACAAGCATATTCATATTAAAGATAAAAACTAACTGAGATTTAAATAGCTTTGCATTTGCTGATATAAAAGTGGATTGTGTTGCTTGTTATGAACAATTCCCAGTTGGTGAATGTCTCTTGCCATTCCCTCATTTCACGACGCTTACTATCCCGTTCCCAACCACTTTTAATACAACACAGTTTGTATAGAAATTACTTTACACATATTTGAACTTGTTTATAATGGATGTGTGGATCTGCATTTCAGAGGGCGGTTCAGGGACTCTGCATTCGTGTTCCCAGATTACCTGCCATCATTGGACATTTTCTTTACATATTATTGTCATGTGGTGAAATGATAGAGGACACAAAATGCAGGAATGCCAAAAAAAAAAAAAAATTCCAAGGTGAAAACCAATCTCAAAAAATCCAAAGGAACCAGGAACAGAACTTGACAAGACAATACAGGACAGACGTTGACAATACAATGGACCAGCGACAAGGGGAGAGGAGCACAGGGTCCAAATAGACACAGACACAGATGGAACACATCAGGGCGGGGCAGACAATCAACACAGGGGGACAAGACAGGAAGTACAATTAAAAACAAATCAAATGAGAAGTGATATCAAAATAAAACAAAATCCACACCATGACAATTATTGAGTAGTGTTAAACAGTCGGACAATCAGTAATATCTCCTTGTTTAATGTTTTGAATGTTTCTTTCCTTGTTTTGTTAAAGCACAGGACAGAACTGGAACTATGAAAAACCATCAAACTGTTTTGAGAGCAAGGAACGAGTTTTAATTCATCTGTCACATATTTCCTTGCCTCAGATCATCTATTTCAGGCAGAAAAGTGAACAATAGAGGACCACCCTAACTCAGCCAATCAGCTCTCAGCCCAAACCTCTCATTAATATCTGTTTACTAGCTTGAAAAAATAATATATACATAACATTTTCTAACAAGATAATCTTATTCCTTGATTTGTTATTATCATATTAATATTTTATTTTCACAAGGCTCTTTCTTTTGGGACAAACATATTCTATTTATGACACAAAAACATTAGGTACCCTTTAAGCACTTTGAGTTGTGTATGAATTGTGTTGTACAAACATGTGGCTTGTTGTTTCATGTCTTGATCGTTCTCTTGGTTCATAACATACTTATTTAGTGACCGAAATAAACTTAATTCATACATGCTTAAAAATGGCATGTGAAAATCAAATATGACTGAAAAATATAAACCAGGAAATACTCAGCAATTTCAGCAATAAATGAACGTAAAAGCCCAACCTTGCTGAGGCTTGTGCGGCGGAGGTCTCCCAGTGGGATCTGAAAGCTGACTGGCGGTAGTTGCCCATCAGTCTGTATCAGTTGTGACCTGGAGCCATTACAGCTGCGGCAGATCAGAGGCGAGGTCAGACGCAGCATCTCTGTTCTCCTGTTTGGGAAATCACTGCCATTTGATCCGGGCCAGCCCCAGAGGAATGCTGCAGCGGCCGATAGATCACGGGCGGGGAGGCTGCCAACTCGCTCTGGCAAAGGGAGTGCCGGGCTTGGACCAGGGCACAGAGGGTCAGACGGTGGCGCACGGACGCAGCTTAACGGCCACTGGAAATGTGAAAGTGCTACACAACATTTGATATAGATTTGCATTTGCCAGAGATCTCTTTTATTGTGCATGTTTGGTTCTTAAGATAAAAAGGAGCAGAATTCTTTTAGAGATACGTGCGGCTTTCATTTTCAAAGAGCGGCAGATGAGCCGTATTACATCTCTAAATACCACTTTGAAATCCCTTCGATTGAGAACACAGCGCAGAATAGGTGGAAACATAAAAGAGCTGGTAAAAAGGATTTTTAGTGGAATAAATTAAAGATGTATTGATTTGTTTCCCTGGATCATGTGCTGAAATCGCCTGAGATTTTCCCAGACCACAACCAAGAATCAAGACTTTGTTTAATCATTAAAAAAGCCAGAATTATATGTCATATACAAAATATGTATACTAATAAAAATAACAATAATAATATACAAAATATCTATACTAATACTATACTAATAACGCTTTTCTGGACACTTAATTATTCACTTTGTATACAGTGGGGATGAACTACTGTAGCCATAGCTGCCCTGAGGCAGACTGACTGAATCAAGGCTATTAATGACAGACCCTCCAACCAACACCAATCATTCCCGCTCACTCTTGACTCATACTATGTGGATGAAGTGTCTTGATGAAGGACACAACAATATTATGGCACTTTATTGCCGCAGCCACTCCACTGTGGCACCTGGTGTTCCCAGCGGTCTCCCATCACAGTTAGCCTGGCCTTAACCATCCGTACACTCCGCTCAATCATCATTTCCCTGCATGTAACGTCTGGGTCTAGTCCCTATGTTAGCGAGCGTGGGAGGTGGGTGTTGTAGTTCGTTGTGGGTGACGTCAAGAGTTTGCGCCGAACAGGCAGGTTGTAGCTTGGCAATGGCGAAAAATGTGATAGTAAAGTAATCCGGTCTGGTTCTATCAAGAAATTGAAGCCGGAGCAAGAGTAATATTTAGCAAATGTAATCGCTGGAAAAAAATGTGGCGCTACTCCCCACGGGCTCCGTTAGCGGCAAAGGAGACGGCTAGGCTAAATGCTAAATGTAAACAACTCACTCGGGCGCATTACATACTGTACGTCACGGTAAACTCAGATCCAATCGTTTCAATCTGCAAAAGGAGTTAACCCCTCCCACCTGTAAACGGAGCTCAGTGGACCTTAGAACGAAATGTAATTTGTACTATGGTGTGGTACGACCAGGTTACATCACAGTACTAACCAATCTATTCCCTGCTTAGCTTTTGAGGCTTGATGAGATCAGGCTTGTATGCAGGGGGCTTATTGCAAAAAACAGCAATTAATCCAATTTATCAATCAGTTGAACAGGGATATTAAAAGTTAAAAAAGGCTTTGGTCCATTTTTATTTTGATGTTTTGGAAAGTTCCAGTCTGGATTTAAATGATCTACAATCAAGAAAACCATGAAAAAGGTTAACTTCATCAGGTGGAGTAAACGGGTCATATTTAGAGGGAAGCTGACTGCATGTAAGAATAATTGTAACTGTAATTGTATATTTGTATGAACAATGAAATGAACATGAAATGAACAAATAAATACACACAAATTCAGGTTTTCGAGCAGTAAAAACATCCATAATTTCACAAGCAGCCCCCATCAGAAAAGTTGTACATCACTTTTAAATAGTCTCAAGTGTTTTTGATTATAGGTCCTGGAGCAGTTAGGACTCACAGATATCATGATGAAAAGAGTAGTCTTCACATCTGTTTTTACTCATGCCAGAAGCGGATGTTGTGCGTTAAAAGGTATTTTTTCTCCCACTAGAATCAATCATTTCTGCTGACAGATGATTTGGAGGTTAAGGTTTTGAAGAAAAAGTTTGTAAAAACGTTTCAGACGTCAGCACAAGTCAATCATTTGTCACGGACGGGGCACGTGTAAGTTCTGACCCCTCGGTGAAAGACCAAAGAAACACCCACAGGAAACAGATGCAGCACAAAGAAAGTCTTTCGTTGTAATTTTACGTTTGTCCGTCTCATGTTTAGAGCTACAAATGAACTGCTCATTGCATAATGTTGGCCGATGAATGTCTCACAGTCTATTCTGCATAGACCAGAATAAATTACTCAACACACATAACACTTTCATCAAGTTATCTGTGATTCATGGAAATAAGTGATATTTTTAGTCCCTGCTCTGTTATTGGTGAATATCAAATACCAGCAGACACAAAAATCAACAGTATGTATATAATGAGTTGGCAGAATAATAACAAATGAACAATTACACAGCACAAACGTAAACTCAATGCTGTTTAAGGCGACTAAACATGAACTAATTAACAATTCTTCACCCAACCACAGTGGTAAACAAACCTTTTCTGTAATTCATTACTGAAATTTGGCTAAGAAATTACAAATTCTGCCATGGCAACTAAACTTATGAGCACAATTGTATATACTTTTCAGTCTTGAATCAGCTGTTTAAAAATGCAGTAAGTTTATAGCGTATGACTCAATCTACGAACGCAATTTCTGAAAAGTTGTGAGAATTTTCCTGCACCTTGATTTTACGTCTGCGGAGATTATTGAGGGGGAAGTGTGATGATGAGTAGTTTGGAGGTACATCCTGTTAACTACTCCTACTGACATTAAGAGGATTACGTAGGTAGCTTCAGACTCAGGCAACTCCTTCCGTAAACTTGAGTCTTTCCTATCCCCCCAAAGCTCTCCTTCGTGTGGACTTTGTAATTTGCCTAAAACTGAAGGCATCCGGCCGCTGCGTCTCGAGACAGGTAGATGAATGACTGTGGAGATTGGAGTGAGAGAGAGGGAGGGGGGTCTTTGAGCTGGCAACATCAGAAGGGTGGACCGTTTGTCGGGCAGTTGTTTTGCAGGGGCAGATGGGGCGGAGGTATAAAGGGCAGGGGAGAAGTCTACAGAAAGGTAAAATACACTGGACACCTCACAGACAAGAAAGCATGGAGGCTGCGGACTAAACGCCCCATCTATATCATACAAAAATTTGTCATTCTGTTCTTATGCACATTTATACGAATCATATAAAAAGCTGTGTCTCCTTTTGTTTGATCTGAATCTAAAATAAACCGTGTTACAACTCGCTGACAAGAAAAGCATTGTTTTATTGGAATTTCTAATACTTGGAAAAATACTGGCTCTTAATAACAGTGTGTGAAGAAACATAGTCTTGAATTAATCATTAAGAATGTTATCTTTGAATGCAAATATTAGGTTTGGAAAGGGGACTTAGTTAAAAGGACCTGCCTGTGTATCTCAATGTGTAAGGAAGCGGCTCAGACAAAAAACAAATTTTTACACAATTTTCAAACCACAAAAAGATGAAAAATAAATGAACTCTCAGAAGAGTTTGATACTATCACGAGCTTTCACATTTTTGGCCACTTTAGATCAGCTTTTTCAAAGAGAAAAGGGAATAAGAGAGGACCAATCAGCTCTCAGCCCAATGTTTTTGACAGTAATTTTATTATCAATCAGAATTATCCATCATATCACCTAACCTTCATTCTCAGGAGTTTAGAAGCGCAGTGAAGGCCATAGAACATACACTAAATCAGTTCCTAATGACTAGTATAGTAAATCCAGGACATCAGTCAGCGAGTGTCTGAGCCGGTCTACTGCTTTGCCTTTGTTGTCCCTTCAAACGAGCAGGTTAACTGTCTTCAGCGCCGCGGAGGTAATTGGTCTCTGTGTTGTGGCTCGACTTTATCAATGTCTCCCTCAACACATGTGTTTACCACTACTCTAATCTTCAAAAAGCCTGTTAACATAAGTAGCTCAGCTTTCATACACCATAAAGTCCGCTTTGAGTGATCCACAGTGCCATCCTGTTTACCACGGCGAGCTGCATAAGCGCGGCTCTGATGGTATCGTGACGGCGTGTGCCTCTTTGTGACTCTGTTCCAAACGTGTTGCGCTAATATCCCAGCTCTGAAGACAGGTGACGAGAGGTGACAGCCACGTGAATGAGCGGCTTACACAAATACACTGTGTATGTGTAATATTTCACTGACAAAACATGGAATCAAAGGTTGATGCAGCAGTCACCAGAGAGCGCCTCCAGTGCTTAATGCTCTCTCACAACGCGCAGCAGCAGGGGCATCCAGCTTAAAAGTGACAAATATTCATCGAGCCCAGTGTTAAGTCTTCAACCTCCAGGCACAGTTCACTTGTGTTTAGTAAACTTTCTCAAGTGAATTCAACAGAGATGGCCTATTCTACATATTATGAATATTTAGGGTTAGTTAATAAGGTCTTTTTCCAGTGCGCCTCGTTCTTCTGACTATTTACTACTTCAGTTTTTCACTGGTAACACTAAGCAGATACAGCCGTTGCTGAGACACAGAGGGTCTACAGGTCATGGCCTTTAATGAGAGCATGGTCCTGAGCGTGTGCAGTCTGGAGGCCAGGCTAATTCGATTTCCATGCCTAATTCTGCTCTTCTCCGCTGGTGTCCTAAAGTGCAGTACGAGTCGCAGCAGAGAGCACCAGAGGCGAGGCACGAATGAGACACAGGAAGTTTGGTCTCCAAACATCTGGCAGAAGCACACTCCACTTCGAGAGAGAGAACAGGCCCTCAGATCTGCTGCTATCAAAGCGTGCCCTCAGAGCCTAAGCCACCATGGCCATGAACTGAAACAACTGAAACAGGCCCTAAATGGGCCACAATGAACACCTGCAAGCCTCAAAATATGACATGTTTACAAAAGCCTGTGGCACAAATCAAGAGGGGGATCCCCAGAACGGTTCTTATTAGCTCCTATATTGTGTTTTGTTATTTTCTCTTTAACATATTTTTTAATTGTGTAATAAATAAACAAAAACCGCGCCGTGTACCTTATGGCATACAGCAGTGTGTAATGATGATTGACATGATAAAACTGTCAAACAGCATCAGTGGTGCCTGGGAGCAGGGTCACCTGTACACAGCATTAGCGAATTAGCTGCTATCTAACCCAGACCTGCAGCAGCGGGCTGACACTAATCCTGGTCCCGCTGGAGAGCTCTGTCTGTTACACTATCATGTCTAATCCCATAATCTTACAGCCTCACACTTAACACTACCCCACCTTCGCCTTTTTCCTCAAACTCTCTAATAACATTAATGAAGGACCACGTCCCGCTTACCCCGGTTTGCCCCAGCACTGTAGTGGGTGACTGCTGTAATTGCAGACCCCCTGTATAGTCATCTATGCCTCAAAGGCAGACGGTAATAATGTAATTCATGGCCCAGGGCAAAGCAAAGCAAACATATGCTCAACAAATCATGGTTTGTGTATTTTCTTGTCACTGTTGCAGTTGCTCCATTAAAGTCATTGATGAGATCCTAAGAGAAGGGCTGACGCTCTTTGAAGTGCTCATGCCACCTTCAAAGCCCCCGGTCTACTTTACACACGCCGTTTATGTTGAGCTGACCTAGGTTATTAAAATACCACAAAAATGATTGTCATCTCTCTTTTGACTGTCAACAAAGAGTGACAGCGGAGGATTAGAGGCGATGAAAGGTTGAAAAGGCTTGTGTATTAAAAATGGTACTTTATCCATTAAAGTGGGGTTCTTGCTCTGTTTTTGTGTAATTACCTGCACCGGCAGCTGTGTACAGGGCTTACCTTGTTTACACTGCGTGTCTCGGAGTCTGACTGTCTCCCTGCTCCCTGCACTGTCTTCTGCTTTGCCTTTGTCTCTGCTCACGTCTTTCACTTGTCTATCTTGGCTGTCGGGATAGACCTGAAAAGAGCAGGCAAAAACACATCCAGAAGAGCCTTGTTAATACCACACAGTAAATACACACAAGTTCAAGCAAGTCCCTTAATGTGCTTTTAATTTAGCATTTGAGCTGTATTCATTTATTTACAATTTACAATTTGGCACTCGTATGACTCAAACCCATTAATGTGCTTTGCAATGTTAATCAAATGCTAATGCAATTGCATATCCCATTCCCTACCTCCTAACAAACGGCACCACACTGACTTAATTGTGTGAGGAAAACAGCATACACCCGCGTCCTCTCATATTTAATTTTTATCTTGAATAAAAGAGCTATAGGAAAGTATTAATCTGCTTAACATTTCTAAGTACATCCTCCAAAGGATTTGGCTTTTTTAATCTTACATATGCTCAGCAGAGTTACTGGCAAAAACTGTACATTTTCCTCATTTCATCCTTTCAACATCAAATGGTGAGCAGCAAAAATTGGATCAGACTTCAAAGACTGTGATGTGCTCCAAGTCACGGAGTGGCTCTTCTATTTCACATATTGAATCCGAGCAGGATATCAAAGTGCTACCAAAGAACCTCAGGTCTTTACTAAAAAAGGGCTCTAACATCTGTAGAAAGAGGAGCGCAAAGACAAATCACCTCGGGGAAGAGCCAGCATTTATTCTCAGCCGTGAATTTCCAGCCTTTTGATTTTCTCGTTCCTGTACCACCCTGTCTTCTCCGCTGAGATGAGGGCCGAGCAAAAGCTCTTTTGTTTCAAGAACCAGTGGCCTTATTAGATACAAGATTCAGTGACTTACTCTTTGTGTTAGTTCATGATTGCCAACTTCTTTGTTGTCTAACCTGTACAAAAACACAAATTGACAACACACAATGAAGCTACAACAAACAATTTAAAATGTGTGTGCTTTTATTTTTTTTAAGAATTGAGAGTGCGATTTACATTAATAATCTTCTACTTTGTCTTAATGCCACCATTGTTTACATGCAAACATGGATTGCATGGCACAGAGGACAAACTCAAAGAGAAATGAGCTGCATGAAGGTGAGAACACTGATGCCGCAGAGGTAAAATGGGTCAGAAAATGTCCAAATAAATCCATATATATGAAGAGATTCCAGCACTGATTAAACAGAATTGTTAAGTGGTGGTTTGAAGTTTCTCTCACCAAGGAATATGATTGTAAACACTGAGTGAAAATCCCAGAAGAGGCAGCGCGCAGTTGGAGTATACAACAAGCATAACATTTTCTGAAGTGTAAATCCAGTATTGGAGATTTTTGAGTCTCTCGAAGTCTCAAAGGTCCAGAAGTCACTCAACAGGCAATCCCACGACATAACGATTATCTTTGAGAGGCTGTTTGGAGGCTTTTGATTACATTGCACAGAACATGGCAATCTAATCAAATCAAACTGTGTTAGGAAAACTCACACTCGTCTTTTCTTAATTAACGACTGTGTATAAAAAAGTGGCTGCTTCTTCTTTGGCACATGCTGCCTCCTCACACAGTAAATATAAGCCCACGTTTTGTACATCTGGAGACCAGTGCTCTACGCTGGCCCCATTTGCGGTCGTGCAATTGTGCGATATTTATTTTATTTATAAAACTGGGAGGCTTGGTGTAAAGGGTGGAGCCACTTTTTCATTTGAAACAACATAACACTACATAGCTATACTTTCACCCTGCTGAAGTCGGACCGGCTGCATTGAAGTGAGAGGCCACTCGATACAGTATCGAGTGGCCTCTCACTTTGTGGTCAGTATTGAACTTGTATTTTGTAGAAAATGTATTCCTTTTTAAAGAGCAGTGATTACCTGCTGTTCCCTTTGATGCTGGTACTTTTCGTCTCAGAGGAAATTTGGTCTTGGGGTACATGACGATCTTGTCTCACTTGATGGTCTCTATGAACTGCAAAGTATTTGTTATATAGATGACATAAAGTAATTCATTAACAGGGCATGCATGGAATAATTCAATTGGGATACATCAGTTTTAAGAATTTGTATCAAAATAATTGTAATATCTGTTCTGTCACCACTGAAATAAATGTATTACATACAAATTAATCAATCAATCAATTTTTACATTTTGAAATAATATGGAGCTTTGCATTCAAACTGAGCTGGATATTCAGCAGTTATGCAAGCATTAAAATCCATATGCAAAGAATTCAGTGCTTTTCCTCTTACATATAATAATTCTGAAGGTTGAAGAGCACGGTGTATTTTGCCTGGATGCAAAATTATCTAAACGCTGTGATGCTGTATTCTGTCAAAAAAAAAGTGATTTTCTGTCCCTTCACTGGTATCGATTAATATCAGCTATTGGCAGACCATCACGTTTGAGTTAAAAGTATTGTAAATGCTTCTTCTAACTGGTCCTTCCAATGGCTTTGTGTTTACTTGTTGTATGTTATGCACAGTAAAGAATGCTCAAGTACATTGTTGAGGTTAGTATATTTTGCATGGTCTAACCTGATCGATGGTGAGTATGTCCCTAAGGCCCCGCTGAGATCTAAGGAGCCACCAGGCTCATACATTTGAAAGGCATCTGTTTATTTTCAGAATGCAAATGCGGCCCACCTCAAAGGCTATAAGCTGTGAGAGTGTACAATGTGAATGTGCTGGAGTGGAGGGCGGGCGGCTGAGGCCCACTTATGTCAGTTTCAGGTTCTTCCCTTGAACCAGGCCACACACAAGCAGCTGCTCAGAGGCCTCGCTCACACCCAACATGTTTGGCCTTTCTCCTGTTTTATTTACAAGAGCTTTAATGAGCCGCATTTACACAAGGTGCACATGCAGGCAATAGAGCATACGAGGGGGCCCTGAGGAGAGCCGAAGGAGACAATGCCAGATCTCCTCCCCCAGCCTTCCCCTGTCCTGCCCCTTTGGCACCCAACCCTATCCCCTAGTGACAAGATGAGGGTGGGTGGGGGGCAGGAAGGTTAATATGCCCACTTTGATCTCCGTCAAGGAAGAATTCATTTACAATTCAGATGAAAAGGTTGACAGTATAAAGAGGCATCTTGTTTCTGGTATGTGAAAGCTTTGCTATAGGCCAAGAATGTGAGAGGAAATGGCGAGGAAGCAGAAGGACAAGCCCCTCTCTTGCGTTTTACTGGGAATGAGATGAAAGAAAAATTTGATTGCCGTTCTTCTAAAAGATGTGGACCAAATGCTTCCCAAACACTTTAAACTTTTTTTGTGCATTATTAATACATTTTTAGGCCACTCAGAGATAAAAAGGTGCTGCATAATAATAGCAAGGAGAAACAAGGAAATGTAAAGGACCAAAACTATTTCACTACTGGACAAAGATTGTACCAGACTGTTTTTGGGCTTCAGCCATGTCTCGCTGCTTCTTCATCTGCTTGTAGAGCTGACGAGCCATATATCCTCTCCAGGCTGAGGAGGACAGAGCCAATCAATATGTAATGCAATAATAATAATAATAAAGTAATAATTACCCCATAAAGGGAAACCGTGATTGCCTCTGTGTGTTTGTGTCTGTTCCTCAGTTAACTGAATTGTGAGAAAACAAATGGGTGAATTTGAGTTGAAACGTTATGTGTATGAAATTTGGGGACCGTTCATGGGGTGTTACTGTTTTTGCATGAATGTAAACAAATTATATGATACAACCGCAGAACCCCCCTCGGCAAAACATGGACTAAACAACATTTGATCTCTCTTTTGATGCACAACTACACAAACCTGCACCTGTTTAGTTACTGATGCAAAATATCACATTATCTCAGTAAGCTTTACAGTTGTGGCTGTACCTGATTGAATAATGATGGCACTTCTTTTTCTCCTCTTCTTTACTCTTTGATAACGCCGTGCCCCAAGCCAGCCTTTAGTGTAGGCTTGTAACACCACAACGCGTGCGATCACTTCTCTCAAAAGCAGGTTTAGCTGCTCTACGTGGTAGTACCTCAGAAAGACCTGCTCGACATAATAACATAGAGCTGGATAAGTGTTTTATAATCCATTTTGTCGTCTTTTGATACGTGGAAAATAAATCACCTTTGTTTTCCCCATCACCCAATTCTCCAATTTGGCTCGTTGCAAGATGGCAGTGGTATTTTCTCTACCAGGCTCCGGTGGCTGATGCGACCGGAAAGCAATATAATAATATCTGAAACATAATAATATATAGCTGAAAGAGGCGTTAAACTTTTTCTAATTTTCACAGCGCAGTGTAAGAAAAGGGGCCCATGCCCTTCCTATATATTTTACCCCCTGCTGGCTGTGAGACGCTATTGGGCCCTTTTGCCCGGGTATACTAGTTCCGACTTTGGTGCGGGTCGCAATTAGACACGGTGGACTGCGGGTCATATTTAGACACAGTGGACTGCGGTTCGTAGGGTACACTGAGGTCCGGTCTTGTCAAAACCATGCAGGTTCACAGGGTCACGGCGAGAACAACAATCAACATGAGACAGGGACTGATGATTCCGCACACCTGCACCGCACCTCGCAGTGCTGCGAGGTCATTGGTTTACCTCGCCGTAAGTTTAATGATTTTCCACAGCGCGCTCACGTGTCCCCCGCGCGCCAGTCTATACACTCATGTTACCCACTAAGCTGCTGCACGTTGGAGAACGACACATCTCACACTTGTACACATTGACTCTCACTGATAGCAAAGAACGTAATTCATGCTGATGCGGGCTGTTTTCACACCTCTGTGGCGACTAACCGGGCCACTTGGCCCAGTTTTTTTATGGTCAAGCTTAATTGGGCAGCAGGGGGCACCCATCCCGCAGTTTGCCCAGGTCTGATTTAAAAAGCATCTGACTACTTTCCATTGTAATAATAGTCAAAAAGTTAATACTAATAATAGCAATATTATTTTCACATGGGACAAAAAGCATGAAATTAGAGGTAAGACACACATGGTCATTATACACATTCTGTTTTCATTCATAGTAATCTGGTTTCAGAATCTGGATTCAGGGGCCACGGGCAGAGGACAGCAGCTCAGGTCAGACACACCAAAGCTCTCAGTTCACCTCTTGTGTCCTGGTGTTGGTCAAAACGCATAAAAACAAGAATAAACTTCTTTGAACTCACTCCCTGCCTCGATCTACACAGCCTTTCATTCTAATTCCTGTTGATACCTGTTATTTCTTTGATGGTAAATACAAAGCAGAGGCTGGTAACATCAGAAAAGCCTTTGATATAAGAGTGCACATTTAAATCAGTTTTCACTAAAGGTTTTCAATAAAAGGTTTTATGGTCCACAAAACATTCAACATAGACAAAATAAACATTTACAGATATAATAAAGATAATTATGAACATTTTCATTAAACTCAAAATATTTCAGTGTTTTGTTCCCACAAGGGAACAAGTAAAGCTTGTTCTCAAAGATAAAGCTTTCCTAATCCAGCAAGACAATCCATCAAACCCTTGAAGAGATGAACATTACATACAATTGTCTGTGTGTAAAACATAGTTATAACATCTTTATTTCTTTAATGGGGATATGTTTAATTACATTTTCATTATCCACAATAATGGTTTCCAAATAGAAATAGTTTTCATGTAATTTGGAGTGATTGGTACAGAATTGTGTCTGCAGTTTCAATCTAAAGGCGACGCACACTGGGACGTTTGCACTTCCACACACAGCAGTTGAAAATGCACTTCAGTAAGGACACATCTCTGCTGGGCTCCATATATAAACATATAAATATATTGTCCATGGGACAATGTTTCTGGGCTAAACTGCATCCTCTTACTATTAAATCCATTGCGTATTTGGTCAGAGAAAAGGAGATCACTAAATTAAATGTTAAATAGCAACTATTGTTGACCAATGTACTTTTACAACCTGGGGGAAACCGTCTTGTGTAAGGAGGAGGCGTTCGTACCTGTTGACAAACTCGTCAAATGGGATGCGGTGGGAGTATCCCTGTCTGCGGATGTTGACGGTCTCCAGGACGCCTGTGTAGCGCAGCTGCACCAGCACTCGCTCCTCACAGAAGCACAGAGCCTGTCTGTCGTCATTGGGCTTAATGCAACGAACAAAGTGGGGATGGCCCACTACCATTTTCGACAACAGATCCATCAGGGAGTACTACGAACATATTCAACAACAAAATTCCTTAAACATTATTTCGAAGTCAATTTGAATTACTCAGCTATTGGGTGACTTACTCTGAAGTACGAGGCCACAGTTTGTCTTCTCATATTGGTGGTCTCTCCAGGGTGACGCATCATCTCCATAGTGTCCACCTGCACATAAACATATGCTCTTCAGCCACAACGTTTACTCAGTCATAACAAAATGCACAGGGACAAATCTTTCAGGCAACTTTGGGAAAAGGAAACAGACAGAGTGGCCTCTATACAGTGGCATGTAAAAGTGCTAATACAACTGAACTTTTGCATATTTTTGCTTTACAACCACAGAGAATATTTAATATGATCTCTGAGTATAATGTCTCTGAGTGCAGCCATTTGCAGAAGGACTGATGACTGATGACCAGCACAATCTCAGCTGTTCTGCAATGGCCTCAGAGGATCGATAAGACGATATTAACAACTAACTTATCATGAAGTCCAATGAACCCAACAGAGGTCAAGGATGAAATCGGGGAGACGTTTAAAAGATTATACAAGACTTCTAAATGTTTCAACATGTCACAGAATTCTTCACCCAAAAATGGCATAAAAATAGCACAACTGCAAACCTACCAAGACATGGAATCCACCCAACAAAACAGAACTGATCAGAGATACAATCAAGACACCCACGGTAACTCTGGAGGAGCTGCAGACAACCCTAGCTCACCTGTACATGGGGCAAATATCAGTCATACACTACACTAATCTGGACGTTGAGTGACAAATGAAATGAAGCCACAAGAAGCCAAGTGGAGGAAACATTCAACATGTGAAGAAGATAGGAGAGTCAACAATTTAACTTTTTGGCCTAAATGCACATCTAACTATGCTCATCACCCTCAGGACAGCATCCTCAAAATCAAACCTGGCGGTGGCAGCATCATGCTGTGGAGGGGTGGATGGAGTAAATTACAGGACATTCTTAGAAGGATTTCCTTAGCTATAAAAAACCTTTCAAGTAAATAATTTTAAAAAACGCGAGTTATTTTTAAAGATGTTCCCCAAAGACTTTCTGATGAAATTCCAGTAACTAATCTTAGGTTTATATTTTTACTTTTTAAAGATTACAAAATCTTGTATCATTTTGCTTTCATTTCTCAGTTTCTTGTTGTTGGAAACATAGCAACATTTGCAAAAGTTCATGTTATAGAAGCAATTTTGACTGTCGTTGACGAACAAACACTCTCAATAAGGGCAGTGGCAGTCATCTTGGACTGCGGGTTAATAGGATAGGAGGATGTATAAAATGACACCTGTGCCTACATTCTCAGAGACGATTGTTCTTGCTCTAAGGCTTAAGCACTCATCACTGCGTAAAGCTTGTCTAGTACGAGTCGTGTAACTGGAAGGCAGAGTTTTACTCTCCCTTTATGTCCAATCTGACAGGCTCGTATAGCTGAATCGTGATTGAGATGACATTATAGTTTGTCTTCTAGCACTAAATAGGCCAATGGGGAATAAACAGCTGTACTAAGTCTGGCCTATAAACACGCTCAGCTCACAATCTAGGGGATCATTCTGCTGTAAGGCATGGCTAAATTACAAAGCTATCCGAATAATGACACTAGCCGTCACCATCCTTACGACGCCCGATTAACGAGGACTCAATATAGGTTTTTAATGGTCTTTTCTAGTTCAGGGCTTCATCAAAATTAATGATGCAATATACTGTTATGGTAAGTCTATGTAGCAAAGTACATATCTTTAAACTTTATCCTTGACTACTGAAAACAGAAGTTAATAAATTGCGTGAGTTGAAGGGTATTCAATTAAGTCTAGAAGCCACAATGTATCAATGTGCTTTTAATAACAACTTTTTTATGCTTTCCTTCGACTTCACCAAACTTTGATTGAGAAGATGGCGGCAAAGCAGCATACATATTACATCAATGGCATCACATTGTTATTCCAGAAGTCTTTCTTCTTTAAGAATAACTGAGTAGGCGCTTAAGGGAACTTTAACAAAGTCAAAAGAATTTGTCATGGCCCCATTGCTCACAAAATATTGTACGATTTCATGACTTGAAGAATCACATCAATTTCTTATGTTTGCATTAGTAAATTTTAACAGTTATACAAAAATTAAATGAGTTAAAAAGATCTTTTCAACAGCAGCAGTGATGAGCAAGCACAATTAGATTATATCTGTGATTCTGGGAACAGCTTTGATTGTTTTTGGTGCTTTCTTACCTTCAACAAGTACTTAGGAGACTGAACAGCATGTGATGGCCAATACCATGAAAACGAAGACAAAGACTCTGTGACTTGATCAAAAGTACAATTTACCGCAGCAACGTTCACTAGCTTTCACTTAATACCTATAATATAACAATCAAAATACTGAGATCCTGAATGCCAGATGGTGATAAAAATGGCACATATAGATTAGAATCTTCTCAGGTAAGAGTACAACAAAAAAGTAGCTACTTAATATCTGAGCCTGAAAGAACAGCTTTTTACATTCGTTTTTATACATTAGCTGTTCCGGCGGTGAATAACAAATACACAACACACAGCACTCACCTTGTTACGGCCCGAACTAAGGGGAGGCAGAGACCGAGAGGCAGCAGTCACTCTGGCCCGAGACGTGGCCAAGTTTCCTGCCACAGAAATAAAGCATGGTAAAATAATGTGCCATCCCCGCTGTAACATACAGTGGCTTGCAAAAGTACTAATACAAACTATGAACCTTTGCACGTTTTGTAATGTTTAAGAGAACAAATGTTATGTATAAAACCATGAAGTAACATATGAAAGCAAATTGAGACATGAGATGTATATATGTATTTTTTTAAATCCAATTTTTTTAGGCCTGCACATGCATTTATACATTTCTTAATGACTGACAAAGCTACAATATGAATTCAAAGGTTCCATTCACTGGAAACAAGATATAACTGTGATTCAATTAAAATATTATATTTATAGTATTATGAGAATTGGATAGCTATAGAGTGATCTGGCCTTAGGTCACAACGACCCGATTGTGTGTCTGCTATGATTGTGTGTCCGTGTTTTGTTCTTTCAATGTCTTGTCGTGTTCTGATTGTTCTCTTGATGTGACACGAATGCTTTTCCATGTATGACGTATGTGTGACGTAAACGTTGACTATATAGACCATATCCTGATTATGTTCGGTCTGAAAAAACCTGGAAAAACCTGAAAGAACCTGCAGAAACTGGGAATAAACTTCCATGAGCTCTGGTGCGCCTTGAACCCGTCTCTATGTGCTTGATTTTCCACAGTATTATAAAATGTCCATTAACACTTTGTCAAGGTTTGATTTTCCCATGTCCAACATATTGCAGTGTTGCAGAGGGAAGTACCTTCATTTCTTATATAAGTAAAACAAATATTTTACAGCATAAAATTGTAAAAGGATCATTGTTTTCAGCAGGCATAGGGAGGATTGTAAAAACAACGGAAAGATGAATAGAGACAAAAAGACAAATCTATAGTCATTTTTGGAGTCAGCAAAACACTTAAAGACCCAACAAAATAATGTACTGTACACTGTAGTATTTAGAGTTTTTTCTGATGGTGGTCTCATCAGAAAAAGGAATATGCCTCTTGTTGTAACACCATTCTACTTGCTTTAGGCACATAACCTAAAGCAAGTAAACTAAACTAAACTGTCTGATTAGTTTAGTTTAGTTTTGTTTATTTTGGTCAAAGTTAACCCAAATAACAGGACACTTCATTTAGATAAAATCACTTCAAATACAAGGCAGCATTTATTACCTGGGAGAAACACACAGATTTAAATAGAAATCTATAAAATCACCATCTACAGTAATGTTTTCCAGCAGGTGTTGACGATAGTAAAAGTCTAGTGGTTAAGACAGAGCCTGAATCTGTCAGCCAGTGCAGTAAAAGCCCCACAGACAGCGGAAAGCATAGGAGCATATGCACGACAGTCTGAACATTTCAAAGTTTCTACACAAGATGTCCAAATGTTTTCTCTGGCTATATCTTCAGAGGCTAAACTGTGATTAATAGCAGTGAAAGAAGTCTTTGAAGCAGGATTGGTGACATCAAAGTCCTAATCCATGGGTGGCAGGATTTTTATAATGAGTGGGAAGTATCTTAACATATTTCAAAGGGTTTACTCCATGAATAAACAATAGCTGCACAGATGTGCCACACACCTTTAGAAAAATATGTCTGCAGACACAGGAGGCACCATTACCCAAGCAGCCGTCAGAGAGCAAGACACAATTTTTTGTAGATGAAGTAGACCTGACAGGTGAACAATTGCTCTCCATTTTTGACTGCATTCAAATCCAAAAAGATTTTTTTTGTTTAAATTGTCATTGCAGAGTTCACTGGAATTCTGCAAGTCTTGTGTGGGATTATACGCAAGGGCAAAATAATGTCTCAGTCTCCTCATTTTAAGTGCATGACATTCAAGACCTGCGACAGACTACTTGGATATACATATTATGTGCTGAATAAAAAAAAAAAATAATGATGGGACCATATAGAAATCACATTCTCATCTAACACCTACACAATAAATAGTGGAAGGTCTGACCTGTTTGAGGTCGGTTATCTTTTACCTAAATCATTTCTAACGTAATATTTACTTAATCTTTTCCTCTGAAGAAGATGACATAGTCTGGGATCGTGTCTTTCATTCAGACAGAAGACATGTTTTATTGTCGATGGTAGAGACAGCACGAACAAAACACACACAGAATGCAAGTGTATTATACAGAGCGGAGGCATGGAGACCTCCAATCAGCAGCTGCCACGGTGCCATGTAGCTTGGCCTTCAGATAGACAAAACAAGGGAAAAGTACTGGCTTCTGCACATTGATAGAATGATGAGTTTAACCTTAACAAAAGTTGCTTAAAAGTGTTATGAAATCTCACATTCCCCCCTCTGGTCACACATTCACGTGTGACCATCAGGATCGATAAACAGCAACATAACATCATAACTCAATACTTCGAAAACTCATAAACTCGGTACTTCACTCGGTACTTCAAAAAACTCAGAACTCGGAATACTTCAAAAACTCATGTTCAGAACATGTTCAGATCTTTCATAAAACTTGTCAACAATCTTCAGTAAAATACCAAACTTCATCAGTCGATGGTGGTTCCAGATATTGCTTTGAAAACAGTCTCTCCCACTTCTCCGTGTTGGTTTCTTCAGGCTGCATTTGTTGTGTCAAGCCATGAATTCTTCTGTGACGTGTCTTTCAATCACACGTTTCAGCTTCAGTGTCCAGATTCAGAAATCCAATTCAGTCCAAATTATGTCCAAATTCAGAAATCCAATTGTTCCAAATCATGTCCATGCAAAAGAGGACGATGGTGTTGTCCATGTCTCAGCAGCTCACAGCCTGAGTGGAATCAGGGGCTGTGCAGATTGTACAAGTGTGCTGATCCAGATGCATTCTCTTGAGGTTTCTCAGTTTTGGCTTAAAAAAAAAAACACTGTGTAAAAAAAAAGTAGTCTTCTGTTCTCTAGATGTTACAGACAAGGCCCGCATCCTTCCACCACCTGAAGAAGATGACATAGTCTGGGATCGTGTCTTTCATTCAGACAGAAGACATGTTTTATTGTCGATGGTAGAGACAGCACGAACAAAGCACACGATCACAGATACAATAGAATGCAAGTGTATTATACAGAGCGGAGGCATGGAGACCTCCAATCAGCAGCTGCCACGGTGCCATGTAGCTTGGCCTTCAGATAGACAAAACAAGGGAAAAGTACTGGCTTCCGCACATTGATAGAATGATGAGTTTAACCTTAACAAAAGTTGCTTAAAAGTGTTATGAAATCTCACACCTCTCTCCATAATTTTTGAGCTCACTCCCATAGAAAATGTGTGGGCAGGTCTCAAAAGGCACGTGAAAGCGAGGTAGTCCTGTCGAGGAGGATTGGACCAGATTACTATAATTCTACACAATAAAAGTATGCCCCACGTCAGACTATTTTATAGAATATTCTACCAAATAAAAATATATTTGTATAAAGTAAAGTAAAAGAATCAAAAAATATAGACGCAAGCGGCGATGAATGGCCCTCGCCTTTGCCAAACCGTGCTGTGCAACCGCAGAAAAGTGTATTTGTGTTTTGCATCCAGTGCTAGATGCGAAGCGCTGTTGAACATTTATGAATGAAGAGGATATAAGATGTAAGGCTGTGTGAGAAGAGGATAGAGGCTGATTAAATGCTGATTGTAGCGAGTTTAGCAACAGACAGGAGCTTTTTCTCACTGCAAAAAGAGAAGAGGAGGGGCTTTCTTTGTCTCCTGCTGGTCCCGCTGCTCACACTGTACATCAGTGTCTGTGTTCGTCACAGAGCAGGCGCCGTTATTAGTAACAAAAGTGAAAAAGGCACTTGTTTACAGGGGCAGGACACAGCACTTTTGCTGCATGGCAGTGTTTAAGAGTGCATTTCACTTTAAGCTGAATATCAATTTCACACCTTAGCCCACCACTTTACTTTGTCTCTGCTGTTTTTAGCTGTGAGGGGAAGGACTAAAGGGCAGGGGTACAAATATAAAGATGAAGATATCAGATGACCCCTCAGGGATGAAGGGTTAGGAGTTTCAACAAACAATTTGCAAGTCTTCTGCCCCAGCTTTGGAAAGAGGTCTATGGCAGTGGGCAGGGATATCGACGTGAAGGTGAATGCAAGCTGTTAGGGTAAACTCTTACAGATTTTATTTTTTATACAGTATAGACCCTAAAATATAATGTAATCCAACTTAAAATCAACATCATATAAGAAGCATAGGCCTATAATATATGATCAGTATTATATGATAATATTATAGCCTAATCGTAACAGTCCTTTAATGTTCACTCCTTGAAGAAAGAAATGTATTGTTTTCTTATTTGGATTGTCTAATAACACAAATTATTTGGTTTTATGTTTTTTTATTTTTAACCCCAAGTTTTATTTCATTATAGACTTTTATCAAATGGTTGAGCTGCAGTTTGATGGTAAAAGTGCCTAAAACCAAGTGAGACACCCCAAAGAGGTATATTTCAGTTCCAATCCAATGCTAGGGCTAATGCAATCCAATATACAGGCACACACACACAAAAGAAATGTTGTCTATCACTTCAGGAAGATGAATTGTTATTTTACATTGATTCATTAGACAGTGAAATATTTCCACCATTTATTACTGATAGAAATGTTCTTATTTTAGTTTAATTAATTTGAAAAGGGGAAAGTGCCTATAACTCTTCATATAATGTAAAATTCCGGTTTCCACTGTATGTAGCACTCTTTTTGTTATAAATTAACATTTACAAACGCACAATGTAATTAGGCAAATGAACAAAACACAGTCTGTGTTGCGGTGGTTTGTGAGGGTTTTGTGAACAACATGAAGGGCACATATCTTAAACCTCCGTGCCCCCTGGCACTGCTGACACAAAAAGCAGCGCAGGAGTAGGAGCTGCTAAACGGTGCCGGGTGCATTAGGAGCACAGAGCGAGGGCCTGGCTCCAATTAGCCCACAGTAAAGCTGAATGGATTAATTGGAGAGGGTCTTGTGCAAATGAAGTGCGCTCTCTCCTCTCCCCATTAGTGCTGCTGGGCCCGATCATCTGAGCACATTTGTCATGATGAATTAGCGGCAGCGAGTGGAACGGGCTGCGGAGTGTCACTGCGCTTTCACGCCTCTCACTTCCATGACACCATCAGGCAAAGATGAAGGAGCCGTGTGATGAGAGCAGCTCTGACAGATGTACCTAAGCCTGACAAACGGACACTCCTGAAGACTCCTCCAGGGTCGCGTTCATTCATTATTTTAACCGACTTCATATCCCTTTTGACTCCATGATTAGAGCGAGGGTTAATAGTCAGCATCCTCAAAGATTTTTGTCTCCTGAGACATAAAGTCTAGGGAACACCTGTGATGTCCAGTCTGAAAGGGACTTGTCTAATGATGTCGGGAATAATTATTCAACAGAAAAGTATAATTATCTTTCTGTAAAGAAGTACAGTAAGGCCTCAGACTAACATAGACACAAGAAGGAAGAGTTAAATACATTATTAATTAGTTATTAATTATTGGGGGAAAGTAATATAATTAGAGCCACCTCGACTTGTAGGTATAGAAGTAAAGAAGTGGACAACATAACATCAGGGGCTCACCCTGGTACCATGGTAGAATAATATTTTCATCTAAAACCTTTATCAGTTGTTGAACAAAGAACAACTAATGTGGAATATTCCCATTAGATTTTAGAGACGGGAGGTGGGGGACATCCCACAGATTTTGCTTCATGCATGTCACTCTTGGCTTGGTCTGCCACTACACACAGTGCTGTGGGGTAAATTGGGGCCGGGGGGACAAAGAGGGGAAAAAGCTTCCTTGGCATCTGTGCGTTCACTTTGAAAATTAAGCCCAGCAAGTATCCTGCAGAAAAAAAGCTCAAGCTGGCAGTTGTACCGGGCTCCTATTGACAAGAATAGTCAATGTGCTCAGGATTAAAAAGCAATCCTTGGTTCAATATGACACTTTGCTACATGCTTTTATGAGCAGCAGTGCACGCCTTGTACTTCAGAAGTCCATGATCGAGCTGTTGACACAGGGCACAGACAAAGTTGTAAGACAGAGAAGCGAGAGCAGTCTGCTAAAGCTGAGCGAGCAGCAGCACACAGATATCTCCCGCTCTCCCTTTCAAAATGTGTGATCTAGAAACTCAACTCAGCACCCAGGCAAATGAGATTAAACCCACCATGACCCCCACCCTCTGTAAGCACCAGCATTTATGCCTGGAGATGGCTCCGGGGGCTGTTGATTTAAATGGCATCCTCTCCTGTCAGGGCAGATCAATCAAAAAAGCATGGTGTAATTGGCTTTTAGTGACACAACAGTGTGTTGCATTTATCAAAAGATGTTGTACCATGTGACCATAAAGCCCACTCCTCACAACTGACATGTGGAGCTGTGGAAATCCCTGTGCTGACTCAAAACATTACCCTCTTCCATGTTTAGAAGTCTTGTGCCTGAGAGACAACGGTAAAAGAAACGAGCCTGTTTTAATTGAGAGACCATGTAAAAAAACTATATACAACTGTAATAATACACATTATTATTCTCTATTATGGAAGTAATGCCATTTCATATTATACATGATTTACAAAACAATCATAAGGGACTCCTTGAAAGATCAACACTTTTCCACAAACAATCGTTCATTTGCCAATCAGTTGCCATGTAGTGGCAAATGAGGTAATCAGATATTCAAGTGCTCATACCATAGACTGTAAATATTAACGGCCGTAGTCACGCCTATCTCCGCCGTTCTAACTAATGGGCCAAAAATTGTGCTTTCATGTAGTGATTCAAAATGGCCATGGGGGCTGGAAAATGTGAAAAACGCATCTGCGCATGCGTCAGCTGCACGAGCCCCATTCATTTAAACGAGTGACTTAAAAAATTAACTAAACTAGACTGGTCCAAAAAAAAAATCCCCCCTCCCCCAGCATTGACAGATATGTGGAACGAAGCTTTGGGCCAAGAGCCAACTTTTGGACCAAGAGCCAACTTTTGGACCTTTTCGAGAGGTCAGCTAATGCTATATGTTAGCATTGGCTAATTCTTTATTCCGGGTCCACCCCCATCGGCCCGGGGTGGTATTGTAAGCATGACAGCGCACATAATTTTGGCCACTTTTGAGTGAGCCGGGACCTGCCCCCACTGGCTCATACACATCAAATGTGGGCTCAGGACACCATGCACTTAATTGCCCCTGGGAAATGTGTCCTCTGCATTTGACTTGTCACTGTGGGAACCTGTGAGGAGCAGTGGTCCTGCAGCCCTCTGATGATCAGCTTAGAAAGGACTTCCTTGGCTGGTGTATTTGACCTACAAGTTTACATTTCCATCAAATTCAAACACTACAATAGGCCTGATCGTTACAAGGAGGTACTAACGTACTAACGTTATTTTATGTGTGTTTCAGTTACATATCAAGAAGCGTCATGCTGCCCTTCATGTTGTTACCATGAAAGTTTGGGCTTTGTGCGCATCGCACTTTCCTTTATATATATCCATCCATCCATTTTCTTCCCCTTAATCCATTTCTGGGTCGGGGTGGTGGCAGTCAGAGCAGTACACAGAGGACCAGCCCCTCACTGATCCTCCTGCAGGTGGTGAGTCCACAGGAGCTGAGAGCTTTCAGCGGGGGCTTCAGGCAAAGTGGGGTTAAGTGTCTTGCCCAAAGACACAACGACAGCAGACATCAGTGGGGGTCATGAAGTAGGCCTTGTGATGGGCTTGAACCTGTCGCCCTTTATATAGTAATCCTTTCAAAAAATATGTTTAAAAATGTACTGCTCTGCTTGGATGATGAGCTTAGTCCATAATAATGTGATAAGGAACCCTGGGAATCACACCCACAGGTGCACTTTGCTGTCACTTTAGGCGACTTATTTTGAAAGTTTTACAGCAAGTGTGTTAATTTGACATGTTTCTGCCTTTCCTGAGGTGAGAAGTCAATACGGGTCCAAACAACATGCTAGCATTTCCTACTGTTGTTCAACAATGTTTGTACACTAAACATTGTTTAGACAAAAGAGACAATAATGGGTTTTTGGACACACAATGATCAATGTAAAAATGACAATAGTCAATAGAAATCAATAAAAAATACATTCAATATACTGTATATATTGATTCCTGCCAAAAAACAGGATGTTGCGTTGTTGTAAATATGCATATAATTTGTTTCTATACTTAACATACATAATAATAATGCAAGTCAGACAGCAGCCATCATTCTTTTGAACAAATGTTATGAATACTTGTATTAACAATAATAAAAATGGATTATTTGAATGTGGAGATTAAAAGTGTGTAGATTCTGACAGTATTTTATATATATGAAGTCTTTGGTGGGTACTGTTTGAGTTAATACCACTGACTGAATGCTGACATATCAAGGTCTCCAAACAGGAGCGTGGCTTAGCTCAAATGAAGTAGAAAGTGGAATCTGATCATTTTCATTCTCTATTAGCATTTATGCTAAGTCGAGTGACCAGGAGGCCTGTGCCGCAGCTAATAGCGTACACATTACTACGTTCATTGAACCAACATAAAGGAGGTTGCTTTTGTGTTCTCTAAATACAGTTTCTTCATCCTCTGGGTATTTAAAAACCTTATCACAGAAATATCCTACTGCACTCACTATCTGCAGATAGCATTCAGTAGTGGGAAACCAAGAGGGACAGCTTAGTGAAAATAAAAACAGAGCGGCGTGCAGAGAGCTGAGCCTCTCAAGAGATAATGGAGACTGCAGACTTATCCCCGCGCCACAGAGGCCTCACATGAGGGGGGCGCAGCGCTTTGAGGAACCCACTTACCTGAAACACCATTCACTGAGTAATACATGCACAAGTCTGTATGCTTAACAATAGTTTGTCTTCAAGAAAAGTTCCCTTTTTCATTCCCATGGTGCTGATCAGGAGCACAATAAGCACCCTTACAGTGATATGGCCCGATCCCTCAGATCATTCTTTCAGTTAAAAAGGACTGCACCTGTTTTAGTTAAGGGGCTGGAGAACAGCTGCTGCAGAAGTTTGTTCTCTGAAGTTCTCAGGACCAGTACAATGTCTGCAGGAAGAGTATCTCTGTTCTTTTCCAAAAATCCATTGACATTGTACATCACCTGTTAAACAGAGCAGACGAGAAAACAGTCCTGAGGTTCTCAAGTGGACATTCCAGTTCTTTCACAGTAATTACTTGTCATGACACTTCAGGGTTGTTTTGTTTAGGATAAAAAACCAAGGTATTAATCACTGTTACTATCTATATTCGACAATAATATTCTATTCTATTTTATTTGAATAGTCCATTTAGTAATGTACCGTTGACTGTATACAAATTAATATACAGCTCATGTATAAAGAAATGTGTTTGAGTTTCGAAGGAATTTCTAAATGTGTATGTACATTAACATGTAAATGTTGTGAAGGGGTTGTGTTTTTACCAGGGTTTGTTTGTCTGTGTGTTTGTTAGCAACATAAGGATATTTACAAAATGTTCAGTGAAGCTCGGAAATGGGACAAGAGACAAATTACAAAATTCAGAGGTGATCTGGATCACCAGGGCGGCACGGTGGCTGAGTGGATAGCACTCTCGCCTCTCAGCAAGAAGATCCTGGGTTCGAATCCCGGTCGGACCAGGGGCTTTCTGAGTGGAGTTTGCATGTTCTCCCCGTGTCTGCGTAGGTTTCCTCCGGGTACTCCGGTTTCCCCTACCACTAAAAATATGTCCAATAGTTCTAGCATGCGCCTCCTGTACTGGCGACCCCGCTCCCATCTCTGTGTGGAGTGAGAGACAAATGCCCAAAAATTAACAATTGTAAACCGCTTTGAGACTCAGATCTGCAGTGAAAAGGCGGTATATAAATAAAAACTTACTTACTTACTTACTATCATCGACTGGATTGAACAAGCAGAGGACTGGCAGGCGGTTATTTAATATTATATAATGTTCTTCACTTTTATATTCATCATTAGACCAGAAACCAAAAACATACATAAACATAGATGTCACGATAAAGCTCACCTTTCCTGCATAATGCTGGATCCCAAAGCAGAGCTCCATGCGCTTAGGTATTGAGAAGTATTTGCATCGTAGATTGTCTTCAAATTTATCTGTAGAAAATGTAAATATATTTTAGATTCCTTCTTTATCATCAACTTTCTATTTCACTAAATCAGTGGTGAAAATAACTTGTAATAAGTAAAAGTTCTGTGTAGGTATCACTACAGCAAACATGACAGAGACTAAGATTTTGTTTTACTTCACTGAATGTACAAATCCATGCGTTCAGTCCCCAAAAATACAAACACGACATAAGTCAGAACACTTCTTGATCAAGATGAGGTAAATTCTTACATAAATATAAAAAATATATATATTTATTCATGAATTTTTACAGTTCACCATTTTGTGAAAGTCTTGTATAATATACTTATAACAAAATGTTTGTATTATATATACAATATATTCACAGAAATATAGCTGCAAGTGGCGATGAACAGCCCTCGCCTTCACCAAAGCTGTACGTGGCACTGCCACGCCCCGTGCTCTCCTTCACTTGCCCCTTCTGGATGTGAGACTCTGTGCATTCCTTTGTTTTACTTTATGAATGAACAAGGATTCACCACATGTTGAGCTGAAGATGAGATGATTTTTATATGAAGTTAAATTTGGTCTTCTCGTCACTGCCACAGCAACATTCTAACAAAATGATGCCGTAGATCTCAGATCTGAGGTCTCTAATGCCTCGCTGCTGAAGTGGGTGGAGGAAGCTCTCATCAGGATCTCTTGTGGACTTGCAGAGAACTTTCAATTGGAACAAGTACGGAGATTGAGAAATGTCCATCCCTCCTGGTTGTAAATGAACATCTTGGGAGGTACGTCACTTATAATAATTTTCCTACAAAGTGCACAGACTTTATTTTGACTAAATTACAATATATTTCGATTTAGTAGATAAAATAAATGGTATGTAGTAAGTAGTTCTAGAACACTGTTCTCCTTCCTTTAAAATCATTTACAAACTGTAGCATCCTTTATATTTAAAACATGTGTTATTCCACCAGAAAAAGTCAAAATTAGAAATTAGATTATATTATGAAAATTGACTGAAATGACATGTTTCTGCACATTTCTCACCTCATTACACAAACAACAGTTCAACTATAATAATGCCCATTTTCTTGTTCTATTTTTTACAGTACGTCTCTTGCCCAATCACTGCAGGAGTTCACTAATATGAGTATGTACTGTAGGGCCTGGACTCACCCACGAGAGTGTGGTCTGTGGCCTGGGGGAAGCGGCTCTCCTCGTCCAGCAGAGACAGGAGACCCATGGGCTTCTGCAGGAACATGTCCAGGATGGGTCTGTTGTCCTCGTACTCGACCAGACTGGCATCCACCCCCTCACTCTGGTACTCCATCTAATTACCCCAAGAGAATGTAGACCAATCCCATGAATGATTCTTCTAAATGACCCCATTAAGCAAACTGGGATGTGTACGGAGTTTCTCAACAACATCTGAGCATGAGCGGATCGACTCAATGCAAGAAACAACAAACGTCTACATTTTAATTTCAGATCAATAAAACATTTTCAATATTATTAACCCTTTAGTTTTTTTCAGGAATTGGATTTCTCCCAAGTTTCCGGGCTCCCAAAATGTGGAGCTTGAATAGGATATGAAGCCATTCTAAACCATTCAGGTGTCAAAGTAGCAAAATGAGCTCCTGAATCCTGGACCCTTCATATACAAGGCAAGTTTATATGTATAGCACAGTGCATACACAAGGCAAAGTGCTTAACAAAACTAGATCAGGCAATCACACAGGGCATTAAAAGATAATCACAGTACATTAGTACTCTCAGTTGTATGCACAGCTAAACAGATCTGTTTTAACCTAGACTTGTTGGAGAAAAAGCCTGTCTCAACTTTTAAGGAACACTGTTGCAGATTTTAGCTGGATAAATACATCATTCATAATTTTTTTCCTGCATATTATTCTTCTTTTTGTCCGTTTCACAAAACATTTCAACAAAAGCTCTATAGGACTAGAAAGGCAAAGGCAACGGCAACAACACGGATGCAATGAATGTGCTCATGTCCCACCATCTCAGGTAATAAGAGTAAAAGATGGTTTGAGTAAACTCTGTTCGTGAGATGATGAGCTAAACTTGTGCATTCACACCAAAAAGATATGACATAAACAGAATGATCTCTTCCCTTCCTGTTCCTTTTTCATTCACTTGTCAATAACAATGTACAACGATGTAACACACCAACTAAGAGACCTCTTTTGTCAGGAAATTGGGTTCGAGCAGAGTTCAGTGTTAGCTTAAAGGTGAAAAAGTAACTGGATCTGCACCTGCTTGTTCCAAAGGAGGTGTTGCTGCTGTTTCTTGGCCTCATACATTAACTGCACAAGTTTAATCACTGACCAAGGATCATTAAATGTAAAGAATAACCTCTCCATGTAAACAAGCAATACTCATAAACAATATAGATAACTTTAAGTATTCAGGTATAATTGTTGGTGCCTCTCACCTGCTCCAGGGCAAAAATATGCTGGTTGAAGTAGAACTGTATTTGCTCATTTGCAATATTAATGCATAGCTGTTCAAATGAGTTTTTCTTGAAGTTTTCAAATCCAAAGATGTCCAGGATTCCCACATTCATGCCACTCTCCGCGGCACTTCAAAGGAGAAAAGGGGGACAAACAAAGTTATTCTTCCATTCAAATCCCCAGCAGTCACATTAATTGATAAAATATTAATGTTAATTGGAATTCAACCCAGATACCAAGACTGATCTGGACAGCTTTGTTCAAAAAAAAAAAATAAACATCATCTTTTAGATTGCCGCAGTCTGTTCAAATGGATTTCATTCTGGTCTCCATTGATTTAACCTCCAGTAATTTTCAAACAAGTACAAAGACTACAGTTTGGTAAAAGCAGTCGGTTTCCAGGATTTATATTCATCGCTCAGTACAGAGGTCACCTTAGCCAGAGCTCGCATGTTGTTAATGGCAATAAAGGGAGTCGAGATGACAGGGGAGCAGACAGGAGCGCTGCTTTTCTACATCTCTGAGCGTGACTCTTTGACAGTCCATGCTCATATTTATGAAGGGATTCTTTTGGATCAATGAACAGCCTCTTTGCAGTCTCTCTGAAGTTTTTTAATCATCTCAACATTATTTTCTCAGCACGCAATTCTCTATCAAAAATTTATCATAACTTTTCAGCTCTCCCTTTTCTCCCCATTGAAATTCTCCTCTACGTGTTTGAATCTACCTTTACAGAGACTTTGCTTAAGGTCACTGCCTCGACTGGACGACTGCCCAGGACGAAGCACCTGTAAAAGGGGGTCGTCTTCTTCACACATGCCCTCACCAGATGTTGGCGTCCGGCTGCAGCAGGGAGTTGATGCGGTTGACGATCCAGCTGAACAGGCGTCCGTACAGGGCCTTGGACATGGCGTCGCGTACGTCCACGGCCTTGTCCAGAGTGTTGGGGCGGATGATGGTCTCGCCCCGGGTCACCACGCACTGGGATGTGAGGGCCTCCTGCAGCTCCTCTGGCCCAATGCTGAGGAGCGATGCGGCTGAAAACGCACACAGTTGGACACAAAAATAGAGATTATATAGTTTTGGCCATATTTGGAGAATATTTTGGAGATTATTTTAATTAGTAAAGCTAATATTGTTCACTTAAATTGTGCTGTATGCTCCTCATTCCTACTGTTCTATAACTTGTGATGCAACACTGAAATTTCCCCACTGTGGGACGAATAAAGGATCTCTTAATCTAAATATTTTGGAGATAACAAACAAAAAACAATGCTTTTTTTTCTCCACTAATTGCAAGTGGTTGTCTGAAGCCATAAACATAGTCAAATAAAAAGGTTTTAGATTTTCAAGATTATAACCTTATTGAGGCGCTCCAAGGAGATATCAAATGTGCGGTTGATGCAAGGCAGCCCAGGAGTTTACAGGAACTGGAGGCTTTTTGCCACTAAAAAAGGTGTAGCTTTACCATCAGAGAGGATAGAGAACCTCATCCACAACAACCACAAAAAGAGCAACATAAACAACGGAGAAGTGGGGAATGTAAACTCCTGATCAGGGTCATTTTTCGTTATCATTCATATGACACAAAGAAAAATTGAAATTTCTGTCCGGGTGTGTAAAGTTTGAAGTACAGCTGAGTATTCAAGTTGTAAAAATACACACACAAGTGAGCTACCGTTTTCTAAGGACTCTGAGTTAGGCACTTCACTCTTGTCAGTCTGGTGCTGGGATGTGATGGAGGCAAATTCAATGTTGCCAGTGTTCAATATAGCAGAGAGGATTTTGTAAACTGAGAAGACTTCCTGTAAAGACAAAAACATAACAATAATTAAATGGAGAAAGAACCTTTTTATAACTTCTAACTTCAGCCTAACCCATTTGTTCTGTAAATAATTGACAATCTGTAAATATTTGACAATCTGTGAATGTCAAATGTTTTCTTATTTTCTGCTGATGATCAAAGAATAAATAAATACAAAAAAAAATAAAAAAAATAAATGAGTTATATTCAGTTAAACTTTGAAATAAGTCAAAATTTGCTTGTCCCTCTCTCTGTATAATAAAATGTACATCTGTAACTGCTGCTGTTACCTCTTCAGTGAAGCCAATATTTCGGAAACACTCTTGGATTGCATCGAACTGCTCAGTGTACATTTTGCAACTGACGATGTCTTGTATCACTTTGCACCGCTGACAGTCGATGTATCTGCATAAAACACAAAATAGAACATTACTGATGAATATTTAAGATTCCAGAAGCAGGTCGGAGGTGGGCGATACAATAGACTTACCTCGGAGGAGTCTTGTCTGGGAGTCTGTAGGTCTTGAGTTTATCTTGGTGATACAGGCCAGCATAAATGTAGTAGAATATGTGAAAATTCTTCTCTCCTCTGTAAGAAAGTCAACACGTTTGGTACAATACTGTAAAAAAGCACTGCCAAAAGAGCACATACAAGGCCTGTTTGATGACCCGGGATTTCTCCAGTAGGTATTCCGAGATCTTGGCCCCAATGACAGCTCCTGACGTGGTGAACTTCATCTCCAGGTATTTTCCGAAGCGGCTGGAGTTATCGTTGATGGCAGTGCAGGCATTCCCAAAGGCCTCGACGAGTGGATTTACCTGCAAGATTTTCTCACGGAGCGACCGGTTGTTTGCCTGGGAATAGTGTATTGTAAGTTTAACCATCTCACTGGTATAGAGTATAATGTGTTGAATAAGTATTGGCAAAATACTGTATTACCTTTCCCAAAAAGGTGAGATGCTGAACGATTAAATGGGCGCTTTCAGTTTTACCCGCACCGCTTTCTCCACTGATAATGATGCACTAAACCCAAGAAAAAATATATTTAAATTCCACTTTATTACACATGCTTAGTCTCTGGTAAAGTTGAATTTATAACCAACACAAAATTCAATAACAAACAAACAAATTATGACTATAAGAGACAGCCATAACACTTAAATTATATTACTATTACATACTATTTCCACTATTTGTTTGTTTTTCACTCTCTTTATTGTTCCACTCGAGGAAATAGTTTTTTTTAATCACTTCTCAGACAGAGGAACAAACTCAACTTTTCAATACATTAAAATCAAGTCTAGTGCTGAACTTTGCTGAACATATAAATTTGGCCCAATGATATAAGCTTGTTTTAGTTCTTTTCTTTTCTTTCTTTGTTATTATATATTTATGAGTGTTAAATAAAATACAGAACAATTAGAGTGATCAATAAATTCCACTTCTTCTTTAATCTACCTGATCTTTGCAGAAAGAGACCATGCTTTGGTATGCAGCATCAGCGGTGGCAAAGATATGTGGAGGGTTGTCTGCCCGTTTTACTCCGTGGTATAATTTAGAGAACTGAAAAGCAATTCATCAAAAGGGTTGTACATTTTTTTATTCTTTGCTTGAAATAATGACAAACCTGTGGAGAGTAGATGCTGAGGTTTTGAAAAGGATTCAGAGCGATAAGAATATCTCCCACATATGTGTAAACCTGCAGCTCTTCATACCTCTTACGGAGATGGTTAATTATGGTTTCCTGCAGAAGTGAATAGGGTGAATGAACACAAACCAGTGACAAAATGTATGTGGTAATTGTATAAATAAAGTTACCTCATCAAGGAATTCTAGATTTACAAGATCATCGTCCAGACAGCGCTCGATCACTAGAGTTTTCCGAGTGCTGATCCTTTCATGTCTGAATGAAGCACAAGGCAGAAGATTAAGATGAGATTCTTTTTTCGTCCCACAGCGGGGGAAATTTCAGTGTTGCATTGCCAGTTAGAGAACAGTAGGAATGAGCAGCACAGCACAAGATAAATGATCACAGCTCTACTTGTATGTAGTAAACTGAAGAAATGGAAGTAGATTTTTATTTATGCATGCCTTTTTGTTTTTATTCTGCTTTAACTTGTTTGCACCGAGAGCCAGAGCAATTTCCGAGTTTGTGACTAAAAGGATTCCGATTCTGATTATAGTAAAATCTAAGTGAAATAACATAATAAAATCTCTAGCTTTAGCATAATAAGGAAGCAGTCTATCTTCTGTAATGAGAAGCAAATATTAAGAACAAAATCTCTGACTTTAGCATCATAAAGAAGCAAGTTTAAAGTAGCTGTGACCTAATGACAAAGTGTTGGTTTAACAGTGAAAATAAACCAGTTTATGTGGACGTTTAAGGGATGCTCGGGGGATACATCATCTGGTATTAGAGGCAGTGATTGCACTTCATCTGTGTTTTGAACGATCACTCTCCAATGAGCCCCCGTAGGCAGAGGTCAGCACTCAGGCAGCTGCCTCAAGGCTGGGGTAAAGCTCCGGGGACGCGGCCGGAGAGTGGAATCAAACGCAGCTCTGAGTGCAAACAGGCCTTTTACTGATGCTATTACACTGCTGTGGTGTTTACCCTCTGCCAATAGCTCATGTCAGATTTACTGTATTCAGTATTGGGACAGATAAAGATGACTGTTGAAAACTGCTTCTCAAATACAAGGTTAGGTTCATAATTCTGGCACAACGACTGGTCGGCGGAAAGTGGAAAAACAAACATGTAAATCTGAATAATTATATCTATGCCAAATGTGACATGTACATTTCTCCACTGTGGCATCAATAAAGCTTATTTTATCTTAATATTTGATATGTTCCATTGACAAAAATGTATCTGTGTTTACCTCTGTTCTGACCACTTAAAACAAAATAAATAACTCAACGGAATGACATAAAACAAACTCAAATGAAATTACGTAGATACAAGGTACATATTAGTCTTTACTGAAATCAAGACAATATTTAAGTTGGGCAATACGTAAACATTTTTGAGAGTTGTGGTCAAATCAAAATCAATCCGTAAACTCCTCAAAAAAGTAACTGTTTGAACTTGGGAGTGAATCGATTTGTTGACTGTAAATGAAGTTCTACAAAAACAGCCTACATTCAATAAAAGCCCTCGGGCTAAATACAAAAATGTGAATACAAAACAAATCAAAGAAAAAATATATATATTTAACAATCAAGCGAAACTAATCACATCAACCCAATATGGATATGAAGGAGACATTTGTGAACATTGCTCATTTGAAGAGGATACGGTAAAGTTCCTAAAAAGAGTGTTAGACTGTTTTTTATCATTTATTTTGGAGGTTTCTATCATGGAAATGAGTGCTTGTGCGTGTATAAATGTGTGTGTGATTCTGTGCGCGATGAGTGTGTGTGTGTATTTTCACATGTATGTTATGGGCTAGGGTTGGAAATATAACATACATGTGATAATATTAAAAATCAGAAAATATATCCATGTAAGCCTAGTTATACATTAACTACAACACATTTCAAGTATAGATTTTTGAACATTGAAAGTATCATTAGTATTTATTTTGTATTAATATTGTTTCATTGTCAAATCATCATAAGCATTTATTTTATATCGTGCCTATTTAGAAATATGAGGAGACATTTTTCAGTTTATATTTCTCATGTAAACTATATTATCATCAGTTAATACTTTTCATTGTGAGCCCTTTGAGGAGAGATGAGACTTCTTGCCTACCTTTGGGTTCGTTTGATGTAAAATGCACTATTGCACCTTCGGCAGGCACTTTTAAGTTTACTATGTCTTTATTCTTATCTGCAGTTATTGTGTACTGATCTGTGGCATAGAAGACTAAAGCAGGCGCGCTCGGTTCTCGCCCTACAAGCTCCTAATCCCATTATCCACTTTCACCGTGGACAGGAATCCAGGATCAGGCTCAGCACCACACTGCTCTCTCTGCGGAGTAAACAGCGCTGGCACCACATCAAGAGTCTGTGTCAAGGGCACGTTCAGCAAACTCTTTTATGATGAAGATTAGGCAACGCCAAAGTCTGACTTCCACTACTAAAGAACAGCAGGCCCTGAAAAAATCAAGTTCACGATGCTACTTTTCAAATATATTTCCCTTTTTTAAACATACGGGTCTGCAAATCAGCCACTCACTGAAGCATTTTTGAGTTACAAGGTTATTTATTTTCATAAAACATTTTCATTCAGATTAAATATCAAAATTGAATCAACTCAAATTATGTGCTTAATATTAATTTTTTGCCCACATTAGATTATGTATCATTTTATTAGAAGGCAAATCCACATGCTCCACCAGGGTCAATGTCGGTTCTGTAATAAAAGAAGACCCTGCCCCCTGCTGGAGAAAAGCACGCATCTCAAGATTGTTTCATCCTGGTATGAGAGCCATTATTAGGCACAATGTTAATGAAAATAATAATCATAATTTAAAAACCATTTCTAAAAAGAACAATGCAAAACCTTACTTGGTTCTGGTTTTGCAGCCCAGCTCCTGCTGCTCCTGAACGAGTGCCGCCAGCTGCCGTCGGAGCAGCACTTCTTTGCCATGGGCCTGTTTGATAAAGGGGTGCTCTAAAAGGTGGGTCACCGAGGGCCGGGCCTCAAAATCCTTTATCAAGCACCTGATAAGACACAGAATGACAGATCATATACAGCAGTGCCATCAAAAGATTGATACTATACACAATCCATAAAAAGTAATTGAAAATTGTCCAAATTTAGTTTTTGATGGAGCAGAGCAAAAGCCACCAGTTAAATCTTATATCCAGAACAGTTAGACAGCATTTCAGTTCTTAGGTCTTTTGGCCTAAAGTTTATTCAGTATTTTCATTAGCGCCAGCACATTAGGCAGAGGTAGCAGCTAATGGCAAATCAGCTGAGCAGCAGAGCACTCAGCTCTGCACTTCTCCCATACAGGCCTGAAACATTTTTTCTGTGGAAGGACTTAACAACAAGGTCATCAAATGATTATTAAAAAAGTGAAAATAACATCATGTAAACAGCTATGATTTAAAATCTTTTAAAAGGACAGAAACTGGCACCAGAAGGAACCCTAGACAGGCAAGAGAAGAACATGCAAAAAAACTGACTAATGTCCCCATATTTCCATAAATACATATGTATAGATATCAATATATTCTCTTTATATAGGATAAATAAATATAGCACAAACACAAAGTAACGGTTACTTACTGTCCAATAAAGTGGCAGAAACTCCTGCACCACTGTTCAGGATTTCTTAACGTAGGAGAAGGATTTCTGAAAGCAAATGATAAATTCAAAAAATAAGTACAACATTTCAGTGACAGAGTCTTGTCTTGTCTAGTTATTTGACAAATGAGAGCTGGTAGTCATAAAGTGACTTCTGAGGGACCAGGAGAGCAGTTGGTCTCAGTCCAGGTCCAGCACTAAAACCCTGACAAATGATAACGCGGCTCTTGTGTCTGGCACCAAGCACCTGCCACTGCGGCCCCAAGTTATGAGAGCGAGTTGTACCACTGTCAGCAGCATTTACAGAGGCCATTTATAACCGTTGAAAAGAGCCCAATGACAGGACACAGGTGTAAGTGTGGACGGCCCTGAGTGCAGTCATCTTTAGTGACAGCCAGGCCAGAACTGAAGAATGATGAGCGTTTAACTATAGGCTGTAATTATTAACCCCTTTACAGCCGCACTTACCAAACAAAAGCAGGGATGTTAAAGAGGAATAGAATTTGCCTTTAGGATTTATGAGACCAGCTTGTGAAAATAAAAAGCTTCTGCTGGAGGCCACACTGCACATATATGACAATAAGGAAGTCCTGCCAAGACTTCTGGCTCTGCTTCTCTTTCAGTATCGCTGGTTCACGCTGTAATAAAGGACTGGCTTATTCAAATCCAAACCCGGGCAGCGCTTTAACGTCTAACTCTGCTCACAGTGGATTGAGGCTAAATCAGAAAAAGGAGTCAGCAGCTGATGACGGCTGCAGCTAAGCCACGATGACAAAACTCAGGCCAGGATTACAAGATTGTATAAAATATTCATGCATCGCTTTGACTTTTTCACATTCAAGTAAAGTCTGACGTTGAATTGAAAGGCCATCATGTTCAATTTTTTATTTATTCTTTAACTTGGGCTTACAAAACGATGACTACAGTTCTTTCAGAATGCGCAGAAACGACACTGTATCGGAAACAACACAAAGACTTCACATATGAAACTGTAAATGCAACATTGTGTATGAATTTGTTGAAGCTGCGACATGTTTGTACTGCTCTGAGCTCAAAAAAACAATCTGAACTGAAGATTTTGAACTAAGTAGCTCCAAATGAAGACGTACAGAATGATTTGGTAAATAAATGATCCACTTAAATTGCAGCTCACTCATCACTGCAGCTGAAGCAATTTTGACATGATGAACGCAAGAGTTAGCCGCAGCATTGATCAAATGTGTCGTCGAATCTTTAGAAAGCTCAGAAATAATAAAGATGTAATGTTTCTTCACTTGTGACCCACAAATACGTAACAAACGGCACAAATGAAACAAATTAACCATGCGTATCGTGAATGTAACCTTTCTTTCCAGGATCTTACAAGAACATTGGCTGATCCAGTTACCCTGCTATAATTACATTTCACAGAACATGATTGGTGCTTTATTTTGGCATCACCAGATTTTACATGCCCCATGACCTTATCCATTTAACACAACCATAAAATGAATCAAAAGGTCAAAACTTCACAAAAATCTGTTGAGTCATTTTTGTATCAATAAACCCTGATTCTCAGTTTGAAAATAGAAGTTGAGAATACATAATCAACATTGTAAGTTGACACACCGATTATGCTTCAGTTTATTCGCCATTTGCAGTGAAACCACATTAGAATACCTCAACAGAATTCTTTGAGAGGAAAAAGCTCTTTTCCCTGTGTTAAAAGACAAATGGCTCATGTGGTGCCCGCTGGTGCATATCATAATCACGCATGTCGATCCTTGTGGTGTTGAAAGCTATTACTTTGTGCAATTGTAAAACATCACAAACATAAAAATGTGCATTGGATGTTTTAATGCCAATATGGAAATGAAAAGTCCCATTCAAGGACATGATCTGTTAAAGGAGAGCCACATCATGAAGAGAAATAAATATACCATTTCGAGCCTTTGAGATAAATCCATTTGATTATTATCATGAATTATTCACGCCATCAAAGAGTAAATATACAGCATTTAACACCACAAATGCAGAATTGTCCGTTACCGACAAAGGACTTAGAGTTGTGGGCATGATATACTGAACATTTGAGAATAATCCATAATTTTAGGTTCTGTGTAATTCATAAATAATATGGACTAAATAAAGCCGATAAAGGGTTTCTGTGTCTGGACTGTTTGATTAATGTTGTCCCACCTTTTTCAGCTCTGTCCGTTTTTTCTATGGAAGGATTAAACATTCTCTCAATGGTGCTGATGAAATGCAATAACATGCATGGATCTGCTTTGACCTGACGGGGAGGAAATACCACAGTGACGCCATAAAGAGGTGACAATCTCGTCTCCATGTGAAGAGAGCTAATCACTGATGCAGATTGCAATCAGGAAAGTACTTCTCCGTCTGACTGGCACGTAACAGTGTGATTGTGCAAAGAACAAAAAGGTCAGCATGTGCAGCCCCTGAGCACAGACAATAAAACCACCATAATTCATCACTGCATTAATGTGAAGGTAAACACTAATAGAATAGAGATTATGTAATTACACCAATTTGAACAGAACACATTTCTAAACATTATTTTCCCAAAACATTTTCTGTGATGTGTTTTGTCAAATGTGTGGTTGGAGCGCCCTCTGCTGACTCACCGGGGGATCTTGAAGAGTGCTTTGACCGGGTGCATTTCAGCCAGAGGGGGGTCTCCATCTGCCAGCTCGATGGCCGTGATGCCAAGAGACCACACATCGCAGCGGGAGTCGTACGAGTAATCATACTGCTGCTCACAGGCGATCACCTGCCGACACCGGGAAAACAAATACCCCTGTTTGTCTGCTGTAGAGTTCAGCACAGAAGAGTTTGTATTTTCACATAAACAATCAAATCAAATGTAAAAAATAAGAAAGCTAATAAAGAGGGCTATTTTTTGGTTTCCAATCAAAGAGCTCTGAGTCAAAGTACTACTCTTATTCGCCTTGAATTTACTTATGAAGCAATGCAATGAGTGGAAGGGCCATATTTTGATATTAAATTGTTTTATTTCTTGTGATCACCTCTGGAGCCATCCAGAAGGGGGTCCCCACAGACGTGTTCCTCCGCAGCCGGGCACTGGTGAGCTGAGCTGAAACACCTACAGTAAATGTCATAGATTATACACTTTACAGTACATTGTGATCCTTTAAACACATGCAGTATGATGGCTGTAATCAAAACATCTTAGCAGCACACAATTTACGATGGCAACCTGCCAAGCTGTAAGGGTAAAGGGCTGTAATAATTTCAAATTATATAGAACAGATTCTTATCAGCAGGAGTCCACTTCATCTCAGTGACACAAGGGATGTAAACATGCCTGTGGGCGGCACAGTGTAATTTACCATAACTGCCCCTTTTAATATGCAAAAGATCAAATAATGCAATTTAAATAAAGAGCCTGAGGTTAGGCCATGGCCATCAACCAAATAGATGTTGAGTGAGGCACATCTCGCCCGGCCATCACAAACAACAGAGTAGATATGTTAAAGCTTTAGTGTAATTCATCTCCACTATAAGCAAAGGTCCTTTATCAGGCCAACTAACTGGTATTTTTTTAATTTTACATTTTACTTTGATAGCATTTGTCTAAAGATATGTACCAAAGTCAACAAGTTTGACTCCTCCATCTGTCGTCAGGAGAATATTGTTGCCTTTGACGTCGCGATGGATAATCCGGTTGTTATGCAAATGCTGGAGACCCTGTAATGGAGATAATATTGTGATTACAATGATCAGTACAACCTGCAAAGAGGAAAGCCAGATATTCAAAGGTAGACAAGTATGTGTTCTAACTGGATTTGTTTATAGCTAAAACAAGGCCTTCTTAACGTTACATAAAAGGTATCTTACCAGGAGGGCACTATATAAGATGTATGCGATAACAGGCTCCTGCAGACGCTGAGACCGCACCAGGAGACCTTTGATGAGCTCCGTGACAGATCCACCGTTGCACAGCTGTGAGAGAGACACAGTCACTCTTCAGAACGACAACAGCTGCAGCACTACCGCCATGAACGTCAAGGTTTTTTTATATAGAACTGGGAAATGTTGCTGGTTCCCAAAAGCATTGATAGTAAAAACAGAAAAACATTCTTATGATACTATACAGCTTTATATAAACATCAACAGCAGTCTTTCTACATTGTTTGGATGGATTATATATGGTTAGGATTTTAAGAATGGTGCTAGTGGTGGATCCATGAGCGATCAGAGTTTGAGAACCACTATTTTGAGTATGACCACAATGTGTTTTTATACCAAATATGTGATGTACTGTCCATCCATCCATCCATTTTCTACCCTTTAATCCATTTCTGGGTCAGGAGTCTCACAGCACCAGCCCCTCACTGACCCTCTGCAGGTGGTGAGTCCACAGGAGGACGGCTGCTCTCTGAGTGTGAGCATAGCCTTGATCTTTCAGTTGGGGCTTTGGGCAAAGTGGGGTTAAGTGTCTTGCCCAAGGACACAACAACAGCAGTCATCAGTGGGAGTCGGTGGAGAAGGTGTAGAGGTGGGAATTGAACCCACAACCTTCAGGCCGGAAGGCCAATGCTCTACCAACTCATCTACTGTCGCTGTATGTACCGTTGATGTACTGTATTGAAGTAAAATCAAAGGGTTGTAATCACCACTGTCACAACTAATACACAAAGAGCACACACGATGTACTGTTAAATATGGTGAGAACATTTCCCAAAGAACCATTATGAGGCCCCGTCCACACGTAGCCGAGTATCTGCTAAACCGCGGATAATATTCTTTGTTTGCACCTGTCATCCATATGACAACGCATCATAAACGAATATATAAAGAAACTCCGGGCAAAGTGGAAATTTTTGAAAACTCTTTTCATGCATTTGCATGTAGACAGAGATAACCGCAAAACATGCAACCTCTGATCACTGAAGCATGGATCTTACTGCCTTAAAATCTGTTCAAACATCCTCGCTCCACATGAGAGAGCAGCAAAGTGATCAAAGGGACTCACGCTCGAAAATAACCAAAACAGGAGCTAAACCAGGACTAAACCAGGACTAAACCAGGGCTGAGGACGGGGGTCAGTGCTTGTAAACATATGTCTTTACCCTGACTTTCTTCTGTGACTGTAAAGGCGCTACAGAAGTACCGGCCTCAGCATCAAAGCTCCGCCCCTTCTGTGTATTTCCCCAACGTAGGACAGGACGTCAGAGAACACACATGTTTGGAATGTTAAGAATGTGATTGAAAACGCAGATGTTCGGTTATGTGTGGATGCAAATTATTTTATTAACGGAAGGGGGGAAATATTTGGTTTTAAAAATACCCGGCTACATGTGGACATGGCATGAGTCTCACCTCCAGGACCAGCCACAGTTGTCCTCCAGACTGCTTTTCAGACTTATAGAACATGCCATAAAACTTCACTACGTTAGGGTGGTTGGACAGGGTCCGTAGGATATTGTACTCAGCCTCTATCTCTTCATCCACATCCTGCAAAGAGACAATAATGAACACACAGACAATACACACATGTTCATAAGCAAAGATAAGGTCCATGATGTTGAAAATCTGCGACTTCTACAAAAAGCGAGACGGGAGACAGGAGCATCTACAGGTAACTGAGTCTAACTGAGAATGGGCAACACAAAAACCATTATATAGAAAAGATTGGTTTCTAAACTATATTTGTAACTGCTTTATATCAAAATAAATGTGTGAGGAGAGAAGAGCCGCAGTCAGAGGAGCTGCATTTCTCTGGGAGGTTGTGTGACTGATAGTGTCAGTGGTGTAATCTGGGAGAGGGATGAGCGAGGAGGCAGCTTCATCTTTGTGGCCATCAGGGGAGTGTTGTGTTGGACAGCTCTGCCAGGCACTGACACAATCACAGTTTCACTTCAAAACAAGTCTTAAATACAAAACGTAATGTCTATAACAAGCTCCTCCTGAAAGAGGACAGACTACAGCCAGCCACAAGCACATGTCTGGGGGTATGTCTGAATAACAACACTTTTATAAAGGACTGACTATGACTGGACATAAAGCAAAGGTTCCAAGTACTTACTCTGTTTGAATGGACTGTGTGCTGAGACAAGCAATTACAATAAAGAATATCAATGGTTAGGTGTTTTTTTACCATAACATTAATGATCTGAATTACTTTTGAGAACATTCTTTATTTCCCCACTGAGAGAGAAGGAAACTGTGGGCTTTAGTTCTACACATTGTGTATTACACCCACTGCACAAATGAACACACAAGGCATTAATACAATAATAAACAAGTCTCCTGGTAGTTGTATACATGCTGCTTGCATGTTATTTAGAGTCCTCAGTCTGGGGCAGAGCTACATTTCTGCACAGAAGCACATGAGGATCAATACTTTCCAGTATAGCTTTCACAATGGCTCCACACGTCTTTATCAGACTCACATTGATCGGGTCCAGCACTTTGACAGCAGCCTGACTGCCATCTTTCTTGTTGGTCACTCTGTACACTTTTCCATAAGTCCCTTTGCCGATGGTCTCCACAATGTCCCAACAACCTGAAGGATCGCCCAGAGTCTCCAGGCCAATCATACTGGATGGATACAATCCATACAGCGACCTCCTGCAATTAACACGTATTTATTATTGCAGTCGAGCACATTTAGATGTGTGGCTAGATTTACAATGGGTCTGTGGACGACATTAATAGCTAATTATATATCACTTGTTGCTGGAAATAGCCCAATATTGATTCCACTTTTAAAGCAAAATAAATTTACAAGGATTCTTTATGAGCTTGACTCGGTACTCAAGGTAACGCTTTATTTAATCACTACGGTTTCTGTAGCCACAGCTGACAGTATTCTGACCCACAAAAACCTGTTCATGGATTTTAAATCCACAAATAAACCCGTTTTTCCACCAGAGAACAAGAATTTATCGAGTTGAAGTGAACCAAGTGATTGTTTGACCTATACAACAATACAAACATGTGTCCTTTCTGGGCTTCAGACATGTCTGAAGAAAGGCATGTGGGGTGAGTAAAACTAATGTTTTTGAAGCTACTCCTTGCAGCCACAATATATTGTCCATGTATTGTATCTATAAAACATTGCATCTAGAAGCATGTCCTGGGGGAGAGTGCTTTTATAATGACATTTCACGAAGTGGCGATAAACTCACCAATTACATCTAGAAGATTGGTTACAAGATTCTATGCAACTTCCTCTTTCCATGGAATCAAATCCCCAAAATATCTTTTTAAAATGGTGATGCTTTCGATAACTGGATTGTAATTATAATAATGAGCATCAGATATATGAAATGAACGGCAAAAAGACAAACGCTTTTGAGTTACTCTAGAATAAGGCTATATTGCTGTACTTTTGAGGTTATTGTAGCCATTTATTCATATTAATGCCATAGTTTGACCTCAATAAAGACATTGAGGTCATGTTTTAAAATGACTAAAAATACAGCATAGGTATTTTATATTTATCTATACCTTACCCTTAAACATGATCATATAAATGTATAAATCTACTAATAACAAACAACATCTTCGACCGCAGCTTCGACTTGTGACAAACAACTTCTGATGAGTACACAAAACTGAAGCCAAACACCAGGTCTCACCACAGTCCCAGAGAGGCAGGTGATATAATGTATACGGTCTGAAGGCACAGTCCACTGCTCCGTTCCCTCTGGGGGTGGCTTTTAATCAGTGAAGCGCCGACATGTGCCCAGGGAGCCACTTAACCACTCAACAGCACGTTTACTTACATGGTTTGTGTAACTTTCCTCTGGCTCATCAGGAGTGGCAGTGAGTGAGACGCTTCTAGAGATCATAACCCCGACGCCAACGTATTTCCCACGAGACTGCATTAGTGGGGAACTGTCACAGCTCTAAGAGGTCCAATCTCCTTAAGATCAGGTGGATTGGATGGAGATTAACTTAACAACTGATGTCCTGAATGAAAACACAGCACCTCAGACCTACACACATGTCCAAGCCTTAGGTAATGTAGATCAGTAACAAAGCTGGATTGTTGAATTAGAAACAAGTACTGTGCTGTCATTACATATATGTTGAGGTTGATATAAAAGTTTATTGTTGATATACACCAAGAGGCTCATATGTGTTGTTTGCAAATAATACTAACATATCTATTTGTAAACAATAACAAATAGTCATGTTACTGTAATTGAGTATGTTTAAACTCATACATTTAACATAGTGTTGTAGCATGTATTTGAATGAGGATTATAGAAAATGAAGATTATAGAAACACGTTGGGAAGTAGTCTGCAAAAGAGTTTGCATGTTCTCCCCTTGTCTGTGTAAGTTTCCGTCAGTGTGCTGCAGTTTCCCCCTAGAGTGTATATGGCCTTTGGGTTTCCACTAAAAACATGATGGAAACAAAACAAAAAATATAGTAGTCTCAGTTATCTTCAAATACATTTGCCTTTTTGTGTATTCAGCTCTTTTCTAAAACAAACTTGCATAACAAAATGATTTGACTGAGCAGATAAATCTACTGCTCTCATTTTTCTGCAGAAATGTGTTTTACTTTGTTTAAAAGGAAAGAAGAAAACTGGAAATAAAGTCCAAATAGTAAAAATAATAAACCTGCTATTGCCATAAATGTCCATTTCAAATGTTATAGTATATTATTATTGACCAGCTTTAAAAAAAAAAAAAAAAATACAAAATTCAATCATCTTTAGGAAGCATACCCAAAGCCACAGTGCACTAATCCTCTGGGAAACTTAACATTTTGCACACTTCCTGTCTTTTTGCACACCCTGAGGGATTCTACTTGCACGACATGTACATTTCTCCATTGTGAGATCAATAAAGTTTATCTTATTTTATCAAACTATCCGACAGCCTGACATCTGAGGAGAACACCAGTGTCATCACAAAGAAGGCGCAGTCTCCACCATCTGCCACATTCTACAGAGACATGCTGCAAACTGTCCTGATACAACAGCAGGAGAGGAGAGAACTAAACTGGAATCACAGCCGAGAAGATCACCCATGTCCTTCTTCCTTCTCTGTGCGACATCTACACAGAGATGCTTCAGGAGAGGAGACATCACAAGAGACCCTCTCCTCATCCATCTCAGACTGTTCTCTCTTGCCCTCAAGCAGAAGCCTGACCTCCACAACCAGCCAACTCACACACAGTTTCTCTTTTAGTTCCATTGTGAGTAACAGGAAGTCGCAAACTAGAAAATTGCTTTGGCTCTTGGTGCAAACAAGTTATAAAAGTAAAGATACAAATGTAATCCAAATGTATATTGTACTTGAAATCTATGACCTAGCCACTGTATGTAATGCATTTTGACATTGATGGTTCCCAAATACAGTATTTTGATTATATGACTGCATAAAAAAACAAAAAAACGTACGAATAAAAAATATCCACAGTACCTTAGATCCTGATATCAAACCATACACGTCAAAATAATCAGCCAACACCCTCAAACAGACGCTAAATTACTAATAATGAGACAAATCAAACTCCTCATTTAATCCAACACAAAATAAAATAGAACATTCAGACTTGTGGAAGTATATAGAAGCATGAATCACTCGAGATAAACGTGATGGAGAATGTTTACGTTCTGTAGCATCCCTGCCCGCTTGTCTGGGACATGTTGTGCATCACATATGGGCGGAGTGACCCTGAGGAAGCAGAGGCCAAGCTGTTTTTCTAGAGTTCAGCAGATTGATGGGAATAATGTGAGTGATGCTTTTGAGAGCCGCGTGCCGATTCGGACAGATTCATGGATCGTGGTGCGTCATGAGCAACGGCGTTCGGGGAGATATGAGATGAATGCTGTTTTCCGTGTGAAGACATTTGAATATAGGAAGATCCTCCTGATGTCCTTCACACTGAGCAGCACCGGCACGGCTACATCACTTAGCGAACGCTGGGCTAATCATCCATCACAGATAGATCACAAGTTAAGTGTCCATCTCCCAATGTCAGTGAAGAATGCCTTGCTGTGACTAGTAAATGAACACACCTCCACAACTGTCTACCTGCCATTTGTTACTGCCATCATCCAATTTGCATTTACAACGCTAAATAAACAAACCATACGTTGTTGAGGCTCAGTGACCAACCTCAGAAACAGGGGGATGGTGGATTACAGCCACAAACATATTAGATTTCAGCCTCCAGTATTTGGGCTGCATTATAAGAAAAACGTACACCATTATTTAGTATTTATATGGACCTTGATTCTGGAATAAAGATGTATTATCATTAGAATTGCAAACAACTCAAGGTCCAACTATTAATATATCTTAAAAAGAGGCTAACATAACTTTGTTAGCCAGTGACCAATATTTCAACTATGATAATGTAAAATTGACTATTCATTAAATATTCACTAACTATTGTTGGCTACAAATAGTCAGTTGCAACCATAGATCTATAATAATGACATTTGTTAAATATAGAATAATAATAATAACTAGAAACTTGCAATGGCTGAAGCCATTGCGATTGACTGCGGAACAGATCTAATGTGGAAATCTGCTAAAAAAAATCCTTGAAATCCTTTAAAAGGCCTTGAAACTGTTAAAATACTTGATAGATATTTGAAACTCCTGAAGTCCTTGAAATTGTTGAAACCTTTAAACTCCTGAAATCCTTGAAACTGTTGAAACATTGAAACTCCTGAAATCCTTGAAACTTTTTTTAAACCTGGAAACTGTTGAAAGTGTGGAAACTCCTGAAATCCTTGAACCTCCTGATATCCTTGAAACTGGTTAAATTCTTAAACAGTTGAAATCCTTGAAACTACTGAATGTATTGAAAGTGTCCTTGAAACTGAAAAATCCCCTCACCGCTGAAACAATTTGGTTCCTGTAACTAAGGAAACCTGGTCTGTGGTCATTATCTGGTGGTGGTCTGAGTCTTCGTTTGGGTCTTGGTCTGGTGGTATAATGCAACCTATTAGGTTGCATTATACTGGTTTACATGGAAAAATCCCTATTAGGTTGCATTATACTGGTTTACATGGAAAAATCCCTATTAGGTTGCATTATACTGGTTTACATGGAAAAATCCCTATTAAGTTGCATTATACTGGTTTACATGGAAAAATCTCTATTAAGTTGCATTATACTGGTTTACATGGAAAAATCCCTATTAGGTTGCATTATACTGGTTTACATGTACAAATCCCTATTAAGTTGCTTTATACTGGTTTACATGTAAAAACCCCTATTAGGTTACATTATAGTGGTTTACATGTAAAAATCCTTATTAAGTTGCATTATACTGGTTTACATGGAAAAATCCCCATTAAGTTGCATTATACTGGTTTACATGAAAAAAAAACCCTATTAAGTTGCATTATACTGGTTTACATGAAAAAAACCCTATTAAGTTGCATTATACTGGTTTACATGGAAAAATCCCTATTAAGTTGCATAATACTGGTTTACATGGAAAAATCTCCATTAAGTTGCATTATACTGGTTTACATGAAAAAAACCCTATTAAGTTGCATTATACTGGTTTACATGGAAAAATCCCCATTAAGTTGCATTATACTGGTTTACATGGAAAAATCCCTATTAAGTTGCATTGTACTGGTTTACATGGAAAAAACCCTATTAAGTTGCATTATACTGGTTTACATGGAAAAAACCCTATTAAGTTGCATTATACTGGTTTACATGTAAAAACCCCTATTAAGTTGCATTATACTGGTTTACATGGAAAAAACCCCTATTAAGTTGCATTATACTGGTTTACATGAAAAAACCCTATTAAGTTGCATTATACTGGTTTACATGGAAAAATCCCTATTAAGTTGCATTATACTGGTTTACATGGAAAAATCCCTATTAGGTTGCATGATTACACTGAAGTCCTTGAAACTGCTGAAGTCCTTGAAACTGCTGAAGTCCTTGAAACTGCTGAAGTCCTTGAAACTGTTGAAGTCCTTGAAACTCTTGAAATCTTGAAACTGCTGAAATCCTTGAAACTGTTGAATCCTTGAAACTGTTGAATCATTGAAACTGTAGAAATGTCTGAAAGAGCTGAAGTCCTATTAAAATGCATGGGCCTATTAAAATGCATTGCAGAATTCTCAATGCAGATTTTTGTCCGATTGCGGAAAAACCGGAAATCGCTGAAGTCCCAAAAGTAATAGCAATAATCTCCCAAACATGTGGAACGTTTTGATGTATAACTTGTGGAAATTGTTGAAAATGTGAAAGCTGTGAAACGTGTCAAAAAAAATGACGGAATAAAGAAATACAAAACCAATGGTTGACTGCGGAAGGTTCCGCAGTCAATCAATAATAGGGATTCATAACCTAAAATACCAGACATGAATAGAACAGCACAAACCACCCTGCCAATACATCAATACACTCAGGGTCCATGATCCACATGAAAAGCCACAAGACAAACTGTACATACCTGCTCCCATGAAAGTGTTAAGCCCACGTTTTACTCTAAAAGTACCCCAGGATGAATACGCACTAGTCTTCTAGATTAATAATTGACGGGACAAGTGCAATGTGATGCGAGTCACTGGCAGATGCTCTCATAATGGTGATATGAAGCTCAGGTTTCACACAGGACAAGTAACCAGGAAGTGTTGGTAGGGATATGGTCACATGATCCTTGAACATGTACTATGGAAAAAAGCACATTTGCTCTTTCATTTGCTCTTTTGCTATATTGTATTATATTGTGGTTATACAGTAATCTAACTATGACAAATACAATTAGATGTAATGTAATTTTGATTAATTGGAATGTACACACATACAGTATATGGCATTAAATAGTAAAAATAAAGAGTTGCCATTTGTATTACTTTTTCTTCAGTCAGATTATGTCAACAGTTTTATTTTAATGCTTAAAGGGACTGAATTTATAATGCACTCTTAGTGGTCTAATAAAGTCATTACAATTACAATCCAACTTTTGTTGCCAGGAGGTCCCTGTCTTGTTTATTCTAACCCAAAGAAGAGCCTCATTCTGTTCTCTAAATGAATAGTCAAATATTTTAATAACTTTTGTTCATAAAAAGTCGAAATAGGATTTGTACATTTGGACCAAATATCTGGGGACACATATAAAAGATGATGAATGAAAATTTTACATACTATCCCATTAATGATTTCCTTGCATTAATGCCCATTGTATATTTCCTTTGGAGCTGGACGTTACTGCTCTATAAGATATGAATATACTGATTACATTTTTAATAAAACATTTTTACAGATCAGTTAACGATTTTAACAATCCTATTCTGATTTCTTTGTTCAGTCCACTGGCCACAATTTGTTATCTACGGTTGCAGTAATGTACACTATGTGCAGAGAAATGGTTTGAAGTGATCACTGACAATCAGATAGTACGATTTATTTGTTCCACACCAAACCCCATTCAACAGCTTGTGGGGACTTCTTCAATAAAACAGGGGAGAGTGCGTGGGGAGAAGGTATCTGAACTGTAATCCTGGTTAAGGGGATGTAAGAAGGCTTTGCTCTGAACCTTGAGCATCCACACACCCGGAGCTCTGTGCCCTTGTTCTCACCCTGGACGTCAAAGTCTCATGCAATACAATCAATATGAAGGGGCATATTTATCGAGGGTTTGTGGGTTTGTGTGTCCGTATACAGTACGGACAGAAAAAAAAAAGATTATATATATATATATATTTTTTTTTTTTTTTCAAGGTTAGTAGATGTATCACCATGTTAACAAAGTTGAGTATCGAGCATATTACTTAGTATTGAAAACAAGGACATTTTCTATGTTTTTAAGGTTAAGATTAAGAGATCCTTTATTCGTCCCACAGTGAGGAAATTTCAGTTTTTGCATTATAGCTAAATTTGCATGTCCATGAATTGTACAACAAAAATATGAACGTGTACTGTACACAACACTTTTGTTTATGGGTTCGACTTAAATCTTAAAGCAATAAAACTCTTTATATATGATTAATAGACTCATCTCTATCAAATATATTTCACAAATGTCTAAATTTCTCTCCTCTGCTGAGGAAACCTCTCCATTTCTCCCTACAACCATATTGATGACAGCCACTCTACAATGTTTTGAGAGTCTAGGGGTTTATGTGTATACATATACATATATATTATGTGGTATACATCTCAATCACAGGACGTTCAGGGAGTTGATTGTGGCCTGTGGAAAGTTGGTGCACTCGTCTTCAATGACATGCACCATGTGTGAAGTTGCTGAATATTGGCAGGAACTGCAACACACTGCTGTATACACCAATCCAGAGCATCCCAAACATGGTCAATGTGTGACATGTCTGACGAACTGGAAAGTTTTCAACGATAATGTGGATTCATCCTTGCGACATGCTCAGCCTGGGATTCATCTGAGAAGTGAACCCCTCTCCACTGTTGCCATCTGGGCACACAAACTGCAGTCAGGACAGGCTGGTGTGGTGATGGTTTGATGATGTCAGGCTTGTCAGCTAAACACCAAAATAAACTCCTAGATGCCTTTTCAAAATAAGACAAGGATAATTATCATCTGCAGGACATTTAACTTTGCACTATTCCACGCCTGTGAGGAGGGGTGGATTATTTACGCAAAGAAGAGCTCACTGAAACTAATGTAGACCCCTTTTTAGAACAATAGTTGGTCCTGTTGGTAATGTGTGCTACTCTTTGTTGGAGCTCCTTTGGATCACACACACCATCTGGTATTTGCCAAATCAATAATCAATCAATAGTCGATTAATAAAAGTCTTACCTTCTCGACTTCGTCGACGTAGCCTCATGTTTGAACTCTGCAAATAGAACATGAGAGATAAAGGAATTGGGTTTCTAAAGTAGGTAAATCTGGCCACATGGCCGCGGAGAGCAGCAGAGATCTTACCGTCCATGTTCTAAACATGGCTCCAGCGCTGCACATGTTGTTTTGTCACAGACACTTGTCTATACTTGATACTCTATTCATTATTCATAAGGACACCTGAGCAGTGTGGTGGACACGGACTTCACTGACCTCTGTCGCTTTGGTAATGGCCCTCAGACCACCACATGGATGTGTATAATAAGCACACTTACCTGGAGGAGGCATGGAGGGCATGTGGATGTCCATGTGCGGGACAACCTGTAGAAGCAGCATCTCAGAGGCTGAGACCAGTGAGGTCCCAGTGAGATCCCAGTGAGGTCCCAGTGAGATCCCAGTGAGGTCCCAGTGAGATCCCAGACCCAGTCAGCTCCTTCTATTGGAAACGACCCATTATATAGCCCAAAACATTTGAATTCGCTTCAGGCCAATTGTTTATGCTGTACAGTAGAAAGGAGGCTTTGTGTGGGTCCATTAGCGATTACAGTGGGGCCTCCAGTAGGCTATTTACAAAGTTCAACCCAATTACCCACAAATGCTAATCACATGGCATGTCCAGTGAAGGCGCAAAGCTCTGGTTCATTAGGTGACTACACCATTTCATGTTGTCTACAATGTGTGAACATGGTTCCATCTTCATTTCATATAAAAAAAATAAAATTGAAAAAATCCACAAATCCAGATTACTGTGATATACTTTATTAACATATGATACATTTTACATTAAATGTCCAAATCACGCCATCTGGTCAAACTCAAAGTTTGAGTTACCAACTACAGTAATGTACTGTATTCTTTTATCATGGAGCAGAGCATTCAGTTACAATTTACACCCACATTACCCATTAGCTATTTGGTTGCGGTCATTTACAAAGAGGGTTCTAGTAAATCAAAATAAACCATAAGCAGCATGCATGATTGCAAGACTGCCTTTAAGTGTTTGAGAAAATGCAGTGCCAAAATGTTTGATATACACTGCAAGGTTTGAAGTAGGCATTTTACTAATCCGATTGCAGGCACATAATTTATATAATCTTTGAAAAGAACCACAATTATGTTGGTAAGACACTTGAATAAAGTGAGCTTAAAAAGGACAACATGCACAGTGCATAACAGATGTAAAAGTTTGTCCAGCTTGAATAGTTGGAATGCAGCTTTAAAAAAAATACACCAATGCACAAGCAGTAAAACTGAGAAAAGAACATTTTTTTTGTATCTTGTAAAAGGTTTGAATATCATAGCTGGACAATGAACCTCAGAGACAACTGCCCTTGAGATGCATTAAACAAAAAGTGAGGTGACTGCATAAGTATTAAATAAAAATGAATCAACATTCCCAGCCATCTATCTAATAATAAAAGCACTACTTTAGAAAACAAAAGTTAAAATAACACAAACAATAAGCAGCAGCATTTTGTAAATATCTAAAATGTACGTTCAGAAAAAAAGAAAATTCCTGAGGATGAATTGCAACTTGGCCCACTGAGCCTCCCATGCTTGCAAAAAACTCAAGGGTGTTGATTGGACTTGTCCTGCCTCCCATCGTCAGCAGAACGAGTGCACATAGTAATGCCAAATGCCAAACACAGCAGCACACTTTCCATACATAAATAGGATATGAAAGATTATCATAGATGGTGCAAATGTAGTCAAACCTTAAAGGCATATTCACCAATTCATATTCATCCAAAATTAAAATGAGTTTGAAGCCAAACCCTGAGAAAAAAAAAAAACGCTGATGGAAAAAGTTGTGCTTAATGACCCAAGCAGCAGTTTTCAATTTGAAAACCACAAATCACTTTAAACACACGCGGTAAACTTGATTGTACACTAAACTTCACACAAACCAAGGTTGGGGCAGGAACCCTCTCACTGCCGGGTTTAATTAAAGAGTTCCCATATATATTGACGAAGGCAGATACATGAAGCGGACACACACACAGTTCATAATAAACTTGTAGAAACTCCATTATATTATTAAAGTCCATTATAGTGAGGCCCCCATCGTTTACTGATGTGATCGAAGGTGTGGGACACCCATTGTTGTTCCAACACCCTGTAGCGCTCTTCACACAAGAAAAGTGGCTTTCCACGACTAAAAAGGGAATAATTCAACAAGCAAAAGAAAGTTCAATAAACAATATTCAGAAATTACTTATTGAAACAATTGTTTGACCAACCGTAAATCTCTGTCTTCCTCTCCATGCGCATCCAGGTAAACAGAGCCCCACAAGCAGAAGCGATGCCCACGTATAATAATGATGACTGAGGCATTTATCAACAAAAAAATACCTGTGGCTGCCCCGCAATGTTGAGAGTGCTGTAAGTATAGAAATCAAAGGTTCACCTGATGGCTCTTATCACTTGTGATCTTTGCACAGCACAAATCTTACCAAAACACATTCACAGATGCCCTGCTGTTTGCAGCAAACTCCTTTGAGACAGACAAAGGCTCCACACACAAGGCAGAGGGCAGGGTCTTTTGGCACCTTTTTGCAGACACTACAGGTTTTCCTGTGGTAGTACTGAAATATGACATTGTAATTGTCTGGAAGCTGGAGCAGATGAGGTGCTGCCCACTGAGAAGCCTGGACAAGCAAGGTCTAAAAACACAAACATAGACCCCATATTAAAAATAAAAATGGCTTTGAAGTTACATACTCACTCACAAGAGACTGCTCTGCTTGCATCTGTGAAAGGCCTATGATCTCACTGCACCATTGAGTGATCAAGTCAAACGCACTGATGGGCCAGTCCAGACATGAGGCGCTGAGCTCCGAGTCTGAGGGCTGAGAGGCAGAGGAGAAAAGCCCCAACGATATAGCCAACGACACAAACTCCTCTTGCTCCTACAAATAAACAGGGTAAGAGTTAAATGTACAACATATTGAATCTACTCAACGTAACTTTAGATTTGTTAAAAAGAAAAATTATGGTTACAATTGCAACATGTTTTAGAAAGCAATAAAAACAACTAAATATACGTATTTTATTGTGGCATTCCACCAAGCAAGATTAACGGCCCAAAGCGAGCGCAGCATTTAGCGTCTCCTCGGTAGAGGAGGAGCAAATTAAATTTTACATTTGCTTCAAGAATGTGATCAAGCTGTACTGATGAGTGAAACTTACAGGGCAACCAGAAAGGTTGTCTCCATAAAGGTGATGCTGCAGAAGGCAGGACAGGCGAAGGAAGGGCAGGCAGAACTGCTGGAGGCCAAACTCTATAGACTGTGGTGACCACACACTGGAGCTGAGCTGCACACACACATTCAGCAGATACTTCATAACCGGGGAAGAATTATCAGGTATTTTCAATCATGTCTTTTCAGATTGATTGTTAACAAATATAATAAATACACTTGTTAATACACAAGCATAAACTTATATTTACATCACAAGGACACTCACCATTGGCGTTTCTTCAGTGTTCATAGTGTAGATGCGCATGTCCACAGAGAGCTCACTGATCACGTGACTCAGCAGTGCGTCAAAGGTTTTATCACTGTTTGCAGCTTTCTGTGGTAGAGCCAAAAATGAATGCTTCATATTTCATTAAAATGAAATATGAATTTAACCATTGTAAATATCTAGTTTTTCTTGTTTATAGTGGAATTTTATCATTCATTGACTGAAGTAAAATCAGTTCAAAACAACGTAACAGTTTCAATTAAAATATTTAATACACAATAGATGTTAAGTCTAGATCTCAATACTTATCCCTCTCAATCCAAATGATATCTTTGTTTTAGGCGTATGCGGTTAAATAATACAAAAGAAAGAGTAGAAAGTAAGAAAAGCACTGAAGTCTTGTTTAAGATGGCACATAGAGCTGTGGTGTGCGAACTCAGACTTGTACCGAGTAGATTACCCTCTTAAGTGCTCCAGATGAACTCCAAGCCTGTCTCTCTTCTGAACTGAACTTGGTTGAAAGAGCTGCCAGCGCCTGAGTGAACTGCAGGTTGTACAGCATCCTTACCACACAGGTGAAGTGTTCTAGGGGAAGATCGACAATGTTAGGCATCTCAAGTGCAAACATGCATGAGAAAAGGATCTGCAGATTGTCTTCAAGAACAATCTACTCATACTTGAGGTCCTCTAAATTAAGAATATCTTCCAAGTTTCAGAATAACACTTTTGATTGATAGCAAGTGACACGGTTTTGTTTTCTGGCTATAGTTTGTGTATGTAGTTATAACTGCTAAGCGTGACTGTTACAGTTATAAGTGGGAGTAAGTTGTATTCATTTATATACGCGTCGACTGATTCCTAGACGCTATGCTCCTGCTTGATTTCTATTTTGTCCATCAGGGAGACACTAATGTGTACCTTTTCGAAGAGGGTGTGGCATGGTCAAGATGAAAATTATAAGCAAGGACGGAACATCTCGGAATAACATGGGGACTTCAGGTCTTTCTTCATCGAAAGAACTGAAATGCAAGTTTGAAGAAAACTTGTTTTATCTTCACATGTACAAGATCAATAAACAGTGCATTCAAAATCATTAGGTAATGTTTTCAACAAAAAACATGTTCCGGTTCTAGTGTAAAAATGCAAACAAATTGTATTACATAATATAAACATAAGGACAAGGATGTTTGTAATGGGACCAGGTAGACAGATCTACAGCTGGTCTGTGAGAAGCATTAGTGAGTACAGAGCTCGACAGGGAACAGGCGCTATCAGCGCAAATGCAGCAATTACTTGTTTCTATGGAAACAGTGGAAAGCCTTTTCTGGGAAAAAGCTCTTTTCTGTGAACTAGAAAAGGCCGTTGGGAAGAAAGTCATTAAAATAAAGTGTTTTTTGACAACATCTAACACCTGGGTCAAGTGTAATAAAAGCTGTAAAATGTATGGAAAAATGTGCAAAACAGGTATATGCAGATAACATCACTTACTCCGCCTCCTTACTGGCTGCAGTCTGAGTCAGCTTGGTCCATGGGTTGTAGGCCGAATCAATGCTGTACAGGCGCATGTGCATTGCCAACACATGGAAAAGTTGATCTGAAAGAGAGAAAGATCTTATGCAAGAGATCTACAGTATAGTTAAATCAAATACATTTGAAACAGCCAAAAATCCTATTTGAGCACATCCAAGAGTTCACGTGGTTACGTAAACAGAATTTCGGAAAGGTTCCACTTACTTAAACATGAACGCTTGGCAGCAGCACTGGCTCCTCCAGAACATAAATTACCGCCACGGTGCACTAGTTCCAATTCTAGGTTTGTCCTAAGAAAATAGAACATAATTTCAATCCACAATAAATGTTAAGTAATTTAGTAAGTAATGTTTATTTACATAGCGCATTTTACAGACCCAGGTCACCCAAAGCGCAGCTAATTTTCCACTCTCTCCACACACGGTGATGACTGAAGTGAGACGCCAAACACACTGGTGCATCAAAGCCCCCGACCAACACCATCCATTCACTCAATTACATAAAGACCTATTGTTCATGTTTTTAGTGATAGGGGAAACCGGGGAAACCGAGGAACCCAGGGAACCCAGAGGAAACCTACGTAGACACAGGGAGAACATGCAAACTTCACACAGAAAGGCCTGGAGTGAATCGAATCCAGGACCTTCTTGCTGTGAAGCAAAGGTCTAAACCACCGTGCCGCCCAGAGACCTCCAAAGCCACACATATTGTTTTGCCATTTTGTCTCTTTGAATACATTATATCTTGAATTATAATTATAGACATTCATACTTCAGTTACAGTGGTCTTGGAAAATGATCAGAATATAAAACAAGGCCACCTTCCCTTCATAAACCCACCCACATAACATCCATTGAGTCTGTCAGAATTAACTATCTAATCATTTTATTGGTCGGCTGAGCTGAAATCTGTTTATTTCAAAATTCCTCAAGAAGTGAACTGACATATGTGAGTGGTAGACTACGGTACACTTCTTTGTATGAAATGTGCTACATAAATACATTTTCTTCACATAGTCTAGAAATCACTTCAATTGCAAACTCTATTTGTGAACACAGATAGTTTTTACAAGACTAGTAACTGATGTGACAAATGTGAAAAAAATAAAAATAAATTACAAGTTTGAAATTTCAATGCAAATTTATTTTTTCACTGTCCATTTAAAACAAATTAAACTAATGGCATTCATATTGTAAGTCTGAATAAAGAGCTTCCCAACAAAATTAACCATGTTTTTGCAAAGATGGTGAAGGCTTGATTCCTCTAATAAGACTGATGTGAATTTGTTTTCATTGCAATGGTGGCCATTTCTTCAGGCCTAGGTGAGAGTATATCCTAAGGTTTCCCAAGAAAAAAAGCAATTTCACATAGATAATTTAGAGACAGCGCAGCACCATCTGGCTTTACTGATAAGAGCGCCCCTGTGACAGAGACATTTTCTACCCCTCAGGCAATTTGCACTGTTCATTGAACTTTACAGAGCCAACGGGCACCAAAAACATAGTCAGGGTAGCTTTCTATTGAGGTGGAGCTTTGAGTGGGTAAACGACCTCAATGGTTATGATAGAGCAGCAAAGTCTGAAGAGTGTGGAATTTGCGATTGCTAGAATGTGGATATTGATTAATCTTAACCTGCTTTTAATGATGAATGAGTTCAAGATCATCCCCCATCAGGTGTCACAAAGGAATAGCTAGAACGGCTTGGTATAACACAGAAGTATGTCTTACCGTGCAACAGAGTACATGAAGAGGAAGTCATTATCAGGAGAACCTGGGTTCTTTCCGTAGTCCATGTACTTTTTCTGGGTTGCATTTTTTATGTCTTTGATTACCAACTCCATCTCTTTAGACAAGTTGGACTCCGTCTAAAGTATATTAGTAAATATTAACTATAATGCATACCATATCACAAAGTATATTCAGAGCAAAACAAATAAGATTTAGGAAACTAAAAACTAACTACAATAGAAGACCAGGCAGAATGACATGGCTAAAAACAAAATTGTATGTATTGATAATTATTTAACTAAGTCATGCAATACAAATTCATCTTACAGGAAAGAAGCTTATTTTCTCTTGAAGATCCTCAACTTCCTTCACAAGCACAGAAGTCTTTTTGTTGGTGGGAGTGTGCCATGCACCAGCCTCTGTACCACGGCCGGGGCGACAGGGTATTACACTGTTAGCAAACTGTCGACAGAGTGGGCAGGTAAACTCTCCTTTGTCAACAGAGAAACCCTGTAGAACCTGGTCATTCTGCAATAAGAAACACAAAAACATTAAATTTTAATCTAATTTTCATAATCTAGCTATAACATTTTCACTAAGGATCAACTAGTAAGCATGTGCCAAATAGAGAAAACTGCCCTGTACCTTAAGTTACTGATGGACAACCTTCTCTTACCCTTAAAGATTCCATGTATGACTTATGGCAATCTATATGCAAAGTGTGGCCGCAGGTTTGGACATAGACACCACCATCCCAACCAATAGACACTGACTGCAGGCAAGAACTCTGTAAGATAAAGAATAACATAAAATGGCATCATATTAGACTTGTATTTGTTGTAAAGTTTTAGCCCATGTCTCACATCTTTGAAGAATCTCTGCATCAGTGTGAGTCTAACGTCATGAGCGACACCACAAGTGTCTGAAGGATAAATGCGCTCTTCATCCGAAGTTGGAAGGTTTTTAGCATCTTCACTTTTGCTCCGATGCCCAAGGACTAAAATTATAGCAACAATTTTGTGCATAAATGTCAGATAATTTAAGCCTGACCAAATAAAAAGGCAGCAGAAAAAATGATTTACCAGAAGAGGCCTGGAGGAGAACAACCAGGCCAGTCGGTCGGTCTTCTGTTGAAGGGCCGCTCTGGCCACATATTACACAGTCATAAAGAACTTCAGACTCCATAATCTCAGTTGGTCCCAAATCCATAGTTGCGTCCGTTTCTGGTAATTCTGTGAGAAGACAAATATATGCAGAAATTAGGCCAAAGTCCAACTATTAGACATTCACCGAAAAAACAAAAACAATGCATCTTTTGATTTATTGGTACATGTAATTTCCTTAGGCGTTTGTGGGGAAAATCAACAAGGACTTGTGTAAACAATAGGCTGATTCTTACCAACATCCATTGCTGTTTCCATGAAACTCTTCTGCCTGGAGGCAAACTCTGCAAGCAGTTTTTGCTGTCTCTCTCTGGCTCTCTGACGCCTGTAATAAAACAGTTTTGTTATAGTGTAATATGGTATGGTAGGGTAATCACATACTGTAAATGTACTGTAAACTTTTCCCATTCGAACAATGTTTTGTTTTTAAAAATTGTAAATCAGTGGGGCAACAGTCATGTTCTAAAACCCAGGAATAGGAGTGCTCAAAAATACACCGGGCTGTCACACATAATGCTCGCCGATTGAAGAGCCTACTTTTTTCTTTTTTTTTTTTTTTACATAAGCCCTTTCCCAACTAGAAACAACCAAGTTCTCTTAATTTTAAAACAGCCACACCCATTGTTCCCACCTGCAAATGCTCCTTCCAGGGCCCTAAAAAGTTGTGCAGGTCTGTCAGTTGTGACTAGAGAGGATTTGATTGTTGAGGTGCAGCTGCCTCTAGCGTTAATGGAGGCTGCGGTGCAGAAAAGCTCTAGCTTTAGGAAGTCCATTAGGCCATAAACTCTAGGTAAAAATATTTCCACAGACTTTCCTGGCATGTATGCAACAGCATGTGTGCCGCTCGTAAAGGGCTAATGTGGTTTCACATGTGCAGTTGCATAATGTTAGTGAATGAGAAAGTTAAAGTATGTGATGGGAAAAAGAGAAAGATTACCTTTCTTCTTTGTCCATAGTTTTTTTGTCAGTGGGACTGTTCTTCTTTGGGGGCACAGGAGGATATACTTTCCCACATATTTCTTGAATACTGCGCTTGATTTGGCAGCTGCGTGTTGCTGCCTTAGTAAGGATACGTTCGATGGCTGTGATTCCATCACCATGGGCATGCCGGGTTGTATCCATATCCTCCAGCCATGAGGCTGGCAGCGAGTTCTGCTTGGAGGAGAGTTTTTGGTGGAGCTTTATCAGGAGGGACAGCATGCTTTCACGAATCTCCAAGATCTCTGTGACCAACTGCGGCGGCGTTCCTGGTGGAACCCAGCGTGTTGAAGAGCTTTTAGGTCGAACAACTTGAGCAGCTTCCGTGTTGCTGCGATTGATAATCTCTTGAAATTTTCTTCTGCGTTCGGCCACCAGGCTGAATACTTGAGCTTCACGGACATTCTGCAAAAAACAGGCTTTTTAGGGACTTTAAATCAAAACGAACATGTTTCAAACCAAATTACAAGTCATGCAAACATGTACATTTGTTAGAATGAATGGATTGAAAAACTTGAAAGTAATACAACGCGTAAGCAAACAAAAATTCAGCTTGAGAGGTCTATGTACCCATGTAGAAGGCAGTGTGTGTTTTTGTCCCGGTTGCGTAACCCTGGACCAGCTCTATACACTTTTTCGGTACTCAAAGGAAACCTGTCCACATTCCCCGGGATGTCATTAGAGGGGTCCTTTACTAAGGGCTGTCTGGTCCCTGCATGAGTAAAGTCAGAGCTGTTGCCGGAATACAGAATTTATGCACGCAGCCATTGACAGGCAGATCGGCAGATCGTGTGCAGTGTTGCAGTCACATGAATCGAACCGTTGTGTTGAAGAGGGAGCTGAGCCGAAAGGCAGATTTACCATCAATCTATGTTCCCACCCTCACTTCTGGTCATGAGCTTTGGGTAAGGACACGTTGGAGGGTCTCTCAGCTTAAGTCCACAAAACTGCATGTGCTGCTGACACTCGCACGTCCATTATCGCGTAAAACCCAAAGACGCGTCAACCAACATTCATACAATGACTGTCTTATTGCAAGGTTCATCTATGTAGTCAAAGTTTGGTCCATCATCTTAAAAAGCTCCAAATAAATTTCACCAAGACAAAGCATGTTGAGACAACGATGAACCCACATTATAAAAAAATAAAAAAGTGTGCTACAGTATGAGCCCTGAAAAAATATATTGAAACAGGACAGAACAGAACGGGAGAATGGTTGTGTAGGTACTGTTGTTTCTCCAATGCCTAAAACTTTCGGAGGACAGAGGGGGATGAGTAACCACTATCATTCACAACAAAGTGGCCTCAAATGCTCCAGCGGGGTCAGGTACCAGAGTTTGATCAAAGTAAAAATATTTTAAAAGCAATTTTACCAAATTCAAATTAAATTTAGGTAGTCTGACTTTGTAGAAAGTAATACACAATTCAGCTTGAGAACAATATAATTTATAATTCAGGTAAAATAACTAGGCTAAAAGGATTGTGTTCCTTTTGCTAATTGTATGTACATTTCCCATTAGAATTGTAAATCCACCCGGCCACAATATGTATATCGTTGCCAACCTTATGAACATCCACAAAATTATAGCGTAGTTTGATTTCTATGTCATCTTAATTCAGATGCACATGAACCATCTGAGGATGACCAAGACCTGTGCTGACAAGAAGGACCTGAGCAGCATTGTTGAATAAACATAAATCATACAACACGGTCAAAGGGACATCAATCACCCCGACATGCAGTTAAAAAGCATTTACCCTGCTTGCATTGCATAGATAATTAGTCAGGGGAGACTGCTGATGCACAGCTCTACTTTAACACACCACCGCACTCACATTGAGGCATATTTATGTTCTAAAATAGAAATTGTACATTCAAGCTCGTAGTGAATTTCAAAAGCTGCATTCAAACTACTACCTCTCTCCAATTGCCTGATAGACGCCTTGAATTCTGTGAAATATGTAAAACGACATGTTTTTAGCAGGATAATAATGTCCCCTACATCTCTATCCAAGCATCCATCTACTTTTTTTACACAACCAGCAATTTATGCCCCATGAGACTTTAAATCACAATAATGGGTGAAAATGGGCTAGAAACACTTCACCTGTCCATAAGAAGAAGCTTCTGAGCTGGTGCTTGGAGGAGTCTCTTTCTTGACTTCAGGTGCTGTCTCAGGAACCCGCACTCTCACAAAGTTAATGACATGGTGAAGATTTGAAAGTAGGTTAGTTCCAGGAAACCAGCTATCATGACAGTGCTCCTCGATACAGGGTTCCTTAAAAAATGAAGTTCACAGTAAAATGTGTGTAGTCGTGATCAAATCAGAACAATTCATGGTTCTTACCTCATCAGGCTTTATGTCATGAACCTGGTTGTCCAAACCAAGTTCAATCAGGTACAAGACCATACACAGCACGTGCTCAGACATGTTTTGATGATCCATCCATATCTGCACAGATTGTCAACAATCACTCTTCATATTTAGGTATATAGTCAGTTATAATTGTAACACAATAACATAATTGTAAAAAGTTCACCTTATAAAGAAGCGTGAAAATCACAATGTGCAGAGTCTTGCAGTGCAGCAGCCGTATCAGGCCTTTGTAACATGGATGAAGTGGAGTCCTCTCCTTGTAAGGAGGCCATGGATTACCAGTATGAAACCCAGATTGTTTCAAGCTGAATAGAAACAAATTAAAAACTATCAAAAACAGCAAATGTTTATGATATTGGAAATGCTGATATCCCCGTTAAGCCATAAAAGGTCTTGATAAACCCAACAAAACCTGTTTGTCTTTTCTAAAATGGTTATCCATTTCTCAAGTTATACCCATGCATTTATCGCTTGTAGGCTTAGTTGTGTATGTTTTTGTAATTAATTTATTAGGATTTTCCAAAGCCTGCGTATTTTGAAATTCAGTAGAATTTAATGGAAAAGGTTATGATGCATGGTTTTGGTCATGATAATTGAAAAATGGCCGATTGAGGCAGGAGTAAAGATGGCCGCAGGTTTGACAGGGGGACACTTAACAACTGTCCAGGGACTACAGATGAAAAATAGCCCTTAGGCTAATTCTGGCATATTTACATGCATAATGTATTTTAATATGCACTGTCCCTTTAATAAATAAATAAATAAATAAATAATCTCACCATGGTATATAACAATCACATTATAGAAAATATTAAAATCAGAAAAGTAAAAAGGATAAACATACATAGCCCGGAAGCAACTTACAACGCAGCATATCTGTCCATCGCAGACTGAACATCACGTCGATAGACTGTTCTCAGAACAACCATTATGGGGTCAAACTCCATTTCCCACACTTCAGCTATGAGGAAATATAATATTAGAGCACAAAAATGCTAGTGCTGCCCTCAAGAGGACACATCGGACAATGACATTGGAGCAGAGCTCAATACCTTTAGGAGTGTACATCCCTTGTTGCATTGAACCTCCAGGCTCAAACACTGGTGCTTTAAAGTCAGCAACAGCTGAAAGCATTTCCTCAAAGCTGCACGCTCCTGATACATTCCCACTCTTTGGATTAGGATTTTCAGGTATCTGATAAATGATGTTAAAGATGTTCTACTTAATCTTGTTCTGTGATTGTTTTTTGCTTGTTGTTAGTTATGTGTAGTGCAACACTGTATTGCAGACTTAACTGTACAAAATGTCAATCTCAAGCAGGTGTTCTCCAACCAGTAGCTCGTGTGCATCTAACTGTACCTCATCCAAAATAGCTTACCCTTAAAAAACTGACTCAATTTCTCCCAGCCGCTCTGTAGAGCAAGGTCTCTCAACCTGACATGTCGTTTCTACTAAAAGAAAATATTCAATACAATACATCCATCCATCCATCCATCCATTTTCTTCCCCTTAATCCATTTCTGGGTCGGGGGGGGTGGCAGTCAGAGCTGCACCCAGTCCACAGAGCACCAGCCCCTCACTGATCCTTCTGCAGGTGGTGAGTCCACAGGAGCTGAGATCTTTCAGTTGGGGCTTTGGGCAAAGTAGGGTTAAGTGTCTTGCCCAAGGACACAACGACAGCAGTCATCAGTGGGAGTCGTGGAGTAGGTCTTACGGTGGGCTCGAACCCACGACCTTCAGGCCCAAAGGCCAATGCTCTACCAACTGAGCTACTGTCGCCCTACAATACAATACATTGCAACACAATTCAATAGCTGATGGTATTATAATCTATTATTACCCGCTTTAGAAGGCACGTTTATTGATAAAGCTGATCACCTTTCAGAGCTCAGACACATGCGCATATACATGCAAGAGCTAAAGCCTGTCTTAACAGTGTTGATGTGTCTAAAACAAGGATACAAGGTCTAATAATGCGCTGTGTGTACGGTCATTCATACACATCTGGGAGACCATCTCAGCCCGAAGGATTTCATCATCAGACATTCCTGTAACAATGAAATAGTATACTGTCAATGCAATGTAGATTAAAAAAAATGTACTTAACAGTGACTGAGAATGTGTACTGTCTGAGTAAAAAACAAAAACAAACGTTGACTACTTGCCCAAATGAATGCGAAGACTAGTCAAAATGACCAAGAATGTCAGCGCTCCTTCCAGCATTGGTCTTTCTTGTTCAGAGTCTAACACAGCATTTTGATGTTGTGATGCCATAGTCAACAGATCAACCACTTTGAATCTTGATTTAAAAACAAATAACACAAACAGCTGTAATAAATATGAATTTGTTTGTGTCTTTTTTTCTCCAAATGATACCTTTCAAAGACACTTGAGATAAAGTAATCAGGGTCAAGTCTTGATGCACAGACCTAACAGTGAAAAGAAGTGTGAGTATTTATTTCGAAAAATGAAATATACCATGATACAATCCTCTTAACCTGGAGAAGATAGATGTCAGGATCAATCATCGAGTTGCAGAAGTGGGACTGCACATACGTCATGGCCTGTCCTTTGATTTGAAGACCATTCCTGACCCACATGTTGCTATGAATCTCAGAGAGACACGCCTACAAGGAGGGATAGAATGACAGTACTTGTATGTAAAACAAACATACTAGTATAGTATTAGTACTGGCAAATGTATGACATGTTGTTTAAAAGAGACCTGAATTTGAAGAGGATGGACCATGATCTTCATGAGCATCTCTTGGTCGGGTAGGAGGCTGTCCAGGTCCAACTCTTGGCACTTCACAGCCTATAACAGATATGTTAAAGTAAATTCTTCAGAGTTATTTTCAATCTGGTAGAATTTGTTTTGTTTTTTTGACATACCTTACTCAGAAACATAGCATAGTATCTGTGCAATGGCAAGTGAAATGTCACTTGATTAGGAGCAGGCTAAAATAGAAAAAGGTTTTTAGCTTAATTGAAGAAATTACATTGAAAATAATTGCATAATTGGTTTGGTTTACTTCATCAATGAATCCAATGGCATCAAACCAGATTTGCAACGTCTCAAGACAATACCGAACCACAGTTTTTGTGTATTCTTGTGTGTCCTTCAGAAGAAGGGAAATAGAAATCAATAGCAATTTAAAGGCATTTTTGTTGTATTGGTGCAATATCGGGATAGATCTTACTTTTACTTTGCAGTGAGTGAGTAGACCCCACATTGGCTGTGCACAAGCTTCAAGCTCTGCTGCAAATGCTGCATAGTAAGTTTGAGACTCAAACTCCACGTGTTCATTCAACTCTCGTTTATTAAGATTCATACCTTGAAACAAAGTTGAGTGGGATACTTAGTCATCTTAACTTTCTGATACGAGTTTTTAGAATTAAATCAGTAATGCTTTGCAAATGAATTACTCAGACGGGTGCATAGAAGAACGCATGCGTAACTCTCCAAAATAGTCTTACTTGCAAACCTGTGATTGTATTTACAGTATTTACATTTCTGAATCAAATCCTGAAGGCCTAACTGCCAAAAGGCCACAAATAAAACCAGAGGTTTACATGCAAGACTGTAGTTGATTTCTCTGTTCTACCATTTCAATTTTTAAATAAAAGAATCGTATGTCATCTATTATCAATGTAATCTAAAATCATAAATAAATTAACATTCATATCAAAGCACTAGTGTACCGAAGGGCAGATTGGAGCAGAAAATATGTGATAGTGACACTGCATGTAGCAAGTGGATACTGAAGTCCACTGTGTAAGGGTATGTGTTATTTTTAGGGTAGCAGAGCAACATGCAAGGAACCAGGATTGGCTACAATTTTAACCCAGTAACCAACAGTTAACAATCCGTATTCATGACTAAAAGGTACAATTTCTTAAGAATTATATATGACAGTTAATTAAGTTGGTGATAAGTAAAATGGAGACATAGCATCTCCACCACAAAAATAAAACTATGTAAAGTAAATTGTATATTTTTCTTTTCATTGCATGAAAGTTAACTTTCCTAATTGTATACCACTTACCTTGAAAAAATGACACAAAACTCATCCACAGCATTAGCAAGGAATGGTCATCCAAAAACTTTTTAGCAACACTTTGGTGTGAAAGGATGTTGATAAAATCACTAACTAAAGGCCAATAAGTGTTGTTTTTCAGAAGGGCCTCACTGCAGTTCACAACAACATGACGATTGTTTTCTTCATCTGAGAAAAAAAAACAACTAAAATTATTTCTAATTTGGTAATTCTTGATACTGTATAAATACATAGTAAGACAAAAACAAGAAACATGCTATATTGTTAACTTACCCTGAAGTTCACTTTTAATAAGGCAGCTTTCCATCATGTAGAGAAGCACAGTGACCATAATGTCCAATAGCTGACACTCCTCCGTCACATGCCGAGCAAGCTCCTCATTGCTAAACAGTTGCACGCTGATATGCACTATTCGGTTGGACATGGTATCAGACTCATGGCTTTTCATCAGTGTTTTCATGATGAATGCATAATGCTGTACAAATGTTTTTGTAAACGTGATCTGTCACCAAAATAACCAGAAATAAGCATACATGGGAAGGGACAGCTCAACTTATTACAGAGGATAATGTTAACGTGAACATGGGTCGAATGTGTGAATTAGGAAATACCTTGTAATCTTGATCTGGCAACATGTTTAGTAAAAAAGTCACCATCTTTTGGGGAAATTCATATTTTATAGTCCAGAATAACAACTCTTCCAAAAAGCATTTATGCTTCAAAGATTCAATTATACAGGGATCTAAAATTAGGGGACACAAAGAAGACATAGATAAAGACAACAAAAGAAAATTCCTCAATGTCATAACAGCTCGCATGACCTTTACCTTTGGTACTGCTACTTAGCTTAACCCTCTTCCTCTGTCCTACAGATTGTCCAGAGTCTTGATCATCCTATTGTAACAATACAAACCAATAGAGACGATCAGATGAAAATGACCAAAGGAAACAGTTCCATCATACTAGCCGAATGGCACACATACATCTTTTCCAGAATCATTTGGACTACTGGATACAGAGCCTCCTGAAGATAAGAAACATTTAAATAATTCTCTTCATCGTAAAAGTTTGTCAAAAAAATATATACAACAGACTCAGTATTACATATTACCCAATAAAGATACAGCCCCTGCACCACCTTCGGCTCCAGTCCCAGCATCCGCCGCGGTACATTGGCTTTTCTCTTCCACAGAGACTAAACCTGAATTTTTAAGTGCTGACAAATACTTTTCATAGTTCTTCTTTGCATAGAGATTATCTTCTTGACCTGAAATTATAAGTCATTACAGAAATAAGGATCAGTTTCATATTTTATCTTTTGTCACAATGCAGCACATACTGACAGATGGAGAACCCTTGTATAAAAGGGAAACAACCAAAACAAAGAATCATAGAGAAAATATCAATATTTACCCATGCTTAATTCTTTGAATGTCTGCTGATTGGTTAAGATCTTTGTTAACACTGTTCTCATTGCTCCTCCCATCTTTGTAAGCTCCTCCAAGAAGGAGATCTGTGGCTCCAGCTGTTGCAGCACTTTCTGCAGATCTCTCTCAATTGAATTGTCTGGAAAAGTGAGATAAGACTTGTAAGTACAAGTATTTGCCACCAGTAGTAATTAAATATGACGTCACAAAAGTATGTAGTTGCACAACAAAATAGTGACCTGCTTCTGTGTAACCATCCCTCAGATACTGTATAATACACACAATAAACCGAGGAAGAACCATCTCTGACATTAAGAGAAGATCTTGAGGAATTGTGGGAACATTCTCCCCCGTTCTTAATCGATGCCGGAAGCAAAATCTGTTAGAACACATCCAAAACATGTTATGCTTTTTAGAGGAAAAAATAAAATATATTAGTATATAGTTTACAGTCAATGATCACAACAAATATGTAAAAACTTCTAAACTCTAATACATAAAAAGGCAGTTATCGAATAAATGGTTACAAAAATAAGTTATTAAAATATGACTAAATAAAATATTTCAAACCCCATTAAAAATATGTCTATGAATATATCTCAATGTTCATGTCTGTATGTCATAAAAGATAAACAGTAGTCATTAGTTGTGATTCACAGTAAGAGGAAAAAAAATCGGCATTTCAAAATTATGATTAGGAAATGTAGGCAGCAGTGTGTGACGCCATGATCAGCATTACTGTCAAGTCAACTTTGCTTCAGCTCCTGAGTAGGTAGCAGTTAGCTTGCACTTACCCACTCTCTCGCATGACATTACTGTCTCCACAGTCACAGGCCCCACCAGCTTGGCTTCTAAACATATTAAAATCATGGCCAGTGTGTTCTCCATTGTTGAAACACTCAGCACAGAGTGACATACAGGGTGAGATGCCACACGTCCTGCATCGATATGCCACAAAATTAGCTGTCCAAACCAAGCCGCACAAGGTAGCGTTGTCATAGGAGCGGACTGTTCTGCAAAACTCCTCGAATCCTTCGCCTCCTGCGATCAGACATTTGCACCAGTCCAGCGCCTCAGTGTCCGCAGCAGGCGTCTCTGGGTTTAGGACGGTATCAAGCAGCTCATGAAGCTGCCGTAGGCCGGAGCTATTGTCACTCTGGGTAAGGGCTGCTTTCAAGTGGGTAGCAGTAGCCTTCTTGTCCCGGCGCAGCAGCGACGCCGCCATCATTGCTCACTGCTTGTTGTCTTACAAATTTATTTTTGTTGTCTTGTTTCCATGTTCTCGTGAATTCTCGCGATGCGTTCGCACTGTACTGACGGGCGTTGGCATTGACGAGATGCACGGTTATCGTTAATATTATTATTACATATCTGTTTTTTTATATGATCATGGTCTCCATTAGTAAAATGTATGTTTATTACGTTTTCTAACTGCGCAATTAGACCGACTTAATCTCGTTTTTGCACTTTGGATTTAAGTGTATCTATAACTCTGAGAAAATTTTACTTGAAATAAAATCAAATTCTTCTCAATCGTTGTAGCATTCTTGTGTTTGGCGTTTTACAAAGAATAGGAACTATATATGACCAACGTTGTGTAAAGTCGGAATGTTTTTACTGCGCACTTAGAGGAAGTCCATTCTGTCGTTGTTGTGAGATGATCCCATTGTTGATCCATTTATGTATAATAACGGTGTGGTCAGTGAGTAAGCTGCACGGATAGAACTAACAGTTTACTGAACACAATGAAACTCAAGAAGCTCGAAAGTTGTTTGCAACAAGTCGACACATTTGAGACACCAAAAGTACTCCTTGAGCAGTATCCAACGAGCCCTCACATCGCAGGTAGAGAATTGCCGCATCATAATTTTTGCGTTCTAGTAATATTCTTTGCACTTTCCTTGTAGCATGTATGCTATATACAATCCATAGTACATTTAACGACATTGAAGGAAAACTAGTGGCAGATTTGGGATGTGGATGCGGTATTTTGAGCATTGGAGCTGCAGTCCTTGAAGCAGGGTAAGAAAACTAAATTTGTCAACAAATATTGTTCATAACATAATGCTTTTCTTTTTCGATAGTTTTTGTATTGGTTTTGACATCGATAACGAGGCCTTGGAAATATTCAGAAGAAATGCAGAAGAATTTGAGATTTCAAACTTGGATTTTGTTCAGTGTGACATTAGTAGTTTGGAGCTTGAGGCGTATTCTTCCAAATTTGACACAGTTATCATGAACCCACCTTTTGGTACAAAACGCAATCAAGGTGAGTATAACGTTAACCAATGCGGCCGCTATAGTTATAGCTATAGTACTATAGATAATTTATGTATGGTGTGTATTTGTCTTAAGGTATTGATATGATATTTCTGAAGACTGCTTTAAAGTTAGCAAATAATGCTGTGTATTCACTTCACAAAACATCGACACGAGAGGTAAGGATTCCATTTAAAAAAAAAAAAAAAACTATTTGTAACACCACTGTTATAGCACATACAGAAAAAGGCACATGATTGGGGTGTTACAATGGAAGTAATAGCAGGTGAGAAATAATTCTTAATAATTGGCAAGTCAAGTTTTATAACTGTCCAAATGATTGTTACAGAACTTCGATACGATATACCAGCATCTTTCAAGTTTCACAAGAAGAAATCGGTAATGACCAATTTCCAGATTGAAGTTGAACATAGTTTTATTTAGCATATACGCAAACTTAAAAAAAAAAACATAATCTTTCCATTCAATGTAGCAAAAAGAAAATACTAAATGTTATAAACAATAGACAATTGCTTTTTCAAATTAAATTACCATCATGAAGTAATTCATATGTCTCAATTTCTAGGTGGATATCCAGGTGGACTTCATAAGATTCTCTAAACTTTGAAACCGGATGGAATGAAAAGCCATTTTTTGTGATTTTCTATAAATGTTTTACAAATTACAAACTCTTGAGGATTTCTTTACAGCTTAAGATCCATTTTCTGTTTTGGCAACTTTAGCTGCAGGAGCATCAGCGTGTTCCAAATCCCTCTTCAGAGGGACAGGCCCTATAACAAAAATAATTTATAAAATCGCAATCACAGAGCTGGATTAACGTGCCAGAATTTACCTTTTTCATTATCTCCTTCATCATCACTATTAAACTTTGTCTTCTTTCCTTGGAATTGATTTCTTCCTTGATCTCTGTCTCTACCACCACTCCAACCCCTTTTGCCTCCTCTTCCTCTTCCTCCTGAGCGTCTGCCACCTTGCAACGAATAATGCATCAACAACATGAATATCCGTTTCCTAACAATTTATAGATTTATTTTAGCATAGCATCAGGCAGGGACTTCAGTCATGACCCTAAATTCATCACAATTTAGGTTGACTATTTAAAATATTTGGCTAGCGGATTTTTCCCATTAGCTTCATACTGCCCACCAGACAGTCTACTTTGCCTCTATTTTAATTAACAGGAGTCAATACATTGGCATGATATACCTGATTTGGAAAAGTTTTTTTCTCAGGAAAAACAGACATTTTTATAACAACGAAGCCAAAACAATGTATTTATTCAAAAGCATGAATGTGTTTGGATCTGTGGCTGGACATGACAAAGAAAACACAGATCTAGGCGAAGTTTATATATTTAAAAATGGAAATAGTTTTCAATATAGTTTTTTGCAAATGTTTTACCAAAACCTAGAGCAAACGTGTATTTGGGTTGGATGTTTTATCAATGTTTATAAAGGACGTACCTCTGCCTCTTGACCTGTTGTATGACTCTTGCTGAGCTTCAATTATCTTCTTTAATTCTTCCTTTTCCTCATCTCCCTCGAGCACCTGCCATGTCACAGTGTTGTCTTTTATTCTCAGTTCCCCTTCAATTGCTTCTTTGGCTTTCTCAAATGCCTCCTTGGCATTTCCATCAAATAGGAGGGTGCCCTAGTGAGGAGGATGGAAGGGGGGGGGGGTCATTACATGCAGTGCATGAGATATTTGATAATTGAAGAAATTACCTGTTTGGCACCTCTGGTAAAATCTACCCACTTAATCTTTCCATGTCCTGAGAATAACTCATGAAAGTCTTCTCTTGAAACGTTTTCAAGCTCTCCGGAAAATTTTAACAGACATCCAGTCTGTTCATCCAAGAGCAAATTCTGAAGCGTAGAAACTGAATGGTTATAAACAGAACAAATGTGGTCTGATTTATACAGTAAATCTGTGAAACTCACCATTTCTTTGTCCTCAGTTTGTTTCTGATTTTTTTCTTTGTCCCTAAATAGCAATTGTTTGGTTCAGACATGTATGTAGTTTAGTATGAACTAAGTAGTTACATCATACCCCATGTATTGTCACATTGCATTTGCCAGATACAAGGCCAAGCACACCCCTACGCCATTTTATCTTATTACGACCACAAAGACTTTCTGTAAAATCCAAAATAAACTAAAAAGGTAACCACTGAAATGAAATCACAACGAAACTATATATTTTTCAAACTCAAAGTAATATTTCAGCATTAGGCAATACTTTGGGGAACCCCAGCATGGGGTACAGTATAACTACAGGAATTTCAAATCTAGAGACTTTGTCAAATTAGCATGAGGGAATTTAGAATGTGGGTCTGGACTTTGACACAGTATGTTATGAACCACTTATGTTTAGGTAAATAGCCCTGATTATGGCTTTTTGTCCTGTATTATGCTTTATCCACCTTACCATCAAGCAGGCCCAGAAGATGCTGCTGCCATCCCCATAGGGCACTGGGGATGGGGATATTTGCCCCATAAACAGACTAACCTAGGTGAGCTGTGGTTGTCTGCAGCTCCTCCAGAGTCAACATTGGCCTTGTGGATGCATGTGTGATCAGTGTCCTTGTTTGATATGAGAGTTTGAGTAGTAAATTATAAGGGAATAATAACTTAAACAGTGGTCTGAGATCACAGCATTTTCCTATAGAGCATCATGAACAGCTTTAGTTGTACCAACAGCAGTTTACACACAAGTGGCCTCCATTTAATTGTTAGGGAAAGATGGGAGTATTGACGACCATTTAATGCACTTATGTAAACCCCATTTCACAGTCTGTTACTTTGTTGTAATCGTTTAGTAAAAAATAAAATCTTTATGGTTATAACATGACAAAAATGTACAACGGTTACAGATGTATTAACAAAAGACATGCTGTATTTTACCAGTGGATTATGACATGTGGTTGTACTTACTGTTTAGCTTTAGCTTTATTCTCCGCTTTAAATTGCTTTCTATCCTCAAGTTTCTTTGCATGATAAGCTTCTCTGCAAATTAAAATTATATTAGTGCTTTGGACACCACACTGAGATGTATTGAAAGTAGAACAAACCTCGACAACACAAGCAGCTCATTGTCCTTGTATGTTTTTATGTCTGAACGTTCTAAGAATTTCTTTGAGCCCTCTTCAGTGTCAAAACAGATGAACACTGATCCCTGTTAAGCGATTATCTTAAATCATTTCAAGCAACAGTACAATAAAAGGATTCACAAACACACATTTACCTTGAATTGCTTTTGCAAATTTCTTCTCATCTGAATGTTTTCTATATTTCCTTTTCCATTCAACCATTCTTGAATTTCATCCAGTGAGGTTTCCAGAGAAAAACCTTTCTAGATTAGAACATTTAAGTCATATCATGAGAGTGAGTTCACAACCTAGTACAGCTTGCATTTTCATTTCCCATTGTCTAATGACTACATCTTTGATGCACCAGTCCATAAGTTAAATCAGAACCAGTGGTAATTTGGCATAACTTGCGTAACTCTTGTAAGAGGTGAAGACTGCCCATCACTCAAGAGATAGAATCATTTGTCTTTAACTGAAAATGTTCAGTATGAGTGAGGTGGGTTTTTTTTTCCAGAGTTTGAGGAAAAGCAGCCCTCGTATCAAGAAACTTGAGATTACATAAAACAATTTTTGGTCATGTTGGTCCGTCAAGCTAACAATCAAGTCAATTGATTGGAGGAAGTTTCTCACTTCATTACTTAGTTATTTTAATTTTCTATTAAATATTAGATTAAAAGAGTTTATAAGCAAGACTCAAGCTAATGTGTCAACTATTATCCGCAGTCAAATTGGAACAATGATTAAGTGTTATAAGATGCCATTGTTTTATTATGGACATTTAGTGGCCCCAACTCTTAGGTTTCGAGGTAGGACTATATACTGCATATGCATAGGACATTTTTAAAAGAATAGGCCACCGTTTTTACATACTGACATGTTCTTACCTTACCTTAGACTAGTTGATATGTACCTGTCTGGTCTTTGTCCGTGCGCTCTGTCATGCAAACAGAGCACAAACGCAGCCTCTTCCACATACTGTATAGTAACAAATCAGCTCCCGTTAGAAGCTACCAAACTCTTCCACGTGTTCCCTATTTAAATACATTTCTGTGTTTCTATACTTTGTAGTGAAACATGTCGATTTTCTCTGCGGCTAAAAAGGGGTACTATATTGGGCCTCATGTATAAAAGTTGCGTAGAAAAGGGTGTATATTCCATTTACGCAAGATCCGACGTGGCATTTATGAACGTGTGAGATACGCACAGATCTGAGAGTACACACCTGCGGCTGTTGATAAATGCCGCGCTCGAAACTAGCGTATTTATGAAAGTCACGCCTAGAAATATTCAGAAACTGCCTGTTCCACGCCCTGTTTTTGCGACAGGTCAGTAGGAAGTCGGCTAGGAAGACTGTTTGGAGGCCTTAAAAAGCACACACTTCTAAGATTATTCACGTTTCTAAAAAAAAAAATATATATATACCCTCTATTATATATACGCGTTTTTCCCTAGTGTCTAGACCCACTGCAGCACTCATCTCTCCTGAAATGTAGAAGTAAATAAATAAATAAAAAATGAATGAATGAACCAGTTCCCACATGCGCGTTGCATCCTATATCTGCTATGCGGAGAACAGGGCAGTGGATGAGCAGTTTTGAGCAAGATCAATTGCGTCTATGGGGCTTTATGCACAAAACTAAGGAAAACCCACATTGCTTTGCCAGAGGTGAATGAGGCAAAACATATGCGTAATTACGTATACGGCGCAGGGTCTGGTTAGTGAGTAAACAGCTAAGGAAAAATAACTTCACCCGAGCAGGAGATTGAGACCATTATGAACAAAGTGGGAAAAAGGAAGTCTTACTATTTGGAATTCTCAAAAGTGGCATCAAGGGGCTCAAAAAAAACAATATATGGAAAGAAATGACAGCATCTGTAAACAGCGTGGGGCCTGCAACACACACTCCTGAAGAGGTGAGTTTATTCATGTTCGAAGAAAAATACGCAATATTATATCAAACAGTTGATATACATGAGGCCCATTGTGAAGTCTTTAGGAGTTAGTGCGCAGACGTAGTGCTCCTCGTGTTATTATGCCTCACAAAAAAGAACTCCTTTTTATCCGCTGAGAAAATCGACATGTTATATTTCTGTGTTACTGTACTTTGTAGTGTAACACGTCATGTAACTGTATTTAAATAGGGAACACGTGGAAGAGTTTAGTAGCGTCTAACGCAAGCTGATTTGTTACAATAAAGTATGTGGAAGAGGCTGCGTTTATGTTCCATTTGCATGACAGAGTGCACGGACAAAGACCAGACAGGTACATATCAACTAGTCTAAGGTAAGGTAAGAACATGTCAGTATGTAAAAACGGTGGCCTATTCCTTTAAATATCCATTTGTATTTCATTATAGTAATCTATAAATGCAGCAAACTTACCATGTAAACAGATTTGTGTGCAATTGTTGCTTTGTAATCATCATTAAATTCCGGTAAAGGCTTGTTCGCGAATCTTCTGATCTTAGTTTTGTCATCACTGAGCTCTAGTAAGCCGGTCTTTGATTTCTGTAGAGCTGCGACAATCACGGTGACGTCTGTAGTTAGAGACTTTAGTCTGCAAAAATAAGACAAAAGGCAATGAAATAGTAATTCGAATATTGGTATTCTGCCCATATGTTGATGAAATAATAAATATGCCATAAATAAATACCCCAGTACAAAGAATATTTCTACACCATTATGGACTTTTCAACCAACCTGTTAAATTTAAGCATCGTCTCCAATGGTACCCAGCCATCATCAAGCTGCAATTGTTCTTTCAGAAACTTGTCTCGTGGGAGGTTATGGTCCCCGAAGTAGTACTAAAAGATAAGGCTGTCAATGGCTCGAAAGTAAATACATTATATATCACACATACCTCCATTTGCCTCGTCACTTTAAGCTCAAGAGGAGACATATCTTCATCTGCCATGACTCTACCAGATAACACAAGAAACATGAGACCAGTAGACTAAGAATTGCTTTGGGGTTTACAATACTGCTGTGGTTGCTATTCGTTTGAAAAGCATGGAGTAGCTAGTTTAGTTAGCATACTAGCATATCACATTTCTAACAAAGCAACGCGCGGCATAAACACAACAGAATACAAATGCAAACAGATGTCCAAATGGCTATGCGCAAGTTAACCAGAAATACATTTTCTTAATCCATTATTCCCGATACTAGCTAACTACGTTGATTACACGATCGTATCCTCTTCTTGAAACATCGCCAGCTAACTAAACTGAGCTTAAATTTAACCTCCTTTCTGCAGTACTTTTCAATAGGCATGTGGCGATACAATAATAATGGTACTTACAACCTGATAAAGTCTCTGAATTGCTCTAACGAAACTAGCCCTGGCTACAGTAGCAGCACGCAGTTTGCACGTTGTGTCTAGAGCTACGGAAACTACCGAGGGACAAAAGTAAATGAAACGCGAAATAAGACAGCTTCGAGCCATACCATTCATAAAAATATTATATATATATATAAAAACACACATATGTAATATATATATAAAACACGTATGTATTTGAAAAAAATATAGGCGTTTTATAGTCACTCAAGTGTATGCATATTGAAACCATGGATGTATTATATTCATATTTACACCTGCAGCACTGAAGCTTCGATTCACACGGGCTGTGAGGACAATTTTCTCATAGACCTCTGTTAACTAAAAAGGCTTATCCTCAGCTGACAGGGAACCTATACAGCGCCCTCAAAGTCCCTTGTCACCCTGAACTTTTTTCTTTAGAAATGTATTGGTTGTCTATAAATACCCACTTGCAACACGTGCAGCAAATAAAAACAAAGTGCAGCCTACTTTATTTGGTCAATATCTTGCATTACAGATGACTCAATGTACAAAAACATTTATTGTGCAAATATCAACAAATGTAGCCCATAAAAATATTATTGTAATAAAATTCACAATAAATGCATGAGGTATTGTTTACATTTTACAAAGAAGATGCAAAAAACAAGAGTCAACCCCTTATTTTAAAGTGTATTTATTGTAAAAAATAAATAAACCTTAATTTTATACATTTGAGATCAATTACTTAATATACCTTTTAGAAAAGACTATAAACACAAAGACATCCATGAGACCTGGTGGGACTGGGCAGAGTACCCACAATCTCCCATGAATCCAACTCAGGGTCATACTTCTCAATGCTCTGTAGATAAGCACCCTTAGAACAGGAATATCCTCCACTTACGTAAATGCACCCATTTATGGCCACGGCCCCACACTCCATCCTGCGCTCCTTCATCTCTGAAAGGGCTTTCCACTCATTACAAACTGGACTGTAGCAGTCCACCACAGTGGTCTGTCCTCCCACCAAGTACATTTTATTGTTGAGAGCTACAGAACACAAACCATACTCTGAAATAGAAAGGATTTGTTAGAAAGAGATAAAAATTAATATGTTTTTGACATCTTACCTTGATGTGGACTTAAAGTTATGACACTCCACTCATTTACAGTGGGACAATAAAATTGAACTTTTTCAAAAGTACAACTGCCTCTGTATCCATAATGGCCACCAGTCACATAGATCTTCTCATCCATTACACATGCTGTGGCATTTCCAACACCTGCGAACATCGGCATAGGATTATTAGTGGACACATATTTTTTTTATTTATATATAATGATTAAGTATATCTAATCAAAACTAAACCAGTTCAGTCAGAAATCAACAAGAAAAACAATCCACAACTATCTAAGTAGTTATCAATGTGTAACTGCTCAATTTACAGACTCTAACACATGCAAGTGCTGTGAGCTGTGATTTTGAAGACACAGCAGTAACTTTAATGGGCCTGGTGTAAATGGATTTTAACCAGTTACGTTCCATTTTATTATTATTTCTGTACACATTTCTATTTCAATTTATTTGGATTGGCCACCAATGTACCTTCAGAGCAATATTTCCTAGGAGGTCATGGGCGGGGTGAAGGATACATCTGTGTGACTAAACAACTGTGGTCTGACTCTGAGGATATGATGGCCAGCAATTCAACTCTGCAGACTAGACTGTCCTTCAGTATTATAAAATGTATAGGATCATTTAAAATAAGCAAAGGTGGTAAAACGTAGTTTGTCACATGGATTTTGTGTACATGGTACATTTTCCAGTACACCTTTACATACCTTGAATCATTTGGGCCACAGGGAACCACTGTTTTTTTAAGGGGTCGTAAAACTCGCAGTCCTTCTCTGGGGCCCCTCCCCTGTAGCCTCCTATGGCATAGATACATCCACGCAGTGCTACAGAACAGTGGTAATATCTGGCAGTTATCATTGATCTGCTCTGTGTCCATTCGTCCGCTTCACAGTCATAAATAAAAACCTCATCCAGTGCATCCACAGTGTTAGTTCTGTAACCTCCAGTCACATAGATTTTGGCTCCTAGTAAAGTTACGCTGTAACTCTCTCTGTCCGGATCGGGCATGGCCTTCCCCTGTCCCCATGTGTTACTTAATGGATCCCAAATGTGAACTTCGCATAAAGGGTGCCAATAATATCCTCCGATTATGTACATATTTTGAGGGGACGTTTTTCTTTTTGCGGATAAACCTTTGATATTGGACTTCGCCTGTCTGACTAGTGACTTCAAATGTTCAACCTTAGAGAGATGCCCAGTAGTCTCTAAAGTGGCATTACAGTAGTCCTCATCTAAATCCAGGTGAATCGTGCGTAAAAGGTCACCGACATACTGCATGCGTTGATTGATATCGTAACCAATCCATTTCGCGATGGCATTAACTAACATTTCCTCACACTGCACCCCTGGACTGTGACCCAATAAAACAGCCTTCATCCTTTCGAAGTCCAAGTCGAGCATTTCTTCGTGTTGCATGATCTCTGAAAATCTGCTGAGCATCATCCTGCGAGACTCCCGCTCCAAACTACGGCACAGGTGCATCTGCGCAAAAGCGTGCATTCCCAAGCAGTTATTAGCGTCCAAGAGGCGCACAAGGAACTCCTCACAAGCCCGTTTCACTTGCGCAAACTGGAATAGATCCGCAGCCTCCAGCAAGTTCTGAACGTTGTCCTCTGTGATGCGCACATGGGCTGTGTACACGAAGTTAACCAAATCCCCCAGGACCCCACAGTGCGCCCCGGACAGTTTGATCACACGGTCGGACCTCTCCTTCATGTCGGCTGTAAACATCACTTTGAAATAGGAGCTGCGGGCCGAGAGCACCGCTTTGTGGCAGTGAAACACCTGTCCGGACTCGGCACATTGCAGCGTGATGTCCGTGAAGGCGCCGGTCAGGTAAAAGTGCCTGAGGGTGTCCAGCAGCTCGTTGGGGTGCGCGCTGTCTATGTAGTCGTATGCGTAAACCTCCGCCGGTTTGTGTGACATGGTTTCTGTAGGAAATTGTAAAATTATAACGGTGGTCACACAATATACAGCTTCGTATGTCCAGTAAGTATACCCATTGATGCGTAACAGCGCCGTAAAGATGGGAGACACGTACCTATGATAGTATTTCCATGAATGAGCCTGGTATTCTCCTGCTGGGGGCTGAATATAGCTCACGCGTGCAGGACAGTCGAAAGCTCGATCCTATTTTGGTAGGCTATTTACGTCCAGCGTCCATATACCCCTCCTCCCCTGCTCTTCTGCTTCACAAGTCCTTGATAAAACCAAGCGACCATTGAGATGAATCACCCTCACTGTCATTTTCCTCTCAGATGTATTCAATACCAGCGCTGTTATTAGATAATATCGTCAAAGATCACGCGTAGAATACACATTCTAAACAAATGAGGACTGCTTTTAGAGCACAACAGACAGTTACTGTTCTCTTCACGTTTTCAGCCCCATTCACGTGGTTGCTATGGTATTTTCTACCCATTTCTTCTGGTGTGGCCAAAGCTTTACCTAATCCTTACAAGGATTACTTACAAACTGAGACAAACAATGACCAGTGCATATGTGGGGTCAGTAAAGGTCAAATGAAATGGTTATACCAGATTTGCCTTCAAAATGAACATAAATGATGCATTCTGTATTACGCTTCAAAACCCAATTAAAATGTAAAAATACAACAAACAGTATTATTTAAAACTAAACGTTTTCCCATTGCAATTAAACAGGATACGCAATTGACAAAACTAAAATCTGACATCTATTCATTTTTAGCCATAATAGTTTATTGGTGCCTGTAAAAAACTATTGTATATGACATGAAGACAATTCTTAACATTGTCAAAACAACTAAACATTGGAATTTCAATAAACATGTAAACAGCAATTGTTCACTGCTAAAATGCAACACAATATCATAGTCACCGTTCCTCTGTCATCGTTCAATGTGGTAAGTTGCATCATATTGCCAATGTAAATTCCTCAATTGTGAATTATGTTCATATATGATGACAAGAAGTTAAAGTCTCACTTCAAATTAATTTCCTGGAAAATAGTTTGAGTTTTAGGCTATTTTAGAGATACCTGACTTAAATTTTGACTTGAGCCACATCTGTAACGATAGGTTTCAAAGCATTCAGATCTTTGAGGAGTTTTGACACCCCCACGCAATACCACTGCTCCCCAGTGTGCTTTGTCGGAGCACTGAAGGACTCGATCTGCACTCCGTGTGTGGCTAGCACTCCTGTAAAATAAAAAAGAAACAAACTCACTGGACATGCAAAATCGCATCTACTAACATAGGGATGAAAATACAAAAAGAATATAACCACCATGCCCTAACCGAAATGCCTTTTGTCCAGAGTACAATGAAGGGAATCATTAGTCTAGTGTACACAGGAGTGGTTTGAGACTTGTATGACACATATATGTCATGTCATATTCTTTAATACTATGAATGATCACAATATATATACATCTTTTTTTGTACAGTGCATTCATCTAGTAGGAAAGTAGTAAGTAAGCAAGTGGGTAATCTTTATTTATATAGCACCTTTCGCAGACCAGTCACAGCGCTTTAGAATTGGTGTGTACATTTGTCCTCTCACTCCACACAGAGATGGAGCAGGGTCCAGGAGGTGCATGTTTTTAGTGGTAGGGGAAACCAGAGCACACAGGAACCTTTGTAGACGCAGTAAGAACATGCAAACTCCACAAAGGTTTAGAAGTAGAATTGAACCCTTTGCTATGAAGCACAAACGCGAACCACTGTGCCACTGTGCTGCTCATAGTATTTTGTTCCATAAAATCCCAATGGTAAAAAATATATTAAAGACAAAAAGTCACAGTGACCCAACTTCAGTTTGGTTCATTTATTTCAATCATGTGCGGTTTTGGCAAGCAGCCAACAGATGGCGCCATTTCTGCTGTGTTATGTTTAAAAACTCTGAAGTGAAACCTCATGTGTCTGAAACCTTTTTAAATCGCCTCCCTCAATTGAAAATGTTTCAGACTCTCCATTACTACATAAAAGGTGTATAACTTTCTCTAGTTAGTTTCTCTTACCAACCACTGATGAAAGAAGCTGAGGACTGGCTGAAGCTTTGAAGAGCAGCAAATTCCCGATGAGAGACACAGGCTGTCGAAACACACTGTCACTCAGTGTCAGCAGGACAGGAACTCCATTTTGAACTGACCCGGAGGCCGTAAGCTTCCATCCATCAGCAGAAAGCTCCACTTCACACAATGCTCCACCACAGTTTGATGTGCTGTGTGTTTGGTTCACCTACAAAGCAGTCAAACTTATATAACCACACACAGAAAATTAAATGTGCATTTCTTTTTTGTATCGATATCCTTAATATACCTGAATTCCAGAGTCATTGGCAAAGTTCAGCACATTTATAAGGTTAATACTGGTAGATTCATTTCCAAGCAGTCCAACAAGTACAGCTGAAGTCAAATAACCCGATGACGACTTCATACCATCACCTTAACACAAAAATGCAATTATTAGCAGATCAGACAGAACAAAAAGGTCCACTGGGAATCTCAAACAACAATAATAAAGACATTTTGGTGTAAATTGTAAAACAATAGGTGCTGCAATCAAACTTAAACATGGAGCATTTTGAATGTGCCTATAGGAGGATCTTGGAGTGACGTCGTTGTTTCTAGTTTTTCCGCGCCGGTCACGTGACCGGGTGACAAAACAGCATAGAAAGCTACCTGGATGCTAGAGAGTTAGCTATTTTTAGATGTTTGGAAAGAGGTTTTACTAAATCAAATGGTCCAATTTGGTTGTGTGGTCAGTTGTACGGCCCGCTGGGGACAAATTAATTGTATGCCGTTACCTACGCTAAACGTAGAACGGGAAGCCGAGGGGATAAGTTTTCACTTAAATTTGTGCACACCGCACAAATTCACGTGGGTTACCCAGAAATTTTCCGCATAGAACTCAATGTAAACTAAAACAGCTCGAGCTCAGCTGACAGAACCTACAGATTTCATAAAGGTCGGATTTTGTGGGGATTTTAGTGTCCCTTGTCATCCTGAACATTTTTTCTTCTTAAATCCTTCAGTCTTCTCTAAATCCACACTTTAGTGCCACAAACTCTGCCCGTCAGGCTCCCGCTCTAACTCCGCTCTAATACACAGCTCTGATTGGTCAGAGCGCGGCCGAGTCACTCTGTGCACGTGCATGAGAGCCACACACGCGCATTTGCCGCAACGCATCATGGGAGATCATCCCCTGCGCAGAACCGGGAGGACCAGACGATGCGCAAATACCGGCGAGTTCCCATGGATCTTTATCAGAATCAGAATCCTTTTTATTGCCATGTAAGTAACAGGAAGTCAGACTTGGAAATTGCTTTGGCTCAGTGAAACAGTCAGAAAGAGATAATAAAAATAAAGAATAAAAAACACTTCTAAAGAATACATTTAAAATAGAGTTACAGTTACTATTTACAATATACAAGTGCACATGGTGAACACAATGTAAGGTGACAGCAGTACAGTGAAGTAAAGTGACGTATGATGGGCAGTAAAGTGACTTTATAAAGGGCGGGGGGACAGGTTAAGAAGTGTTCAAGAGTCCAACAGCAGAGGGGAAGAAACTGTTCTTGTGGCGGGAGGTTCTAGTCCTGATGGACCGCAGTCTCCTGCCTGAGGGGAGTGGTTGGAATAGTCCATGTGCAGGTGAGAGGGGTCGGCTGTGATACGACCAGCCCGGCCTCGAGCTCGGGCGACGTATAGGTCCTGCAGCGATGGAAGGCTGCGGCCGATCACTTCCTCTGCAGAGCGCACAATGCGCTGTAGTCTCTGTTTGTCCCTGACTGTGGCTCCAGCGAACCACACGGTGACGGAGGAGGTGAGGATGGACTCGATGATGGCCGTGTAGAACTGCACCAACATCTGTGCAGGCAGCTTGGCTTTCCTGAGCTGCCGCAGGAAGTACATCCTCTGCTGGGCCTTCTTGAGGGAGCTGATGGTCTGCTCCCACTTGAGGTCCTGGGTGATGGTGGTGCCCAGGAAACGGAAGGACTCCACAGAGGTGATGGGGGAGTCCATCACGGAGGGTGGGGGCGGGGGGCGGGGGGGGGAACAGTGCTCTTCCTGAAGTCCACAATCATCTCCACTGTCTTCTGGGCGTTCAGCTCCAGGTTGTTACCACTGCACCAGGACACCAGCCGGTCCACCTCCCTCCTGTAGGCGGACTCATCGTTGTTGGAGATGAGTCCAATGAGGGTGGTGTCATCCGCGAACTTGATCAGCTTCACGGGGTTGTGGGTGGAGGTGCGGTGGTTGGTGTACAGGGAGAAGAGCAGGGGAGAAAGAACACAGCCCTGTGGGGCTCCAGTATTTATAATCCAAGAGTCTGAGACATTCTTCCCCAGACGCACTCGCTGCTTCCTGTCCGTCAGGAAGTCAGTGATCCACCTGCAGGTGGAATCGGGCACGTTGAGCTGGGAGAGCTTGTCCTGGAGCAGGGATGGCAGGATTGTGTTGAAGGCAGAGCTGAAGTCCACGAACAGGACCCTGGCGTAGGTCCCCGGGGAGTCCAGGTGCTCCAGGTGAGTTACGCTAATCTTTTGGCGGTCATGCGTCAGTAAAATAACGTATGCAGCAGTCAACTCGAGGACTGCTATCACAAAGCAGCAGTGTAGTTTCACAGGAGCAGTTGACTGCTTAACCCTATATGCACGCGCACATGTTTTACAAATGATCAATGTACTCGCGAACCGTAAAACGTAGCAACTTACTTTTTTTTCCTCTGTGAAGTACGTATTCAGGGCTTTCCGAAACTAGTTTTGATTTGTCTGTGCGATGCACGTAGGATAAACTACGTTTGTCTGAAAGTCCGTGTCCAAAGCGTGACCCGTGAGGTACAAACAGCTGTGAGATACAAACACACGGGGACTGCCAAAGATCGTCAGAGAGTGAGATCTCTCACGCCTCTGTCTGTACTTGTTCTCCCACAGTTGAAACTACAGCTGCGATTGCAATAACCGGCTGAAGAGTGCGCATTATTGATAAAGACGATAATAAATACAGTAAAATTACATTATGTGTATATGATGTATATAAATATATGTATTATATAAATAATTGATGTTTTTTTGTTTTTTTTTTGGCTCAGTTTCTTATGTTTTACGTTTTTTACAGCTGTACTACAGAAGCAACCCCAGCATTATAGACAAACTACTTCAGGAAGGGCATCAGGAGTACAGAGTTTTTTGCTTTTATAGTGGAATTTTGTAAAAAGTATAATAGTTAGAGATTCAATTTTTTTCCCCATTATCCCCAAGACCATAAATAACATTTCTATGCAGTGTAAAAAGTTGTTTATAGCATTTCATTGTGTTTTTTCAATACATTTTTGTTAAATTGATTTTCCGTTTGATTTTTTTCTTTGTCTTCATGATTCCACAATTTTTATGTAATTCATATGACAGCTTTACAATATGAATATTCTAAAACCCCAGGTTGTACTGAAAAAAACAAAGTATACTGCTTGACTCTGCATCAAAAGATGACTGTTTTATGAACAATTATACACAAAGAAAACCAGGCGAGGAAAGTTCCCCAAAATGAACCATGTGCATAGAGGGTTAAACTAAACTTTACACGAAACTTTGACTCTTAAAACCCACATATCACAACACGAAACCATCAACATCTCGCCTCAAATTGCATAAAAAAAAAAAAAAGAGATATTCGTGTCTTAATTTGTTCGTATTTTAACTTTTAAATCACATAGTTTATGTCCGCCATCTTCGTTTGCTTCGGCTGCCGTGAGAAGCGCATGCGCAGGTTTGCATTACATCATTAACAGCTGAGGCGGCACAACTCGACAGTACACTGGCACAATGCGCCACTGACCACAAACCCTTAATGCACAATCTTAGATCGCCGGGGCTTGGGCTCATCCCTATGACTTCCTGTTCCACGTTTACCGTAAGTAACAGGAAAAAGGAGATACCCCGCTTTTAATGTGCGGAACACTTTACCGCGACGGCGAAAAGCCAGGCCACTTTACCGCAGTGAAAAATGTGAGAAATGGATTTTCACCACAAACCCTACTTGCACGAGGGGTCCCGGGTTTTCTATGGAAAAGTAAGAATAAATGTCTCCGAGTCCCAGTCCCAGCAGATCGGTGCCAAAATAGGCGAGTCTGACCAATGTTTCTTCTCGTCATCCCAGGTCTCATCTGGGCTTTGGATTTGTTCAGTTCAGTCTCATAGACTTATGTTTAGCCTGTCTTTATATCTCCTCTGATCTTCTTGCGTTAAAGTGCTTACATACAGTGCTATTTCGCCCACTGAGTCTTTTAAAAGTACTCATCGCATCCATGCTTTAATATGTATCACTCTGCCTTTTTGCCAACCAGCGAGGGGCACGCATGTGTAAATAAAGATCCTCCTGCTGTACTGCAGCAGTAGTAGCATGTTCCATAAAAGGTACCACAAGAGCGAGCCAGTTTTTGCTTAGTTGTCACGCTTAGTGATTATGTGCTCCAGATTTGAAACAAGTAACAGTACCTCGAGTTTTAATCTGCAGGTGGCTGCAAGGCTTCTTGGAAGTAGCACAAGCCTTCAACACAGCTCCGATAACCTCCCCAAATTTAATCAATTCTTGAGATTCTTGAGAAAACGTGCTGGCCAAAACCTGTGCGTTTACCTACAAAAAGAAGACATTTCAGGACATTTCACAATTATTATTTTGTAGTTTAATGTTGCATGAAGGATAACGTACAGCTCCAAACAATTTTCTTCCTTTAACCATATCCACAATCTGTAGTGCTATGTCTTCCCCACATCGTGCTTGTGCTTCTTTAGTACTGGCTCCGAGGTGAGGACAGCCAATCACATTTGGATGATCCAAAAGCGCACGATCCCTCGGTGGTTCCTGTGAGATAGCATCATGTACATTGGTACATAAAAAAAAAAAAAAAGAAACAGTTCTACTGACAAATTCAACAGACCTCAACAAAGACATCCAGTCCTGCTCCTCCACACTGTCCAGACTCCAGAGCTCTGAATAGAGCCGCTTCATCGATGATGCCACCGCGTGCACAGTTAACAACCTTCACCCCCTTCTTACATTTGGCAAATGTTTCATCATTGAGAAGGCCTTGAAACCCAAAAAGAGAGGTTCTTTAAAAGTTAAAGAGATTAGGTTCTTGTATCAATCGAGCCCTGTTCAGAGCAGACCAAGCGTTCAGCCACACTGTTGCAGCCGCCACACTGAGGTTGGACAAAGCTGAACTTCTGGGCCGAGGAGACCAAAACCAATCAGTGAGCAGCACCACTGACACAGTCACAGGTTACAGACAGGTCAGGGGGAGCAATGGGACACTCAAAAACAACCAGTATTGAAAATTAAGGAAATATGAGATCTTGGCCGTACGCCAAAATCATGTGTAGCAGGAGCATGAGGAGTTATAATTGCATGGTAACTGATCCCAGTGTAAATGTGGAGAACAGCCCTGGTCAGAGCGTGGGTTTCATTAAACTCACATGGCTAATATAGCAACATGCTTTCAGGACATTCTGGCAGCGTGGCAAGGCACGGCTTGGTCTGAACCGGGCTGCAGAGCTAAGACGTACCAACAGTAGAAGGCATAAGTGGTGTGTGCACAGTGATGTAGTCACACTGGGGCCATAGCTGCTCCAGAGACATCTGGTCCACGCCCCAGCTGGCAGACACCTCTGGTGGTGTGATCGGGTCGTAGCCGATGGTCTAAAAAAAAAGTTAATCTCAAGTCATGTTCCCGAACTTTTCCAAAATGAAATCATAAACATGTAGATATTGGGGTTTTTTTATGTATGAAGGGCCTGGATGAAGCAGATGGTCAGAAGAGAAAAAAAATTGATCAGTTTGGCCCAAAATACTAACACTTCTTGTGTTAGAATAGAGATTGGTGGATAAACTACCATGGAATACCTAATTTTGAAGCTAAACTAAATCATTGATTTTATTCTAATCAGTTAACTCTATCTTTTCCTTCGGTTCTGTTTTTGATATATTTGGGACAGTTCTGTCCCAATCTATAAAAAAAACTATCAAACAGAAAATCCAAACACATATTTCAATACAAGTGTTCATAATATCTCTATAATGTAAATGCACAAAACAACCACACATGCAAAACTTGAGCTGAAAGATAGTAGTTTCTCTCCCTTCTTTGAATGAAACCAATCAATCCATAAAAGCATCATGTTACTACCTCATGTCCTAATTGCTAGCTAGCATTAGCATTTTCTCTAACGCAATTTATTTGCAAGATTAAAAATTGTCCATTAAAAATTGTCCTGTCAAACATTGGAAAACAGAACAACTATAATTGGTCCATCTCTAGTTAACACCGTTCAGTCAGAGGGGGTTCCACAGAGTTCAGGTAGGCAGAGACGGTTTTGTAAAAATATAAAAAATGAATAATCATGATTCATTTGTGATGGTCTTTCACATGTTTGTGGTTTCAACAACGCATGGGATATGAATAGGTTTAAGGCAACAACAGCTTACCTTCATCCCAAATGACTGCATTCTTGAAGCCACTTCTTTTCCTATTCTCCCAAGCCCAACTATTCCAAGCACCTTTCCATACAACTCAGCACCCATAAACTGCAAGTACAATCACAGCGACATTAGTAATATAGAGTTATAGAAAGTCATGAGGCACAGTATAGCACTGATGAGCAAATCAGACAATGGAATCGTTCATGCAACGTTAATTACTTTGTGTGCCTACTGCAAACAGCCTCTAAAACGGGGCAGCAAGAATTCCTGCCTACCTTTTTGCGATCCCATTTACCAGCTTTCATAGACATTGCAGCTTGGGGAACATGTCTGAAATAACAGGAAAAGAGATCAAGATTAAGTCCTCCTAAATAGACATAATAGATGTGTTAGAATTACCTTGAAAGGCTCATTATGAGGGCGCATGTGAGCTCCGCGGCGCTGATGGTGTTGCCACTTGGTGTGCTGAAAACGACATTAGACCATATAAGTACTGTAGTTTTAATCAGTTAATAATACAAACGATGACTCTTACTTCATTACAATAATACCCTTTTTTGTAGCAGCCTCAACATCCACATTATCAACACCAGTTCCAGCCCTTCCAATGATTTTTAGATTACTGGCAGCAGCAATAACATCAGCTGTCACCTTTGTAGCAGAACGCACCACAAGGCCATCATATTCCTATAGTAGAGATGAACAACTAGTGTTACAACAGACTGATTTGACATTGTTTAAACATTTATTCAACAATCCCAAAAATGTGTTCATTATTGAGAGTCACCCACTACATTAGTTGTGTGGGTATTTCATATTATGGATGAAATACCCAAATATTATGGATGCAGAGAGTGTGGAGATGGAAGCAAAGTCAGGGATGAGTTGCATCAGCTCTTCAAAGGGGCGGTACCAACTGCTGCTAACTTTCTCATCTCAGAAGAAAAAGAGTATGTGCAATGAATGGACTCAATGTGAACCAGAACACTGCACATTGCACGTTCAGAAAATTACAAACAACCACCACATTGTAAACATCTGCAGTAAACCAGAAACACGCGTGCCAAGTTACAATAAAATGAATCTTTCCACATGACAGGAACAGGCTCGTAGTCGTACCTTAATCTCGGCGATCAACGCTTCTTTTGTCATGTTTTGCTTCTCCGTCACGTGGATGCCATTTTCCTCCAGGATTCTTTTGCAGCGGGGGTCCACGCTCTCACTGATGAGGACAGACTCGATGCAAAAAGAGGCCATTTTCCTCAGAGCTTGACGGTAGTGGCGCTGATGCTGAGCCGGGCGTGCGCAGTGAGGACCACGTTACCTCTGCTGCTTTTTCAATGATCCAAGTCAAATCCTGCCCCTTTCTCTAGAACCCCGCCTCCTGCGCCAACCTTGCTTTTTTATTCTACTCTTTTAACCCCTTACTACACCGATGTGCCCGGATACATACAGTACAGACCAAAAGTTTGGACTTAATATATACAGTCTATGGTTTGGACACGTACACCTTCTCATTCAAAGAGTTTTTTTATTTTCATGATTATGAAAATTGTAGATCCACACTGAAGACATCAAAACTATAAATGAACACATGTGGAATTATGTACGTACTAAAGAAAACTATGAAACAACAGAAAATGTCTTAAATTCTAGGTTCTCCAAAGTAGCACCTTTTGCTCTGATTACTGCTTCACACACTCTTGGCATTCTCTTGATGAGCTTCAAGAGTTATTGACCTGAAAAGGTCTTCCAACAGTCTTGAAAGAGTTCCCAGAGATGCTTTGCACTTGTTGGTCGCCTTCACTCTGTGGTCCAGCTCACTCCAAAACCATCTTGATGGGATTCAGGTCCGGTGACTGTGGAGGCCAGGTCATCTGGCCCAGCACCCACCACTCTCCCTATTGGTCAAATTATGGAGCTATTATTGTTTCAATAATATTTGTGTGTGCGTAAACAGATTTGTGTGTGCGTGCGTAACCAGATTTGTGTGTGCGTAACCAGATTTGTGTGTACGTAAAAAGATTTGTGCGTGCGTAACCAGATTTGTGTGTGTGTAAAAGAAATACTTGTGCGTGTGTAAATAGATTTGTATGTACGTATCAAGATTTGTGTGTGCGTAAAAAGATTTGTGTGTGCGTAGAAAGATTTGTGTGTGTGTAAAGAAAAAAAAGTAAGTTTTACACACACGAATCTTTTGACGCAGTCCTGCCTTCGCAGATTCGCAAGTGTAACTTGGACTGTGTGCGTCTGTACCCAGATTTGTGTGTGTGTAATTTGACATTTGTATCTGTAGCAGAACAATCTGTGTGTAAATAACCACGTTGTACGAAAAGAAGAACGGAAAAAAAGCCTAAGTGCTACGCACAGGCTCCGTTTTACACACGAATCTCTTTTTGACACACCTCTGCCGCTTAGCGTGTGTCAAAAAGATTCGTAAGTGTAATGTGGTTGTTCTAGCAGTACACCAGCAGATTGTGCTGTTGTAGCTGGTTACACACGCAAGCAAACCAGCAGAGTTTGTAGCACTATAGTGTAGATAGAGAAAACCGAAGGATTTAAGAAGAAAAGTTCAGGATGACAATTAACACAAAAATTCCCACAAAATCCGAATTTTATGAAAGCTGTAGGTTCTCTGTCAGCTGTTTTAGTTTACTTTGAGTTCTATGGGGAAAATGTCTGTAGCCCACGTGAATTTAGTCTGCAGTACGCTAGAATCCCTCAGCTCCACGCTACTAACACCCAAACCAGTTATTATAATTAATAGTTACTTAATGTAACTTAAGTTCTACGAATAGGTGCGTAGTCCCTTAGGACTTCGCTAGTGGATATCACTCGTGACCCCCAGGTCACGCGGGATATCACTCGTGACCCCCAGGTCACGCGCCAGAGAGATCAAAATAATTTGCTCCAATCACCAGCCACCTTCCTCTATAAATGCCCCTGCACAAGGCCATACCCCCTCTTGAACTCTGCCAAGCCGGGCTGGCCTGATGGGCTCGTAGCTAAGGGACTACGCACCTATTCGTAGAACTTAAGTTACATTAAGTAACTATTAATTCTACGTCATGGTGCTACGTCCCTTAGGACTTCGCTAGTGGGACACAACGCGGAGGCCGTAGGAAAATGTACTCCCAGCAGGCCAGCGAAGGTGATTGGAGCTCCGCCCGAGCAAGACCCTCACAACGTGAGAGGACTCAGGGCAGAAGAAACAAGCGTGTTACGGGGCCACTCCTACCAAGGATACCCCCACGTAACACAAGCCGTAGGTCATCCGTAGTCACAGGACGCCTTTCCCAAGAGCTCCTGACGTGGACTACCAGACCGACCACACACACAAAATGTACCGCACCTGTAGGATGCCTTTCCCAAGAGCTCCTGCACCAGGGCGGAAAATAGACCGAAGGCCCCCCTCTGGGGAGGGACCCAACGGTCTAACTCAGTCCGCTGCACTCAGCACGGAATGGGCCACCGACCGGTCCGACACATCCGAAAGATAAGACCGGACGAAAGAAGAGGACGACGCCCAAGAAGCCGCACGGCAAACGTCCTCGACCGACGCCCCCCTGAGAAGGGCCGTAGAGGCCGCCATCCCACGCGTGGAATGCGACCTGAAACCCAGGGCCAGACCCTGCGTCTGATACGCCCGCCGCACCGCCGTGGCGACCCAATGCGCCAGCCGCTGAGCCGACAGCGGGGCGCCCCTGTTCTTGGGGCCCAGACACACAAACAGCTGATCACCCGACCTGAATGACGACGTCATGGCCAGGTAATGCCTCAGCATTCTGATAGGACACAGAAGGTGCTGCCGCTCCTCCTCGGGGGAGGCATGCGGCGGCGGGTGGAAAGCCCTAATCCTGATGACCCTCGACCTAAAGGCCGACGTGATGACCTTGGGGAGAAAAGCCGGATTGGGCCACAATTCCACCATGCCGTTGTCCTCTCCAAAGGACAGGCACGACGCATGGACGGAGAGCGCACACAAATCGCCCGCCCTCTTCGCAGACACCAACGCCAGTAAGAGGGCCGTCTTAAAGGCGATACACTCGGGACTCGCCTCCGCCGCCGGTTCAAAAGGCGGACCCGACAGCCCCCTAAGGACCACCCTGAGGTCCCAAACCGGAGGCGTTCTCTGGAGCGGGGGCCTCCTCCTGCGCGCCCCCCGCAGAAAACGTTTAACCAACGGGTGAGAACGGGCTGTGAATCCCCCGAATCCGTCGTGACCCGAAGTAATGGCTGCCGCGAACACCGCCAAGGTAGCGACAGCCCTCCCCTTTTCGAAGAGCTCCTGTAGGAATCCCAGGACCCCCTCCAGCGGGCAACACCTGGGATCCCAGGAACGGGAATCGCACCAGACACTGAATAGCCTCCACCTCGTGGCGTAGGCCCTCACGGTGGACGGCGCCCTCGCTCCCTGAATGGTCTCCACCACCGCAGGGGGAAGACCCAGATCTACGAGGCTCCGCCTCTCAACCTCCAAACCCAGAGCCTGCGGCCGATTATCGGACGTGAAAACAGGGCTCCTGCCCCCTGGACTAGAGCCCCCGGCTCGTCCGGGAGGGCCCAGGGCTCCATCACCGCCATGCCCCTCAGGAAGGGGAACCACTGGGCATGCGGACTGTCCGGAGCCACCAGGATCACCGATCTCCTCTCCTGTTCGATCCTCCGCAGCAGGACCGGCAGGAGACGCACCGGTGGAAAAGCGTACAACAGGCCGCCTGGCCATGGGTAATGAGCCAGAGCGTCCACGCCTAAAGGCGGCTCGTCCGCGGCCCTTAAGGCGAACCAGGACGGGCACTGTGCGTTCTCTGCACTGGCGAAAAGGTCGACCACTGGACGGCCGAACCTCCGCCAGATCTCCGCAGCTACCCGTGGGGCCAGGCCCCACTCGTCCTGGAGTGGGCCCCCCCTGGACATCCTGTCGGCTCCCACGTTCCGGACCCCCGGGACGTGGCGCGCCCTGAGAGACAGGAGGTGAAGCGCCGCCCACAGCAGCATCACCGTCGCCATGCGATGGAGAGCGGGGGACGTGGTGCCCCCCTGCCTGTTCAGATAGGAGACCACTGTGGTGTTGTCTGAGCGCACCATCACGTGTCTCCCCTGCAGCTGAGGGGCAAAGTGCAGCAGTACTCTGTGCACTGCCTCCATCTCCAGCAGGTTGATGTGACGGGCTGAGTCCGACCAGCAGCCTCCTACAGAGCTCTGGCCGAGGACCCCGCCCCATCCTTCGAGCGACGCGTCCGTGAACACCTCGACGTGAGACACGGCGCAGGCCAGAGTCACTCCGTCCCGCAATAGACCCGGAGTGAGCCAGAACCTGATGTCCGATGCTGCCCCTTGGGGAACCCAGATCAGCCTCCCCCCGTCCCGGGAGGGGTGAAGCCTGAGGCGCGAGAACCACCTCTGAAAATTTCTCATGTGGAGCAGGCCTAGCCGCACCACAGCATGAGCCGCTGCCATCATTCCCAGCAGGGACCTGAGGCGCCGAGCGGGGACTCTGGGGCCCGCCAGAACCTCCCGGGCCAGACGGGTAATATTCATCCGTCTGTCCACGGACAATGCAGCACGGAATATCACAGAGTCTAGCTGCAGACCGAGATAAACCATGCGTTGGGCTGGCTGCAGCTTGCTCTTCTCCCTGTTCACCACAAAGCCCAGACGCTGTATGTGGGACAGGACCCAGTGCGTGTGGCTCAGGGCCACTTCCCTGGATGGGGCCAGTATTAACCAATCGTCTATATAGGTTAATATTCTTACCCCCGCACGTCTGATCGGCTCCAGAGCTGCTTCCACACATTTGGAAAAGGTCCGAGGCGCGAGTGCGTACCCGAAGGGTAGACGGCAGTACTCGTAATTCCTCTCTCCCACTGCGAAGCGCAGAAACCTCCTGTGTTCTGGCACTATGGGCACGTGGAAGTACGCATCTGTCAGGTCTATGGATGTCATCCAGTCTCCTTCCCTGACACACTCGAGGAGCTGCCTTGTGGACAGCATCCGAAACTGCCGTTTGGAAATGCACTCGTTTAACACGCGCAGATCCAGAATGGGACGCACCCCGCCTGATTTCTTTGGCACTAAGAAGTAAGGGGAGTACAGCCCCCTGGTGGCGTCCTGCGGGTCTACCTCCACTGCTGCGCCTCGACTCAGCAGAGAGGAGACCTCCGCTTGTAGTGCCTCTGTCGATCCCCGTACCTGAGAGCGTACTGCCCGTACGCCTCGGAATGGTGGTGGCTTTCGGAAAAATTGCAGCGCGTAAC